TAATAACAATTAATCAAATAGAGGATTCTGTGCAATTAATTTTTTAGTATAAATAAGTATTATTTAAACCTTTAGAATTCTTGATTTAGTCAAGCATAGAAATGTACCCTTTAACAAGGTATTTTCACATATCTCAAGTTTTTAAATTGTATAAATTGTATAATGTTCATTTATAATCAAGTAATCAATAACTAGAGAAGTAATTTGAATTTAATTCCATCCTAGATTCTACTTACTCAAAAGGTAATTAAATAAAAGTGAATTTTGGAAGGCTCAAACTTTAAGATACTCTTGTAGTGTTTAATTAATAAAGAGAGGCTTCTTTATAAATATAAATATTAGAACTTATATTTAAAGACTCCTTTGGGTTTACTCTAGACTATTCTCTTTTCAGGTCTGTCCAAATATGATAAAAGATCAAGTCGACTTGTCTTTCTTTATGTTGCTGATCAAATAATATTTTGCTTTTCTCATTAGTAGGACAGTAGAGATATTTCTAGACTCGTCATCATAAAAAAGACAGACTTCAAGCACCTTGTAAAGATAAACAAAGCCACAATATTGCGTAGAGTGCTTCATGAGACTGCTTAACAGAGACAAGGAATCAGGCTCCTTGCTAAAGCCAATTAATATAAAGATAAGGATACAAGAACAATTCTAATTGTCTTGAAGTAGAATATTGGTGTAATTTTCTAATACTATTAATAATAGATAGGGATTTCAAGATTCATAGCTTATTCTTTTACAATTTTTGAATCAAAGAAATGGATTTTACAAAAAAATATCCAAATAAAACTGAATTGCTACCTAAACAGAAATAAGAAAATAGGTCTATAATATAAAAATTATTTATTTTGAAGGTGTTTAATAACATTTATTCTTATATAATTCAATTGTTTTTATTATTTTTCACTTTTTTCCTCTTATTAATATTCAATTTGTAGGTACTTTATAATGTTTTAATTTTAGCCTATTGAGAAAATTTTAGATTCTGAATTTTATTTTGAGAAGAAAAAAGGGATGTAGAAAATGCATAATGGAAATACATTATTGATTAAAAAACACAACAGAATTTATCGACATTGTTTCTTTGGATGTTTTTGTGTTGGGGACAATTCTTTCAAGCTTAAAGAAGTAGAAATATTAGAGCGAAAGATTTGAATGAAAATTTATCCTTCAATTAATTTTTTTTTCAATTAAAATTTTCTAATCTAATCTCATTTCATTTTGTTTATATTTTATGTTTTTCCATTATTAAGGAAATTTAAGACTTATATATTTGAATATTATTTTTCAATATAATATTGCTCTCACTCACTATTGTTGAATGGTGTTTTTGAAATTCTTAATTTGTTAACATTGTATATATCTATAATAACCTATCTTTTAGGAGATAATTTTAAGAATTCTCAACATGCAAGAAGTAAAAATAATTGTTGACAAAAATGATTAGAAAGATGATTATTTTGTGTATTTTATAAAATTTTCCCTATATATATTTAAAAATCATTCATCACAACATAAGATATCCTAAAACAATAGACAATCCAAGAATGTATCCTGAGTCTGTTGTTGTGTTATTATTTGTAGTGTTGGTATTATTGTCTGTTGTATTTGGTTAAACTACAACTGCTGTGCAAACTCCACATTTACTTGATGAGGCATTCCAAGTATATGTATATCCAGAAACTAAGAAGCAATCATTAGAAGACAATGTTGATGGATCTGTTGCTGTGCAAGCTCCGCTTACTAGAGTACAAATTTATTAAGTCTTTTTATCCCAATTTAAGAATCTTGTGCAAGCTCCGTTTGTAGCTTAATTTGTAGCACAAGTATGAGTAGCGCATTTACTAGCAACTGCAGTTGTCCCAGTTCCTGAAGCAGCAGTCCAAGAACATCTATCTCTGCCAGCTTAGCATGCTGTTTAATCATTATTAGCAACGGTACATGCAGTCATTAATGCACAGGTTCCAGTACCAGCAGCAGCTCCAGTTGCTGTTGATTAGGTGAATACACAAATACCATCCAAACCTCCTGAATTACATGCTATCTTTGATGTGTATGTTGAGCAATTGGCTTTTGGAATGCATAGAGTTCCATTTGAAACACAAGTTGACAAGGCTACAGAACAAACGTTGGTTGCTGTTCCATTTTGAATATCAGCACAAGTAAGTAATCTACATTTGGCAGTATTGTTATTTGTAGCAGATGCTAATTCCCAGTAGCATGCTCCATCAGATCCTACTGCTGTTGTGCAAGCAGTTTAAGTTGTGTATGATGTACAGGCTCCTTTAAGTAAACAAGTAGTTCCATCTGATGTGCAGGTTGATAATTATGAAGAACATGTTGCATGAGTTGTGCCTGTTAAATCAGTACAAGATTAATCTCTGCAACTGCTAGATGTAGTATCCCAAGTACAAATACCAGTAGATGTAATAGCTCCAGATGTATATAGAGTTCCCTTATCGTTGAAGTAACATCCAGCCTAAGCAGTATATGATGAGCATGACCCTAAAGCAATGCAACCAGTTGTTCCATTTGTTGTGCACTTACTACTAGCAATTTAACAATCTGAATGAGTTGTATAGAAAGCATCAGCACATGATGTGTAAGGTTTACATACTTTTGGCTCTGAAGAATTCAAGGCTGGTACTGATTGGATACAAGCTCCGTCGTATCCAGTGACACAACCTCCATCAGTATTAGTTTCTGAACATTAAGTAATTCCGACGCAATTTGAACCATTAGTTGTGCATCTGTTACTTATCCATTTACATGAACTATCACTATTCCAAGTTAAACTTTTGCATGATGTGTATCTGAAACAAGCCCCTTTAGTTCCATCAGTATTTGGATACTTGTCAATCCATAAACATGGTCCATTTGTTCCTTCGATACAAGCTGCTCTGACAGGAGTTTGTTCGCAATTTTATACTCTAGCACATTTTCCACTAGCCCCAGCTGTGCATCCAGTTCTTTAGGCCTAACATGCAGCATGAGTAGTGCCGCTGAAATCTTAGCAATCTTTATCCCTGCATTTATTTTATGCACTATCCCAGGCACATACAGTACCATTCAAAGCAGTTGTGCAAGCCACATCAATAGTGACAGCTGAGCAGGTTGATTTAGAAATACATCCTCCACCATTCTTTGTTGTACAATTAGTAAAATACCCAGCGCAAGCAGCTTCACTTGTTAAAGTGATTGGAGCAGTGCTGCAATTTTTAATTGTACAATAAGCAGGAGAAGTGATTACATTTGCTGCATTGAAAACAGCTGATATCCATTCACATTATTAATTTGCTGAGGATGTGACACATCCAGATAGACTTAAGGCTTAGAAGCATGAACCTCTTGTAACACAATTTGTTCCATTTGTTGTGCATGTAGATATAGCTTGTTTACATAAAGCATCAGTAGCAAAAGCAAAATCTTCGCAAATTTTTGTTTTACATTTCACATTATCTAAAGTACATCCAGCCAAATAGGTATTGCATTCATCTGCTGTAGCTGTAGCATCTGGTGCATTGTCACATGATTTTGTAATACAAGCTGTTCCTGTCCAATAACAAGGATCTCCAACCTTATTAAAATAACATTATTTCTATGTCATTGTTTCACAAGTTGCAGGAATATCTACGCATCCTTATCCAGAATCTGAGACTGTACACTTATTAGTGAAATAAGCTCTACATTTGGTATCATCATCATAATCTGCAGTTGCAGGAGCTGTAGCGCATGACTTGTCAGCACATTATGTTCCATTCCATCCACATAAATCACCGTTGGTGTTGATTTAACACTATTCTTTATCAATATAACTTGAACAAGCAGCGGTTTATTAACATCCTCCTAAAGTTGGATTACCACCACTATTGCTTGGAGTGGCAACTACAGTGCATTTTATTGTAGCAGTATTATAGTAAGCATAGCAATCATTATGAGTTGTTGTGGATGTTGGAGCACTAGTGCAAGACTTATCTTGGCAAGCAGGTGCTGGTAAATTAGCATTTGTATTCCAAACACAACTACTACTACTTGCGTTTGTTTTACATTGTTCTTCAATAGTATATGAACTACATGCTCCTCGAGCCATACATCCTTAAACGGCAGCTCCATTTGTTGCTCTGACTGTGCAAGCAAGCGTTGTATCAACTACTACACATTCATTATGAGTATCGTATAAAGTGGATGCTTCAATATTCCCACAATTCAAATCAACACATGTCTTATTAGTTGGATTCCAAAAACATTTTCCTCCACTAGTATTAAATTTACATTAGAGTAAAGATTTATATGCAGTACATGCTGCTCTAGCTTGACAAGCTCCTAATCTAGCAACAGTACAAGATTACTAGTAAGATGAGCATTCAGTATCATCATCTCGAGTAGCATCAGTTGCTGCAGTATCACAAGTCTTTCTTACGCATGATGTTCCTACTATAACACATTCTCCTTCAACAGAATAAAGGCAAGAAGCTTAAGTTTAATCAGCACATTTAGATGCCATAGTTTGGCATGCAGCGTTTCCACTATTTACTGTGCAGGTATTGAGATAATTATTGCAATTTGTATGATTAAATGTAACTACAGCATTTGCACAAGTTTTTGCTACACATGCAGTTGTTCCGTTATTAGTACATCCAGCTTTCATTTCATTACAATTTGCACTACTATAGTTTCCTGTTCCTAAGTATACTGCCTCACAAGTTGCAGCAGTCAATGCTGCTACACAAGTAGTGTCGGCATTTGTACCTGCAATACATAGACCAGCCCCTGATTTATAACAACTTGTATTTGGGGTGTATCCTGAACATAAGGCTTATTATTAGACACAAGCACTCCTTGCTCTATTTGCGCTACACCCTGTATTATATGATTAACAAATTTCGTAAGTAACAGCTCCAGCAGATCCAATTATTTTAGCACAATCTGTTGTAACATTTGCAATTGTGATGCAAACAGAGCCTTATAAATAACATTTTGAGGTAGTAGTCTTAGTGCAACCTAGAATGGTACCTGGGTATTACTCACAAGTTGATTTGAAGTCTTAACAACTGGTTCCATCAGAAACTGATGTACAACCTATGCTGTAGGCTTAGCATTAAGTATGATCAAGACTTGTTCCTGTAATTCCACTACAATTCGAATCTGAAATTTTATAGCAGGAGTTGTCAATCCAAAGACATGATAATGGACCAGCTGTTTATGAAGTGCATTTATTTTATGTTGTGTAATCCTTACAAGCAGCCTTTTCTTCTTAACAACCAATACCATCTTTAAGATTAGTGCAACTTGCATGATATGTTGCACATATAGTATCTGTAAGACCAGTTCCAGTAACATATGGACACTCAGTAGCAATATTGGCAGTGACAATGGTCAGACAAGCTGTTCCGCTCCATGCACAAGGACCTGCAGCTGATACTGAGCAGGTTGCTTAGACAGCAGCATATGTAGCACAAAGGTCTTCTTTTTTTTGGCATGCTGTTCCAGCTCTGTTTGCTGTACAACTTGCATGATATGTTGCACATTTAGCATCTGTAAGACCAGTTCCAGTGACATATGGACACTCAGTAATAATATTGGCAGTGATAATGGTCAGACAAGCTGTTCCGCTCCATACGCAAGGACCTGCAGCTGATACTGAGCAGGTTGCTTAGATAGCAGCATATGTAGCACAAAGGTCTTCTTTTTTTTGGCATGCTGTTCCAGCTCTGTTTGCTGTACAACTTGCATGATATGTTGCACATATAGTATCTGTAAGACCAGTTCCAGTGACATATGGACACTCAGTAATAATATTGGCAGTGATAATGGTCAGACAAGCTGTTCCGCTCCATACGCAAGGACCTGCAGCTGATACTGAGCAGGTTGCTTAGATAGCAGCATATGTAGCACAAAGGTCTTCTTTTTTTTGGCATGCTGTTCCAGCTCTGTTTGCTGTACAACTTGCATGATATGTTGCACATATAGTATCTGTAAGACCAGTTCCAGTGACATATGGACACTCAGTAATAATATTGGCAGTGATAATGGTCAGACAAGCTGTTCCGCTCCATACGCAAGGACCTGCAGCTGATACTGAGCAGGTTGCTTAGATAGCAGCATATGTAGCACAAAGGTCTTCTTTTTTTTGGCATGCTGTTCCAGCTCTGTTTGCTGTACAACTTGCATGATATGTTGCACATATAGTATCTGTAAGACCAGTTCCAGTGACATATGGACACTCAGTAATAATATTGGCAGTGATAATGGTCAGACAAGCTGTTCCGCTCCATACGCAAGGACCTGCAGCTGATACTGAGCAGGTTGCTTAGATAGCAGCATATGTAGCACAAAGGTCTTCTTTTTTTTGGCATGCTGTTCCAGCTCTGTTTGCTGTACAACTTGCATGATATGTTGCACATATAGTATCTGTAAGACCAGTTCCAGTGACATATGGACACTCAGTAATAATATTGGCAGTGATAATGGTCAGACAAGCTGTTCCGCTCCATACGCAAGGACCTGCAGCTGATACTGAGCAGGTTGCTTAGATAGCAGCATATGTAGCACAAAGGTCTTCTTTTTTTTGGCATGCTGTTCCAGCTCTGTTTGCTGTACAACTTGCATGATATGTTGCACATTTAGCATCTGTAAGACCAGTTCCAGTGACATATGGACACTCAGTAATAATATTGGCAGTGATAATGGTCAGACAAGCTGTTCCGCTCCATACGCAAGGACCTGCAGCTGATACTGAGCAGGTTGCTTAGATAGCAGCATATGTAGCACAAAGGTCTTCTTTTTTTTGGCATGCTGTTCCAGCTCTGTTTACTGTACAACTTGCATGATATGTTGCACATTTAGTATCTGTAAGACCAGTTCCAGTGACATATGGACACTCAGTAATAATATTAGCAGTGACAATGGTCAGACAAGCTGTTCCACTCCAAGCACAAAGACCTGCAGTCGAGGTTGAACAAGAATTTTGTGTTAAATAAACATTACATGTCGCTAATTTTTCTTAGCAAGCAGTTCCATTAACATTAGCCTCGCATCCAGTTTCATAAGTTTAACAAATAGAATTAGTCAATCCTGTTCCAGTAACTGAGGCACAATTAGAAAAACGCAAGCAATCAGTAGAATTATCGTAACATTTACCCTATGCAGAGCTAGCACAATTGTTTCCAGTTGCATAAACTGAGCAAGTTGACTTTTACTCCTAACATCCAGTGCCATCTTTTAAGGATGTGCAAGAAGAGTGATATAGTTAACATTTTGAATGATCCAAACCTGTTAATCCACTTACAAATGAACATTCGCCAGCCGCAGTAATGGCTTGACAAGTAGAAGAACCATTTAATCCGCAATATCCTGCATTTCCACTTGCACTTGACCTGAAACAATTAGCTGCCGTTCCCCCGTATCCAGCACAAGTAGATTAAATAACAATACAACCAGTACCATCTTTTTTGACTGAACAAGTAGAATCTAATGCTTAGCAATCGGCAAATGTCAAGCCTGATCCTGTTTTTAAAGTACAATCTAAAGTACAAGATGCTGAGGATGCTGCACCTACAGTGTTTGTACATCCTGCTCTATACCCTTGACACATTGTTGGAGTACCTTTGAAAGTTGTGCAAGCTCCAGTAGCAAAAGAGGATAATGCATAGCATTTATCAACGATCCACTTACAATCATCATTAACTGTTAAATTTGCAAGAGTTTTGTGGCATTAGGCTGATGTCATATAATCTGAACAATTTGCTGATTTTGATACGCATCCTTAAGCTCCTACTTTGTAAACAACTGTACAGGTTTCACTTGGTGTTTAATAAGCAAAGCATTCTGAATCAGTATCAAAAGCTGTAGTATCCAGAGTATCAGCACAAGTAGCATTTCTACAAGCTAATCCAGTCCAAATACAATTCTTATTTGTTGATGTAAATTTACAATTTTCTTAGGTTGAATAAGATGTGCATGCAGTTGCCAATGTTTAACATGCAGTTGCTCCATTATTCACTGTGCACGTATTAAATGTACTATTACAACCATTATGTGTTGTTAGAATAATATTTGCACAAGTTTTATCAACACAGCTACTACCATTCCAAAAACAATCTCCACTTGCTTTTGATCCATCTCTGCAATTTGTTGAAACTAAAGATGAACAACTAGATGGCTTAGCCATGCATCCATCAGCAGTATTGTTTGAAATACAACTACTAAGATAAGTTTGACAACCAGAAAAAGTGAATCCTCCTCCTGATAATGCACCAGTTGTTCCTACAGTACTAGCAGTTGCACAAGATTTTTCTACACATGAGGTAGAGGATGAGACCCATAGACACGATGGGGATCCAACTCTTGTAATTTCACAATTTTCTGTTGATTTTCTAGCTGCGCATGTTGTTGGTAAATCTTAACATCCTTAAATTGTCAAAGAACCATTAACAGTTACAGGATTATTAGCAACACAAGTAGATATATGTCCTGTGCATTATGTGGTAGTTGTGAATGTCTTAGAGGCAGTTGAGCATGCTTTATCAATACATTAAGATCCATTCCATCCACATGCTGAACCATTAGATTTTATTTAGCAAGCAGCTTCAATAGTTATAGCTTCGCATTTAAGGGGAAGTGGAGCACATCCATTGCCTGAATTACTCAAAGTACATGAAGAGTGATAGGTGAAACAGTCAGCATGAGTAGTGGTAGCAGATGAAGCTAACACGCATTATTTTTTGTAACATTTTCCTTTCCAAATACATGCTCTATTGGTTGTATCTTTATCACAAATAGCCAAAACCAATGAATTTTCACATGATTTTTCGACACACCCTGCGCTTGTTGAATTTACTGTACAAGTTGTTAAGAATGCTTAGCAGAGATCATGAGTAGTGTTAGTTGATGGAGCGTTCACACATGTTTTATCTTTACAGCTTGAGCTTGCAGCATCCCAGAAGCAAGTTTAAGAACTAATACTCTTAATACAAGCAGCATCTAAAGTTATTGCAGCACAGGTTGTATTTACAACACATCCACCTCCTGTCTTTGTTATGCAATTACCTCCTGTTAGATAAGCTTCACATGCATCATTTGTTGTCAAAGTTATTGGAGCATTGGTACATGTTCTATTTTAACATCCACCACCTGACTTAACAGTGCAAATAGAATAATAAGAAGTACATAAATCGTGAGTGATATTTGTGGTTGGGGCATTGGCACATGTTTTTTCTTTACAAGTTGTATCCCAAATGCAATCAACACTGTTTGCGTTTTTAACACAAGCTGCTTGAACATTAGCAACAGAACAAGCTCCATTAAGAACACATCCACCACCTGTTTTAGTGATACATCCTGTTACAAATCCTGCACATGCCGAATTTGTTGTCATTGTGATTGGAGCATTTGCACATGTTTTATCAAGGCAAGCAGTTCCTGTCCAATAACAGTCACTATTTGAACTATTTTTAATGCAAGAGGCTGAAATAGTAGCAGCAGCACAAGTAGTTCTTGTGATACATCCTCCATTTGGTTTTGTTGTGCATGTTCCATCAGTTCTAAATGTCTTGCAAGCATCATCAGTTGTCAAACTAATTGGTGCATTATCACATATTCTATCTTTGCATGCAGCACCATCCCAATAGCAAGCAGTTGTTTTTAATTTATTCCAAACGCATTAAATTTCTAATGTTTAATCGCTGCAGTTATTTCCACTATCGACACATCCACCTCCAGTTTTAGTGGTACAAGTAGAAATCACATCTCTACAATCTTTATCTGTTGCAAATGTGGCTGGTAATTTATCACAAGTGTTAGCATCAACACAAGTGTTGTTTGTTATATCCCAAAAGCATAAGCTTCCTGATGCATTTTTCACACATGGGAGTTATTTTTTGTAGGTACTACAAGCATCAACTTCAACACAATGTGTTCCATCAGTAATACATCTATTACTTATGGCTTAACATTCAGAATCAAGTGTTTTAGCAAAAGGTGTACATCCAGTAAAGAATGCACATTTGCCTTCAACCCAAGCACAAGCGGCGTAGATTCCACAATCAGTACATGGTTTAGCCTTTGGACAATCTGTTTCAGCAAATGTATCACAATATGCTGCATATGTCACTGTTGGAACGACAGTAGTTGTTGAAACTCCGCATGTTTTCTTTGTTGTATCCCATGAGCATCCAAGTGAAGAATTCTTGATACAATCTCCTTCTGATAACAATTATGCACATGTGCATGATGTTAAACTGTATGTTTGACTTGCTACTAAAGCAAGCAACAATGAGAGTATGATGAATTTATTATTCATTAAAAGTATTAAAAGATTTATAAAAACTGAAAATAACTTAAATTGAAATAATAAAATTAATTATTTTAATTTAATAAATGATCAAGTAATATCTTGGAAATTTCTGATGAGATTTGGATATTGATATTAATCATCATCATTAATTGATTAATAATTTTTTTTCTATTTTCATAAGAAAATTAGAAAGGTTAAGATAACTTCAATAGTGACACTAGCCTGGATTAAAAACAATAGGAGTATTAATATAAAACTAAATTAATCAAAGTATTTTTACTCAAATTATGAATTTTGAATCCATATCATTTTCTCCCAATTTGCTTCCTTTCCTAATCTGATCTGTTATACCATTGTTCCCATTATAGTTTTTATCCTTTAATTATGAAAACAACACTCAGAAAAAAGCAACAATAAAAAATATTTTCAAGAATTCAAAATTCAAATTATCAATTGCAGATTCCTAAATAAATCAACTGCAAAAAATTGAGCGATTTCAAAATCAGGATGAGATTAGTATATAAGTTTTTTTAAAAATTTGCTCGGATTCAATTATAATCAAATTTTGATTATTATACACTTCGAATAAGAAAGAAAATATGTCAGATTAATAAAACAATCCGAATTATAACAAGTTCTTTATAGAAGTGAATGAGAAAATTAATTTTCAATAGTGGTCATACGTTTCATCTGCCATTTTATTTTATAAACCTTGTGATAATATTAGATTGTGGTGAAAATTGAAAATATTTAATTATTTTCAAACACAATAAATAGATCATCATTGTTAAGGTTTCAACAGCATATTGAAAGGAAGAAATTTTTCAAACAAAAAGTCAATTTGAAAATATAAAAAAAAGGTTGAATCAAAAAAAATAACCTGATTTTAGATTTAATTTAAGGAGGATTTTTTTTAGGCAAATTTAAAAATCTTTTTATCATAATTCTGGGTATTTTCATATTATATTTATTTCTTGTCTGTTAGTGGTTTGGAGATATGCATAACTTTTTTGCCATATTGAGATATCCAAATAATATTCAAAAACATTCTCGTTAGCCAATCAAGTTAAGAATAAAAAATAACTAATTTATAAAAGTAATAAAAATAAAGTTTAGCTAATAGATATATCAACTTCAGAACAATAAAGATTTATCTAAATTTGAGTTTCCCACCTTCATTTTTTGTAGAATTTATTTTGAGATGTTATTTACATTTATAAGACATTTTTTATAGAAGTTTATAAGAAATGTTTATGAAATAAGGTGGAGAAAATTCTAAATCTCTTCAAAACATCATTAGTATATAAGAAGTAGTTTTATATGATTCTTATAAAAATAAAAAAATGATTTTAAGTACTTCAGTCAAGTTTTGCCAGTATTACTCAAGAAGATTTTTTACTAAAATCAATATTAAAAATAGCAATTTGAATGGATATCTAGATATAAATGAATCAAGAATGATTGTTTCGCTTATATATATAATTTATTAAAAAGATTAATGATGATGCCGTTAATTTCATATCCTTCAAAGGTATTTTGTAGCTAGTTCTAAAACTTTAGAAGGATACCAAGAAATTACTGATTATCAACTGTTGCCTTACTTTTCATAATAAAATTAATGCATGCGATTCATTAACATCAACTTTCATTAAATAGAAGTGTAATATATAGTCAAGAAAATTCATAGGATTGTTGGAATAAAACTCCTTATGATTAATGAAAATTAGCCATTAATATGAGTGATTTTCAGTTCTATATGCATATTTAAGGTTTCCATAAATTAAATTTGGATTTAATTGTTGAAATTATACATGATAATTTTGATTTAAGTTAAAATACTCATCTTATAAAAAATAACACTTTTAATTAATATATGGATGAACGTTATTCCTTTGAGTAAATTAGAGGATTTCATAAAGGCCTGTTATCATACATCAGCTGGCAAACGGAATAGAATGCTGAATGATGCATTAATTAAAGGTGAAGGCTAGATTTAAATTAATTTTTAGTCATTTTTTTGTCGACAATTTTAAATATAAAAAACTAGGAAAGCTTTTTGATGAATCAGAGCTCTTTTTCTCTAAATCCTATATAATGCATGAATAATATTTAAAGGAATATAAAAAAGCTGATGAAGGGAAGTTGCATATAAAATAAATGAAGTTATACATAGAGAGTGGAGTAGAATGCACATATGGAGAGCCTAGAATTCTGAATATGGAATGAAGTTAAGTAAAATGAAGAATTCAGAACATAATACTAATAAAGCTTTCACAACATAATTAATAAAACAGATTAACTATTGAAAAAGTTCTTAATTAAATGAAAAGGAACAATAAATATTTTAAGAGATTTTAAATTCATTTGAGAATAATGGAAAATTAATATAATTATTTTATTAGTTATCAAATATTTATAATGGGAATGGATTGTTCTGAAATTATAGATGTTGAAAATAAATAGTGGTTAGAATAAATCTAATAAATAAAAATGACATAAAAAAAATATAATAAAATAAAATTGACTCAAGTGGAAGTTTGAAGAATGTGCATTCTATACGTAATATCTGAGAATGCTTCAATGAGTTATAGGAGATTGCTGACACTAGGAAATTCGGGGATAAATTGAGAGTTGAAAACTTCATTCTACAATTATGCATTGAAATCACTTAAGGTAATGAATATCATCAATTCTCTTGTACCATTGTCAGATGAGAAATTTTCATTAAAAAAGATTCTCCTATTCTATTAGGTAATTTAAATAATCAAAAAAGCTTTAGGAAATCTCCTTCTTGAATATGATAATATTGTTGCTAAATAAGAAGTTGAAGATAAACAACTAATCTGAACAGTAATCTTCCCCTAATGGTACTTATGGCACTTAAGTTGTTGAAAAGTTAGAGACTGGAGAACACGTATCTAAATTAAGAAAAATGTTGATGTTAAACTCTTTAATTGCATTTACTATGAGTAAAGCCTTTTTGAAATAATTATCTAAGATTTAAGAATTCAACAAGTGTATTAATTAGATGCTTTTAATCTTCTGCTCCTCCTGAGATATTATCAAAAGAATACAGTCAAAATTGACCAATATACTTTAGAACTATCACTTCAAGTATTAGAATTTGACAGGGAATTCTAAGATAAACTAATAGAATAATACAAAAATCTGATGTTGTTCCTGAATAAAATAAACAATTTGGATCAGAATTCCAATAAGATTCTCAAACAACCTAATGAATCAATCATTATTGATAATTAAAAGGAATGTCTCAATTAAATGAAATTGATCTAGATGATGACGAAACATCTATTGGAACCAAACAAGAAGAAAATACTTATGTATCTAGATTAGGAAATATAATTTAATTAACTGGCTATTTTTATCCCATTTATGCAGAAGCATTTATTAAAGTTCATAAAAATGATATATAATTTGAAGTTCTTATGGTTTCAAATTGTTAAGTGGAAATTAGAACTCAATGAGAAAGTAAAGTAATTGAAAAAGCTTAGGGTGTTATCTTATAACCTAATAAATCAACTAGAATTAGAACAAAAATAAAGTTTTCATCCTAAGACATTGGAGCTGTCTATGGAGCAATTTATTATGAAAAAAAATGATGGAATTGAAAATGCTTATTTAGAAACAAAGTTTTAATATTTAGAAAAACCATTAAAACCCAGCCTAAAGGCAATATTATATGTATTAATATTTATGCTCAAATCAAATTTGGTATTTATATATCATTTATGTTTAGACTATGACTTTTTAGTTAATGCTAGTTTTGAGGTTGTTAATAATAAATTTTAAAGATTTATGTGAATCAGAAGTAAGGTTAAAGAAAATTTTGTAAATTTTTGAAATAATATTAAAGTATTCTCGACTAAGATTAATTGAATTAAATATATATAATGTTATTTATGATTAAATAATAATAAAATCAGTCATTATAATAAAATTAATAAATGTCGAAACTTAAGAGAGGATTAACAAAGGACTTTGAAAAGGAACAGGAAGAGCAGGCATAAGCAAAGGAAGAATTATTTTAAGTATAAGTGAATGATATTGTATAAAGCCTGTTGTCTAAATTTATCAAGATTACCAATATTTATCTGAAGAATAAATTGATGTTATTGCTAAAATACTTCAGGTTATTGATTTTTTTAAGGAAAATTGTCCTGACACATAAACATTAATGGAATTTACAAAATTATGTTGCCAAAATTTAATCTATGAATTCATACCAAAAGATTCTCCTGTTTTTCATATTGGTAGATTTTGCTTTCATATGTAGATGATGCTGGTGATAAATTCTATATTGTTCTGAGTGGGAGGGCAGGAATTTATATCAGAAGACAACCAGCATCTATCGAAGCTGATGAAGCAGCTGCTCAACCAAGAATATTAAAAATGCTTGAAAAATTGCATTTGGAATCTATTTAATAATTATAAGGAGAGGAATTGATGAAATTTTATAGTTAAGTTATTAAAAAGTAGGCTAAGCCATAAAAAGTGATTGATTCAGAATTAATATTATTTCGATCAGGAAATTTTGATAAATATTTCACAAATCAAGGAATTTGTAAATTTATGTTAGTAGCTTAAAAATAATCTGGTACTATTTTTGGTGAAATGGCATTGACTAATGATAAACCTAGAACTGCTAGTATTTTTGGTTTAACTGATTTAAAATTACTATCTTTATCAAAAGCTAATTTTAAGGTAAATAGAATAAATATATATAGTAAGTGGGAGAAAAAGGAATGAAAGCATTATAATAAAAGATAGACTATTTTTTAAAAATGTTTCCACATATGACGAAACATAAAATGTCAAAACTTATTTTGTATTTTACATCTGCCAAATTTCCAGCTAACTTTTTCATTTGGAAATAAGGAGATGAAACTGATGGATTCTTATTATTAAAAGATGGAGAAATGTAATTATTATAAAATGTTGAATTTCCAAAACCACCTAGTTAGAATAATGTAGATTTTACATTAATGTCTTTATTTTAAAATTCTAAATAGGAAGTTAAAGATATAAAAGAAACTATAATTTTAGCCAATTTAACAGGAGGATGTTTTGTTGGAGAAACAGAAGTTGTCTAAAAAAAAGAAAAAAGAGATTATTCTGTAAAAACATTAACTATTTCTAATTGTTATTGTCTTTCTTTAGAAGTAAAATATTATAGTAATTATTTTGAGAATTATCATATTGTGAGGAAAACATTTCCTGAATTCTTTTAAGCTTTAAATTCTCTTCAATAAAGAAATAGTTCTCTTTTTAGAAAAAGAATTGAGGATATTGTAAAAACTAAGAGTAGTAACTTCTATCTTACAAAAAAGGAAGAAGCATTAGCAGTTGAAAGAAGATATGCAAATGAATTTGGTAAAGATGAAGCTAAACCATTTTTATCATCTCCTATCCTTCGATCTACATTTTAATCAAAACTCTCTAAATAATAGATGGTTGAATAAAATAAATCAATTATTGATTAACATACTAAATTAGATGAATAATTTGGTGAAAAATAAGAAGAATTTAATATGCTCAAATTAGCAGGAGATAATTTTTAAAAATGTCTTTTGATAAGAGTTGAAAAGTAATTTGAATAATTTTAGCCAGCAAAACCAAAGTAAATTATATTTTTTAATACATCTAGAGCAAAAACTCCACATTTTAGTAAATAGAATAGCACTGTCAAAGATATCCTATAATCGGTTCGTCGAAGATAATTTCCTTCTTTTGCTACAAATAGAGATTAATTATCTTATAGGTAGTCAAATGAAGAAGATTCTTAACAATTGCCTTAAATAAAAGTAGCTAAATAGCATATAAGAGTTGTGAATCCAAATATTTCATCTAAAGTAGATATCATAAAATCAAATTATTAATCATTTATGAAATCTAAATCTATGAGTTCTAGATTAGATAGATTATCAGAAAATTAAATGTAAGGATTTATGTTGACAGATTCTATTAATACTTATCATCCTTTACATAGTTTTTAGAATAAAGATGATTAAACTAAGCATAAGAAAAGAATTAAAACATAATCTAAAGTTGAATCTGATTATTAAAAATCAATATTATGATATATAATTAAATTTAAAGTAATAACAATTCTATACATATTTAGTTTTTGTATGTATAATTTTAGATAGATTTGATTCTTCTAATGAATGCTCTTAATTGAGAGATCCATTAATTTAGAAAGTAATAAGTTAATTTACTTATCATGATGAATATGATTAAATTATAAAATGTATATATAAAATCCATATTAGATTGTCTATCATATATAAATATTATTTAAACATTAAATTTTGTATCATTTATAAGTAATTATATGATATGTCCACAACTTTTAATAAATATTAATATATATTATTTAATTGTAATCTAAAAATAGAATTAAAAATTTGAATTATATATGAAGCTATTAATTAAAGTATAATCTTAAGTTAATAATCAACTGAATAATAATCAATAATCAGTTCTATAAATATTTGGATATAAATATCAGAATTGTGACATTTTAAATATAATCATTAAAATAAATCAATAAAGTATATAATGGGAATAATTAAAATGAATTTTGCTATTGGTTTTGTTGCTTTATGCTTTTAAGGATTGGTCTTGTATCCTTGGCATGAAACCATCTCTGAATAAGTGGCCAAATTAGAGAACAATATTGTAAGATTGGAATAGATGGAAGCGTAATTAAAGACTCATATGGAGAGAAATTAGGAGTTGATTAAGCAAAGAATAATTGAGAATGGAAAAAAAATATGATGTAATTTTTATACATTTAAGTTTTTTGTAAATATTCTATAAATAATGTTATCCTAAAAATAGTAGCAAATATATAAATAATCTTAAAAGACAATTTTATGAATTCTATTACTTACTAAATGATCAAGAAGAAGATTTGTTTATCATCTTGATCTAAAAATAGAACTAAACTAAGGATTTCTAGAAATTAATAGAAAATATCTTCCTTCAAAGCATAAAATTAGATTGAAGAGAAATTAATTATTAAATTTAACTAAACTTAGTAAAACTCATGGTTCTTCCTAAAGTGAATATGTTTGTTGGAATCTGTGCATTAAGCTTTTAGGGTTTTGTGCTTTACCCTTGGCATAATGTGATTTACGAATAAGTTGGAAAATTGGATAAAAATATTAGAATACTAGAAATAATGCAGCAATAACTTGTTAAGGAAGCTGAGCAACTAAAAAAATTGAACCCAGTTTGATACATATTCATGTATTTCTTTTAATATCATAACATGCTTATTGTATAATTTGTTTTCATTTTTGAATCTATTTTTAGATGTTATATAATTCAAATTATTTTGGTTGTTAAAATCAAATTTTAATAAATCCATTCTGTAACAGCCATTATGCTTGAAGTATAATAACACTAAGAAGTGAGAAATAAATAAGATTTGAAGCATGAATTCAATCTTGATCACTTATAATAGATTAATAAATTAAGAGTGCTCAATTTTAATAAAAATATAATTCTAACATTAAGAAAAAATAATTTAATACATCTAAAATTAGATCTAATTTATTTGAGAAGATAGGATGAGAGACTTAACATTTTATTGAATTAGATAGAAATAAATGTTAAAGAATAGTTTAAGACAACAGAGATATTTTTCATAGAATCCAAAAATAATAATGAGTCGATCTAATTAATTTCTGATTAATAAGTTCTAGCAAATTGTAAAATAATATTGTTATTAAAATCTAGTGACATTAATTATACTCACCTAGATTAAAGTAGAAGCATTTGATTTATAATTTGTAAAGAATTATCAAGATTGTAAGCTTATAATCGGATTAGTATTGAAAGAGTCTGAAGATTGTAATTAACCATTTTCCATTCAATAAAATATAATACAATCATCATTTTATCCAAGCAATATTATTGTCTTAACTTTATTATAATACTATTTATATCCTAATATTAATATATAATCTAAATTATTTGAGTATTTAGGAAGACATCATATATTCTTCATTAACAAAATCTTTGAGTAAATAGAATTTCAAATAATTGATATTTTGAAGGTGTATTATAAATTATATGATTACAAATTTTCATCTAGAGATAGAGAAATTAGTAATAGAAAGATATTGATTGTAAATTAGATTCAAAATTTATTTCAAAGTATGGGAATCTTGAATTAGATAATTAACAGGGGGAGGGGATTAGCTATTTAAGTTCAAATTTAGATTCAAATGACATAAAAATTTATTCAAGGATTTAAAAAAAAGAAATTTTAGTATAAATCTATGACGAAAATTATATTAGATCGCTATTAAGAAATAAGTAATAGAATTATTTATTTGAGCTTAAATGTTAACCAATCTATAACATTTGTGTAATTATGATTAGAGCTTAAAGATAAATTGTTTTGACAGGATATATAGGAAGCGGAAAAACATCTATTTTTAATTTAATTTGTAAAACAAAATAGCCTGCCTTATTTGGAGGGTGTAATTCATAAACAAGGTAATTAAAAATTAAAAAAAAGACAACCATTCTTAAAAGAAGCTGCTTATGGAAGTGGATTTCGAGTTTTAGATACTCCTGGCTATGGATTAATATCAGAGAAATTAATTCATGCTGTTGGTGTTTTAAATGCCCTCTCAGAAGGACCTGTTAACTAAATATTTTTAGTAGTTAAATGGGAAAGAATAGAGTTGATGTAAGTTTATTTGAAATACATGGTTGTAAAATTTCTAAGATTTAAACATCTTATAACTGTTGCTGTTACACATTGGGATATGGCAGATAAGGAAACCATAAAATAAAATGAGGAATAAGTAAGAAAGATGATTGCTTCATATAAATTAAATTCTGTTATTTTTTTATCTAAATTAGATTCAGGTGAAAATGTTTGTGCTTAAATTGATACAATTTTAGATAAAAGTTAAGCTGAAAAAATTGAATTAACTGAAGCAGAGTTTTATTCTAATTTTGATTTAATTGAATTGAAAAATGATATAGAGTTTGAATTGTAAGATTAAACGGAAGAAGTAAATAGAAATTTTAGAAAAATAGCAAAAGCTATAAGATAATTTATTAAAGAGTTTGATGATAACAATCCTTCAATGCATGAAATAATGCATTATCTTGCTTTGGAGACAAAAAAAATAGCAGAAGGCTTAATCTCAGATTTTGAAATTAAAAACAATGATAAATTTTCTGAGTTATTTGAGTATCATTCAAATCCTAGTCTTGCTTATTTAATTCATTTTGAATTAAAGAAAGCATTAATGATAGATATTGATGAAATTGTAAAGCTTACTCAATACAAAATGAAAAATAATTAAGAACATTTTTTTAATTTTATCAAGGCCTGTCCTTTTTGTGGACTTATTTGGTTAAAAGTATATGGATCTTGTACGACGACAACTTGTGGAAATTTTCCTACTACTGATGATTCGAAATTTTCAAAGTATAAATTGACTTAAAAGTACACATTTAACATTACAGAAAAAGGAGTAACCTACACATTAAACTAAGAAAATCTTTTATAATCAAATCCTACTACTTCAAAAACATATGTTGATCCCTCTTTGAAAGAAAAATAGAAAAAGCTAGGATGTGGTAAACCGATTATTTGGAAGGAAATTCCTGCTCTTTCACCACAATAATTAAAAGAACTGATTGACCCAGGATTAATGGATTATTTTGCTAATGAAGTTCCAAATGAAGAACTTAAGAAAATTTTGATGAAAGCTTAAAAGTCTATTAAAGATAAGGTTGATTAAATTAAGATAGAGAATACAGTAGTTAAATTATGAATTCGATGATCCATTTAATAGATTTTATTAAATATTAGATTATTTTATCTTAATTATTAAATTTGACAATAATCATTCATTAGATATAAGAAACTTTTTATAGTCATAATAATTTCTCATTATATTTATTTGTTAGTTACACGATACTCGAATAGATCTACAACGATACATAGAAGAAACATTTAATAAAAAAATCTTATTGAATATTATTTATATTATAAAAATAGCTTATTTTTATCCTTATCAAAATATTATTTTGAAATAATGTAAAATTAAATCTAAAAAATAAATTAATTTGATAGCATTAGGAATACAATAGTACATATAACTATCAAATCTGAGTTGATGAAAAATCTTAGAATCAAGTTTCTAAATAAGTTATCATTTACCCTTTTAAAGAAAATTCAATGATACATTAACTTGTATTTATAGTTTTGAATAATTAAAAATTGGCTCCATCTCAATATTATAGTAACATTGATTGGAACAGTAAAGATAATCATCAATTGCAAGAATTTCATAGTAACATAAATCAATGAACTATAGAAAATATAGCGCATATCATCCAAATCTATATTGTTCCATAAATTATACAATAGACTTTAAGATCTAATTACTTCTTATTCTAGAGCCAAATACTTAATGATCAAAAGCATAAATTTAAAAAATGAAGAAGCTCTTTTAGTAGTTAAGAAAAAATTTCAAGAATTATTTCATAGATATCAATGATTAAATTACTCATAAATATTTGAAAAGTAATTAAGTATTGAAACATTTATTTTTAAACATAAACATAACTATTTTACAATTTATTGTCAATTTCTTTTATATGATTTAATGTCATACAGATTATCAATTAATCTTTGTGCTTCTTCATACATAGATTATTTAATAGGAGTTGTTTCTCCAATATTCCTTTTTGGAGAAGGCTAATAAATACTTGGTAATTTTTTAGATTTTAATCTTTCTGATTTTATACCTTATCCAAAAATATTAAACATTTATTTATAATTCTCAAGTTCATTATTAAAATATTTTATAATTTCAGTTGCTTTAGTTAATTAATACTATAAATTCTCACTATGAGAAATCTAATTTTCTAAATGCTTTTACAATTCAACCTTTTTCTTAATAACTTCTTTTGGTTTTTCTAGTTATTTTAATAAAGTTTAGTTTTCTTATGAACTTCTTTAAATTTATTATTTCATTTATTTTACATTATCTCTCATCCTTTCTTACATTTGCTAAGCTTTTTCTTATAAATCAGTTATATTATTAGCTTATAATTGATTTTATTATTGAAGAGCAGAAATTTGTTCCTTTAGAATAGAGACTTCATCCTTCTATTAAACTTAAAATTCATCCTAGTCACTTTGTAATATTTAAAGACTAAATTAATGCTAATTTCTAGAACTATTATCTAACATATTGAAGGCAATTTGATTTTTTTTATTAGGTGAAAAATAGTAACTATTTGACCTTTCTTATGGATGGGTATTAACTGTTTTTTAATTTTCATTTATTATAAATTACTCTAATAAATAATCTTCAGTTTAGCAAAAAATATCCTATGTTTGAATTTCCTGATTAATCTCTTATTCTTAAATTTGATTATTAGAAAAGTTAATTTATAATTTACTTCTTCTTCTAAGATTTGAATGATGAGTTGCAAAGGCTTAAGTAAAGTTAGCACTAGCAAATTTAGAATGAGGTGTTTCTTCACTTTATTTTGGAGATGGTCCAGTTATTTATTCCTTTGTATTTAATCCACTATTAGTACTAATATGATAATAATATTAATCTTCTCTATTTTTTGATCTTTAATTTCTTTTCTTTCTGAGTTTTTTGATTAAATTAGTTTATTTTTTTAATTCTTATATTTCATCTAAATCTAAGTTAGGAACTTATTCTTAATTTTATTTAAAATTAGAAATAGGGGAGATTTGAGTAGTTTATTAATCAGCATTTTTTAAATTTAGTTTGAATGTATTAGGAGAGAAGGAACTAACATCTTTAGGCCACAAAGAAGGTGATGTTTATTATTACTGATGCTCAATTTCTTATGAAAATTATGTCTAAGTTGAAAAATGATTTGTAGGATTGGTTAAATAAAAGTTTTCTAAGGATTGTTAAATTTATTATTCCGACTATAATTATTCTTCATTAAGTACAATATTATTGTTTTTCTTCAAATTAGCTATTATTGCTTTAGTTTAATGAAGATATAAAGATTGTTATTACATATCAGCTCTTAATTATTGAGTTTATTATTATTACTATTATAATTGAATTTATTGATTTTTTATTAAGATTAATTATTGCTCATTTTTTTAAATTTCTTATTCGTATTTATTTCTTACTTATTCTAATTCTTTATTGGCTCTAATAGATGCTTTATTTGCTTCTGAAATTCTGAATTCACTATCTTTAATCAATTTGTCCATACGTTTTTCATATGTATTTCTTAATTCCCCTAAAGCAAATTCATATTGATCTTATTTAATGGCCACTTAAGTATTATGTTCTTCTTATTATTATTGTAACATTTAAGTATATTTAAATTTCATTTATTCTTATTTCTCTATTTCTTCATTAATTTGATTTGTAAGTTCTTCCAATTTCTCATTATAAGAATCCACTAATTCAAAATGTGAGTTTTAATTCTTCTTAATTTTTTTGTTCTCATCCTCTATCAATTAATTTAATTAAAATATTCTTTAATCTTTTTATCTTATTAACTCATCCTAATGAGAAATAATATTTTATTGTTCTATTGATTACTTTGAGACCTCCATTTTGATTTGTTCATAATTAGAATTACGTTCCTCATTTAAAAATAGTAACTGGTTAGCTTATTGTGTCAATATTTATGATTCTATATTATGTATTAGAGTTTGAAATACATTTACTTAATGTTTCTTACATGGATTTCATATCTTCCTACAAAATAGAAATCAACGTTGGAAAATCTGCTATTCTCTTCACTAGTTCTCTACTCTCTGTTTCCCTAATAATTTGTGATAAATTCTCTCTTTATTACTAAATTACTATATTAATAGGATAATACTTCTAAATAAGTTTATGTTGCAAGTATAGTATTTTTAAGTTCATCATTTTCATTTCTCAATGGTTGTAATTATTAGATTACATGTATGATATTCTCTTCAACCTTTTGATTGAACAACATACTTGGTTAAGTGAGAAGACTTTTAACATCATTAGATGTTTTATCTCTTTTTTTATTGTGTCTCTCATTATTCATTATTTATGTTTACTAAAATTTATACAAATTTTCTTCAATACCTCTACTTACTATTTCATTGATAGATAGATCTTCTTTTGTTAAATCCTCTCTCTTTAATAAATTGTAAACAGGAGAGAATGTAGCAAATCACCTCAAATCAAAAGAACATAAAAAGAGATAGAAAAGAATCAGAAAAAATCAATCATATTATATTAGGCTATATCTGAAATCATTTCACTTCCTATTTGATTTGTTGATACTGAAGGAATTGAGAATGTAGCTTTAAAGAAGTTTCTAAATCCATCATAATAGAAAATGTTAATGCAGACAATCAATGCAATTAAATATTCTGATATAGCTTTATTTGTTGTTGATGCTAAGGCTATGACTACAAAAATACTCTAATTAATAAATCCTGATCCTAAATTAGTTAATGAATTAAAGGATTAGAAATCAAACCTAATCTTAAAAAAGTGATGCCATTTTTGAAACTGACATTGATTCATAACTTAAACAATTGGGGCTTAGAAATTCAAAATATGTCTCGGCAGTTAATGGAATAGGATTCTAAGATTTTCTTACTAAAATCTCTGAAAATATTCCTCAATCTGTTAATGAAGAATATTAAGAAACAAAAAAGGAAGTTCTAAAATTATAATCAATTGTATTCTATATGAAAATTTGGGTATTTTTCCATTATCATTAATTATACCTAACGAAGAGAATTTTTTTGTTTATTGAATTAAATATCAGAACTTTTTAATCTTAAAAATTTGTACTTTCATCTAATCTTTTTCATAAAATTTATTGTGCAAATACTACAAGATCTACCTTGAGATTTTCTAATGTTATTGTTCTATTAATTGATTTATTAGGACCATTTAGGGAAGTAAATTTAGAAATTGTTTAGGAAATTGTAAAATAAGATAGAGGTTTAATCATAGTTTTACATAATGGAATATAGTTGATAATGATCATAAAGAAAAAATAGTTAAAAATTTGCAGAATAGGAGAAGTATCTTGGGGAAGTACCTAATGGTAAATTAATCACTATTACTGCTGAAGAAAGATTAACATGTATCTTTTGATGGATTAAGTTATTTAAGTTTAGAATAGATGGAATACTAGAGTATTCTATTATTTAAACAATGTTTATAGATCTCTACTAGTTTTTTAAATGATTGGTTAAATAAATTAAAAAAGAGATAAGTTAAAGATTAGATTCATAGAGACACTTTCTTTCGCATAATTTATCAATTAAGATTAGCAGATTTATTATTAAAAAGTAGGAGAATTGCTAGATCGGTAAAATAGAAGTTAGATAAATTAAAATAGAAATATCAAATGAATAAATTATGATTTAATTGTTTAATAGTCATTTAGTTAATATTTTTAAATTCTTTAAACCATGAATTTATTAGAATCTGATCTTAAATGAATAATAATTGAATTACTTTAATATAGTTAATTATTTATATGAACAATAATTAAATTTTTTATCGAGTTAGTATATGAGTTAAATATATGTTATATAAAATTCATCTATAATGCAACTATTTTTTTAATAAATAACAATATAGAAATTTCATTAATTTATTTCATCCTTAATTAAATTAAAAGAACCAATAAAATTGGTAAGTTTTTCAAGTGGATTAATTTGTTCTTGGGATGATTTATCAAATTATAGATTAGTCTGCATAATTAATGTGCAATTTTTTGGTCTTATTACAAGTGTTTAACTTTATTCTCTAGTTGTTAATGCTTTATCTCTGGTAATTGATTACATGAAAGGATTTTTAGAAAAGGTTGGCATTGCAGATTTTTTAAGTCTTTAATAATTTGAATTAATTATTTACATAGCCATATTAATTTATTTTGGATAATCTATTTCGTTTTCAATTTGATCATCAGATGGTACAAAGAATTTATGTTTAAGTAATTCAGTTGCTTTCCATCTATGATTTGGATTTTTAGCTAACATTTTGGATATTAAATCTCTTTCAATATCATCTAATTAATCTTATGTAAATCTTTAAAAATTAATTTCACATCTTCTATTTAATTCTAATTATTCTCTTCTATCTTTTTTTTCAAATAATGGTTCTCCAACTAATCTAAATTTGCATAATTTAATACAAAACATAAAGTATAACACCAGCACTGAAAATATCACAAACAGTAGTATATCTAGCAAATTCTGAATCTTATTCTAATATCTCTGGAGCTACAAAACCTGGAGTACCACATTTAGGATAAGTGTATGGATGTTAATCACAAGATTAAGCCAATCCAAAGTCTGCAATTTTGAGAGATTCTAAATCTTTTGACATAAATAATATATTTTCTGGTTTTAAATCTCTATGCATTATATTAAATGAATGAATGAATTTTAGTCCTTCTAATAATTATCTCATTATTATTCTAATATCATTTCTACTAAATAAAGTAGATCTCTTTTTCATTAAAGACAATAGAGATCCACCTTTGGCTAACTCCATAACTAAATAATAATTCTAATTTCCAATATATAATTCATTTAATTAAAGAATATTCTTGTGTTTATGTTCAGACAGAATACGCATAGTTTCAATCTCTTACATTAATTAACGATATCCATTTTTTTTTTCATTTATTTTTTATTAATCTATGCATTTAGCCGCATATTATTGATTATTATACAAATTAGTTAATTCAAGTACAGTAGCATAGGAACCCTTGCCTAAAACGGATTCAGCTTAATATTCATCTTGTATTTTCATTTGAAATGCATACAAAGCAAATTTTTATTTTATTTCTCTTAGTTATTCATTGCTTCCAAAATATTCATATGAATGACTTCCAACTTAAAAGGTTATTGATTTTAGCATATTTTTTGAATATTGCCACTAAATACGAGTATCTGTATTTATTGCGAATTATCTCTCAGGAATTTGTACCTTTGGAGACTGTTTTCATATAATAATATCCATACTTTTCCAATACAAATGTGATTCTTAAATAAGTAGATATACCTTGGACTCTTACCAATAAATTTTTTCTTAGTTAAAATACATTAGTATATGCACTCATTGTAATCGACACTTTATAATGTATTTTACACTCCTTCATGGACTGTGCGAGATTTTTGTCTCATATTTAATTTAATAATATTAATATACACAATTATTGGAATAAATCAGAAACTAATACCTTTTTTATAATAATCAAAAAGATTTATGACATGAACCAATTATAATATTAATTTTAATACGAGAAAATTATTTCGATATATATATAATAAATATAATTCATTCATTCTCAATATTATCATCAAAAATTTCATTCATTTATTCTTAAATATATAGTAAATCTTCAGGTATTAAATCAGCTGCTATTTTACTTAAGTAAAGTGCCTTAGTATCTGCATCTAAGATTCTATACGAAATCCAATAGCATTCTTTTAATTCCTTTGTTTTCAAAGCCTATACTATTAAACTTCAAATTACTTAATCAAGTTTTTAAATTATATTTTGATAGTAATCACCTTCATTAGGTTCACTAAAATCAATTCTACTAATCAATAATTATTATATATTTATCCAATTATCTTTCAAATCATTCAAATTCTTAATTGGATCATTAAAATCAACATTTTTTGAAAATTTCTAATATGCTAACTGTTAATTAATACTGAAAACTTTTCTTCCGAAAAAATATTATTTTCTAAAGAGAATGTAACAAATCGATCAAAAGACATTGCTTTTTCACCACTCTCATTTGATATAGTATCACATCTTTCCATAAATTGAGTTCTAATTAACTTTTTATTTGATTTAGTTCCTTAATTAATTTCAAAATGTAAATATAATTTTTAAAACTCTTGAAATTCTATCATTCCATCCATATCCATATCAGCTGAATAAAATACTTCTTCAAAGTGTGCTTAATGTGACAATTTGTATTAATGATATCCATTCAATAATTTACTAATAAAGAAATCTACATCAACACAAATTTTGTTCTTTCTTTCATAAGTATTTAAACGAATATCCTTTATTATTTTATCCTTGATTTCTATACTCAAACATTAATGTTGCATATCCAATGATGCTATAGCTTTATCTAATGTAACTAATACTCCCTTCTCATTTACAATTGATGCCATATGAAGAGCTATTTCATTTTCATCAAGAATTTTCAATGATTGGATATAAATTTCTAAATCATCCAATGTAAGGGGACTTAATAATTCCAAAAATCTTGAATCAATCATATATATACCTTCCAAATAGATTGATTCTGAAATTTTCTCTATAAAAGTATATTGATTAATAGAAATTTGTTAATTTTTATTCAGCCATACTCTTGAATCCATAAGTATTGACAAAATGCTCATAACATATTTAATGTAAAGGAGTATTTTTGTTAGAATATTGTTTAATTTTTTCACAATAAAATTATGAAACGAATTTTAAAACATTTATTCTTTACATCTTAGGTGTGGCTAACTTTGGATTTTTAGCAAAACGCTCAGCCAAAAAAGTAACTAAATATTTAGATCTCTAAAAATTGAGTTAAGATGTGGATTCAGCATTATTTCTATTTTAAAATTCTTAAAATGTTCAACAATTATTTACTTGGGGCTTATGTTTATGTAATATTTCTTTTCTTTTGTTGTCTATCTGATTTTCTTTTTGAATAAGCTTCCATTTTGGATGAAAAAGATGAATCAATACTTGAAGCCACACTATTATCTAATTCTTCATTTAGAAATTTTTTTAAAGTGTCTGAAATCATTTTTACACTTTCAATATTAAGATTATTTTAAGTTGGAATACTTTTTTTTGCAGATTTTAATCCTTATCTATTGTTACCATTATTTGTATTTAATTACTACAGTTACTATATTTATATTTACATGATTGCCAGGAGATTTAGCTTGAGACTAAATTTAAGATGATCTTCTATTTGATGCAAAACTACGTTATGAAATAATATCCTATTTAACAATATATATAATACATCTTAAGCTATTGAAATACTTTATTAAAATGATATCTAAGATAATGATCTATCACTCTCATTATCAGATTCCTTTTATTATTCCTCCGTATTTGTTATTTAAATATTCCATTTCTTTTTTGGTACACTTATTTATTAATTTGATATCTCTTATTATATGATTGTATTAGATGAATTTTCAGGTTTATTTTATTTTCTATTAGTATTTAACTATTATCTTCCAGGTGATGAAGCAATAAGATATTATTGTTGATTTGATGGATTATTTGATAATAAAAATTATTATTAAAAATTTTAAGATATTTCTATAGATGAAGGTAATTAACTTTATGATTAGGTGGCAGGTTATTTTTTTTATCCAAAATTATTAGTTTTCTTTTCTTATATTTTCTTTTTCATAATATTAGTGAATTATTATGTTTTAGTTAATTGATTAATTAAATTAGTAGTTTTTTCTATTAGTTATTATTTCTTATCTTTTATTTTATTATATTTTCTTTCTAATTTTGAATTGATCTATAATAATTAATGATATTTACTTATTCTTATAATTCTAAATGGTTTTCTAATTCTATAATTTCATTTTTAGCTGATTCTAAATTTAATTATAGATTATCATGATTTATTTTCTAATTCATTAATCAAAATATTACCAATTATTGTAATTCATTATTTTTTCTTTAATTTTCATCTTATTATGCACTATTAATAAGTAATAGACTAGTTCTATATTCTCTTTAATGTTAGACTGCTTATTTCATTTTGGATGAAACATCACCTAAACTTAGTAAAAAAGATGATATTTATTTTAAATCAGGACTGTTTATTTAATCCCCTTCTAAAAGTTATTTATAATTTTCTTAAGTTTTTATAAATTGTTCTTAAAATTGAATTAATTGATCTTCTTCAGTTTTTATTTCTTCAAGAATTTCTGTAGGTAATTCAGTTTGTATTTCTTTTTCCATAAAATTGCTTATACTATAATCAGTCTAAACAACATTATGTCTTAGATCAGGGAGAAGTATTGATCTATGTTTATAATATATATAGGTTACTTATGTTCAGGTTAAATATTTGATGCAATAGTTTGAGTAGATTAATCTTTTTATAAGTTCATTAGTATAATTAGATCATTGGTATCAGTAGATTAATTAATGAGCATATCTTCAAAATTTGAAAGAGTAGTTTCTGAATCGCTTTTTAAGGCATTTTTCAATTATTCTTCAATTTAAATATTAAATGATTTATGTGCACTAGCTTAGATAACTTTTATAGGTTATGGGAATTAAAGAGGTGAGTGATCACTATTTTATGGAGATGAAGCTCTGCAATTAGCTTATGATGATTATTAAAAATTGTGAATATCAATTTCATTTTCTTAGATTTGTTATTTAAGATTTTGAATTTCATTTAATAAATATTTATTTGAAGTAGTGTAATCATTTAATTAGAATTTAAGTTCTCTGATTGTATTTTGTAAATTTTTATTAGTTTTTTTGAGATATTTTCCATTATCTTTTAATCTAATTAATTTATCTGTAAGTTTGGTTTATTCTTCTTTCTAATTAGAAATAATTAATTAAAAATTATCAATTTCATATTGATATAATTAATGTGTTTTCATTATTTATTTTAGATTTTATTTTTCATTTTCCTTTTTTTCATTAACAACTTAATTAATGACAGTAGAATTAATTTCCACATATTATGTCCAAATCTTTTCTAATAAAACACTAAATATATTTGTAAATTTACATCACCTCCTTTCAATACAATCAATACTAATTTATCGTATTAATTCTTTTAAACATAATGTTAAAACATTTTATACTTCTTCATAAAAATCAATTTGTTTTTGATCACTATATTTTTCTATAATCTATTATACCATCAGATCTACCCAAATAGCAAGTGATTTAATATCATGTCTAATTAGATAATTAAATATTACTTTTATGGAATACCTCTATGAATTTTATCTCTTGGGTTATGTTTAGATAGATTACTACTGAAATTGCCTAATTATAGATAGGGTTCTTTTAATTCATTATGAATATGCACTTCAACAGTAGCTTCAATATTAATTAAAAGAATTACGCTCTCTTAGTGATTTAGGTGAGATATATAAATCTTATAGACGTGTAGGATATTAATAAGGATCAAAACTTTTCAATTGGCCATAAAAATCATTACGGGCTTAACATTTCATTTTATCAATGATTTCTAATTAATTTTATGCAAGTAATGGAGATCCATAAAATATCTATGAATTTATTAATAGAATACTCCTTAAGATAGAGGCTTATGCTTTTAAGAATATCTGTAGGATATATTAGAGTACGGTTATGAACTTTTTAAATTAGGAAGTGAATCTCGTTCTATTCTAGTCAATCTCTCATTAGAAGTATCAGATCTTTAAGTTGGCCATGTTGTTTAATATTGTTGTGTTGGTTAAATAGTTTTAAGAATGCGAAATTTAGTTTATTCACTCATTTTCAATTGTGGATAAATTAATTATATAAATATATCATTAAATTAGAATTGACTACTTCTTATTAAGAATATTAATTTTCTTCAAAGTAAAAAGTACACAAACAAATGCTATCATTCCTGAAGAATAGAGATATATGGTGAAATTAATGGATTTTTCTTGTTTATTTAATTAACTTATAAAAGATGTATTAAGTATATTAGTTTAATGCTTTACTAAATCTATATCTCTTCTTAACTTTTCAGCTTTATAAGAAAGTTATTCATTAATTATATATAATTAATGTAATTCTTCTTATTTTAGTTTTTCAATATTTTCTGAGTGATTATCATCATGAATATGATTATTATAATCTTGAGATTTATGAATATTATTATCATTGTGATCTTCAATCTAATTTATTTTTAGTTCATCAACTTAAATTTATTCTTCTTTTACACTTTAATGATGTCTACCTAACCAATCTGTAATTGATTCTAAATTCCATTATCCATCAAAATAAATTAATATTTTTTCTGTTTTATGTATAAATACTAATTAAGGAGTTTAATTAATATTTAAGACAGAACACAAATCATTAGCTTATTGACAATTCACACTACCCATAAAATTAGTATCAGCATACAATTGATACAATTAATTCCATAATGTAATCATTTAATCATCATTAATAATTAATAGTATTGACTAGATTTATAGATTGTTCTTACATTTTAATCAATATTTTTAAGACTTTCAAATTTGGATATGCTTATTTGTTCACCTAAGAATGATGCTTATGATATTGTTATTAAAATGTATAATAATATCATAATAAAAATAATTATTATTAATCAGAATAACATTAAATAATTTCTTTCTATTATTCTCTTATTAGTTAACAGATTTCTTGATACTCTTACATTATCCATTTTAAATCCTTCATCTTTCTATTGAATAATTGATCAGTCATTTCAGCAACTGTATTTTAATAATTTCTTCTTTTTTTAAAGAATTATTTCAAATTCTCTAAACATAATTTAGCTCTTCTATTTGAAAATGGATTGATTGGATATTTTGTTAAATAATAAAATTATTCACCAATTGCTTAAGTTATAATAAGCATATCATGAGATACTTACAATCTAGCAAGTAAGACATAAGCATTAAATTGATTAGAAACCATATAGAATCGTTTTGCTATTGCAGCAATTAACAATGATGTTGTGGCAAAACCAGAATATTATGTGAATGATAATACAATTTTACCATAAACAGTATATGGTTCATATTCTTCATAAGAATATCTTATTAATGCCAAGATGGTCTCATAAAATGAGTGTTTCAATAATTACATTGTATTTGAATTCTCTTCTCTCATATATGGACGTTCTACTATCCATAATGCCAATGTAAGATAACAAACTTATATTGTAAAAATAGTAGAAATTACTAACACTGGTTCTTGATCTACTAAAAATTTGAATGTGAAACTCCATTTAACTTTGAAACCAAAATATAATGACAATCTATGTACTTAACTATTATATAAATGACTCATTCTCAAAAGGATAAATAATAAATTCACACTTCTTAAACATGTCCATAAAAATAGTAATTCATTCAAATAGAAGTAAAATACACCATCAACTCTATATAATGTGAATTCATATTGTATATCTAAATTAAGATTTAATATACTTTTTGTGAATACATTAGGTATTGGTAAATATATCAAAAACTCTAATAAAAAAGGGTTAAAAATATCACTTTTGTGAAAATTAAGGTTCAGTGGAATCAATTAAGTAGCTTTAAAATAATTGAATTTGACATGATATGTTATATATGTAAAGAGTAACAAGATGAAATTCAAAGTGAATATTATCCATAAAAATGTATCATCTTCTTAATCAGATAAGAAATATTAATCATCAAACTATATAATAATTTTCATACATCTATTATTAGTATAATTGTTATCACTAATATTAATTGCAATCTAACATGTTCAATTAAACGATGAGTCTCAAATAATAACTTAGTAACTCTAGAATCCTCAAATCCATTATGATCATCTTTCTTAATACTAGCATACCCTCCTTTTTCTTATTCAGATTAAAGATTACTCTCATATTACATATGATGAACCTTATCCTCTGATATTTTATTGGATAAATGTTGTGATATGACATTGCTATTATGAAATCGTTTTTAATTCATTATTATTTCATATATAAATATATAATGTAATCAAACATGAAATTCCATCACAAGTAAATCAGATCCATCTTCTTCAGAATCTTACAAAATTGCATCATCCTTACTTTATTTATCATATGTTTAATTTGTCTATAAATGATTAGAATTTTGTTTTTAACTACAACTAGCATGTGATTCAAATACATAGTGATAATTAATTGTATTAATCAATTGTAAACGTTTAAATTCCTTTAATAATAAATAATACTCTTGAAACATAAAATTAATATCTTTAAATTTTCTTTTAGCTTTTGACATTGAATCCTCACCATCTATATTTCTATATTATCTTTTCATCTATTTTAAAGCATTGATAGAATCTTAAATAAGATTTATACTATTATTTTCTAACTTTTTAATCTTCATCTACTTAATTCTTACAATCAAATCTTAACTCAAATATCTCATAGCATTAGTAACACTAGTCTTTTCCAATAATGCCCATACCATCTCTTCACAATTCATTCTTTCAAACATTGAATCAAGCATTGCTGTAAATAAGGAAGTGTAAGATACACCCCAAAATACACAAATAGCCATTGATATACGACCTAAATCAGTTGTTGGATAAAATTCACCATATCCAACAGTTGCAATAGTAGTAAGAGTAACCCACATAGATGTCATTACACTATAAACACTATGTTGAGTTTCATTTCTTTAGAGAGCTCTCTCTGCTATTTCTAAACTGTAACCAAAGAGAAGCATTCCTGTCACAAATAAACCCATTAATGTATAACCAGGTAGATCTTTCATACATAATTTGAATACTAAATGAGTATCAAAATTAGTAGAATAGAGACGACTAAAAATAGAATAAATATATTAGAACCACAATCTGCCAATTTGACTACTGTAAAAGGATGAAAATTTAAGTGTAATATTTGTAAGCAAAATAACTCTGAAAGTTAGGATATAAGTTAATATTTCATTCAAGTAGTAAAATCTTAGTTAACCTGTGTATCGTTGATTGAAATCTATTCTAATCATTTAAGTGAATGGAGTTGGAGTTGGTAAGATCAATAGTATTTCAATTGCTAAACTGTAAACCAAATTTGAATCCAATAGACTAGCTTAAGGTGTGATTACCATAGCTTTCTTCTTATAGGTTAAGAGAACTTGGTAGGAAATTAAAGTGAGTAAAACTAGACGATAGCAAGGGGAAAGCATGTACTTGCAGCAGCAGTCATCAAAAATATGATGTATAATAATGTTAAGGTCTCCTTTTCTAATTCTTTTACAAATTGATCTGAGAATGAACATTCATACTATATTTGTATATAACATACATACTTCCATTATTGCTATTATTTAAGTACCAAATATCACACAAAATCTTGTCATCTCTACAATTCGATATTGTTCAAATAATAATAATGTGATTCTACTGTCTTCAAATGTACTTTATGAATCTGACAAGATAGAGCCTTATCGTTTAACTCTCCATTTTTTACCCAAAGATAGAGTCTTCTTTTTTGTTATCTCTACATCTTGAGACATTTATTTTATATATTTATAATTATCCATGAAAAAAGTAACTTAATCTACTGCATCAACCTTTAAACCAAAACAAAGTCTTGCTAAACCTAAAAGTCAAAATTAATTTGAAGAAACAGATCCAGCTTAAAGAGGTATTAAATATATAATATGAAGACAGGAAAATAATCAGAATGAGAAATGTTGTTGATTTAGGAGATGCTTAAGAGGATAATAAAAAAAATTAAAAAAAGAATGGTAATTCTTAAAATTCTAATAATTAGAAAACTAAAATGATCCTCTTCTTGAACAACTTGATTAATGGCATGAAAATATTATGTCTAAGAAAAAGACTTATGCATTTGAATAAGTCAAATAAAATGATAATAACAATAAAGTGATTGAAAATGAATTCAATTTAGATCATGGACCATAAATAAACTCTAATATTATCAATCAAATTATGAAACCTATTGAAATACCTAATTTTAAAACTGAAGATAATAATGATGATGTATAGGTCTAATTCCAAATGCTTAGACCAAACAAAGAATCTGGTAATGTATTAAAGACACTTGATTAAGTAAGAATAGAAATGAATAAACAAATCTTAAATAGTCTACTACTCTAAAAAGTAACAAAAAAATTGGATGAATTGAATATCAATAGAAAACATAAAACTAATTGGAATATATAACGTATGGATGAAGAAATAACTTAAGTATTTAGAGATTAATCACATGCATTAAAATAAAGAACATTAAATAACTTCAAAGGTTTAACTGAGTATTTTAGTAATCCTGCATAATATATTGATTATGAAGTTGTCTTATCAAAAGCAAAATATCATTCTAATAGACCTCCAACATCATTTCCTACAACTTAAATTCCCTAATAGTAATAAAATTCTACATCTGCAAAGTCATTAATGGAGAGTTATCAATTATTTCAAATATAAATCAAAGAACATAAAACTATATTGTATTAAATGAGAGTTGAAAACAATAACTTCGTTTAAGAGTTGAATAGTTATGAGGAAGAAGTATAGGATATAAGAAGAAAGTTTTTTGTTAAGGAAGAGAAGGCAAGATAAGGATGGATACCTGAATAATAGAATGATGGAGTTCCTAATAAAAAAAGAAATCTTATGGATATAATTGAAAAAATAAGAAATTAAAGGGATGTTGAGATTAAATAAAGAACTAAGGAAATATAATCATTAAGAAAATAAATGTAATAGAATAGTGAAAAATAATAATAAATATAAAAAGAACTTGATGAAATGAGATAAAAGAAAAGAAGATGTAAAATGTTACTTAAAGATATTTTTTTAAAATAATTCTAAGATTCTAATAATTCTCTTGTTCCAGAAGGTTTAGTTAGTATTATAAAGAATATGAAAAAAATTAATGAAAGTGCTAAACCAGAATATTTCCCAAAATTTTTAGATGAAATTTCTAAGAATTATTTATTAATAGCAGCTTAATTAGAAATTGAAATAGAAGAAACAAGAGTATTGTCTTAAAAATATAATCAATAATAATTATTATAACGTACAACAAGTGCTAGATAACATATATCTACTTAAAGATAATAAATGAATGTTTCTGAGATTAAAAATTAAGTGAAAATTATGTTAAAGAAAAGTAAAGTATCTATAAAAAAACCTGTATTTGTTTAAGGAATTGATCCAATAAATCCAAGTTCATTTGCTCATGTAATAAAGTGGGAACATTAGGATTTAGAAAATTAATAAATAACTGAACCTATTGAAAATAATTTTAAGAATTAAAATATTTCATCAGAACGTAATAATATAATAAAAGATTATAATTAAAAATTAGTTTAATTATAATAATAATTAGAATAAGCAACTAATGAAGAATGTTAACGTATTTTAAAATCATATTCAAATAAAAAATTATTATCAGACATTCAAGAATTAAAAATGGTTATGTATGCATTATTTGGTTAAGCATTTGGAGATTAATAATGGATCTAATTTGTTGTGGAATGGACTGAATAAAAATAATTAAATCCTTTATATGTATTAAAATAAGAAGAACAATCAAAATAAAGTGATACACGTAAAGATTAACATTCAATACCAGAAAAGATGAAAAAGAAAGTATCTTAAACATTAAAAAAATTAACAGAAGTTACAAATGTTGATTATAATTTTGAATTATGTTTTTGATGTATTTATGTTTATGTTAAAAATATAATCTGTTTATTTTTAATATTATTATTATAAATGATTATAATATCTTATTATTATTTAATTATCTCATTTTACCTAATAAAACCAATAAACTTTCTTAAAAACTACTACAATAATCATAGCAACATTTCCAACAAGATCTATCCATTTACTAGATTGATTTTCTGTTGTATTTACTTATTATACTTATTTATATACAATATCATCATTTATGTCTGTTAGAGAATTTGTAGAGTTTTTATTTTATTATAAGTAATCTAGTACACTATTGAATCTTGTAATTTCACCACTTTCTAAATTATTCATACAAAAATAGCTAGATAGATTATCTTAATAAGGTAGAAAATAATGATATATTTTTTTAAAATTCTAAAAGTCATAACTCTCTGAAATATCAGATTTTTTTTTATAAATCATACATGTGTATAATTAATTTAAACCTTCAATTGTTTAAGGTAGATTTGAACTAGAATCAGATTCTTATTATTTATTAGGAACAGTTGAAAATTTCTGGTTGTTATCAATCAACTACTTTATTTATATATACTTTTCTTTTAGATCTTTAAAATAATATGTACTCTTTTACAATAAATAATTATTTACTATATCCCCACTAGATAATTTTGCTGCATATTTAGATTACAGATTGATTATTTCTGATTTCTACAAACCTTGAATAATATTTTATCTTGCTTGAACAGAAAATACTTATTTAATCATTTCAAAGTTTTTAATTTTATGTACAATAAAAATATTTTAAAGCATTCCTCCTTAAAATTCAACTCTTTCTTACAATTATTCTTTAACCCTTTATATTTGTTCATTATCTGTTCCATCTTCAGAATATTTATTAATTATTAGAACAATTTTAGGTATATTCTTTTTATCGAGCCCAAATTATTAATTGATGAATTATATAAAATCCTTTCCTCTATTTTACAATTCCTTTTATGGACTGTCTAATACATAAATTACTTTTGTTTAAAATGTTGTTGTTATTTTATGAAAGAGTAAATCAATAAATAGTTTATGATAATCATTAATAGTACTTTCAAATCCAGGGAGATCAACAAGAACATGATCCATTTCTTAAATATATTCATAAATAAATGTTTATGTAACTGAAGTAGAATTTGTTCCCATTTTTGAGATATACATTTCATCATTAGTAGGAATAGGTTACAAATAACCTACTCCATCCTTCTCAATTATTTTGAAATCTGCTCCTAATATCCAATTATAGAGACTACTTTTTCCAGCCCCTGTATTTCCACATAATAAAATAACCTTTTAATTTTTCTATTTATTCATAAACTTTTCGAATTTCGTAAAGTTACTTTGTACTCTCTATATCACTTCTGAAATTATTTATTCTCCAATATCATCAATTTAGTCAATTCCTTACATTATATATCTAATATCGAATTCTATTAATTAATAATAATTTTTTCTAATATATTTGAGCCTCTTAATCCTTTTCTTTAGTATATACTATTTATTCAATTCTTTTTCACTTAATTTAGACTCCTAATAACTATCTAATAATGAAACAAATAATGATTTATCATCAATAATTTCCTATTTGTTTATTAAACATTTCATTGGCAACATTAAATAATATATGTTTCATTACTAAAATATATAAATGATCTAACAGTATAAACACCTTTAGGTGCAAAGTTAAAAAAAATAAATTATGAATGATTATTTATTATTTAAATTAATTCAATATTATACAATGTTTGATTATCATTAAAATTGAGTATTTAAGAAAAAGAAAAAATGTGATATTTTTAATCATAATTCTATTAAAAATTTAAATGGTAAAGGATGATAAATTTCATGCTTGTCTTAAATATATTAAGGAAAGTGAAGGAGGAGATTCAAATCATAAGAATGATAAAGGAGGAGCTACAAGATAAGGATTGAGTTAAAACGCATATAACCTCTATTAAAAAGAGTTAGGCAATAAAGGTTAAGTCAAATCAGTATTTGAGTTGAAAAATGAAGAAATTGAAGATTTCTATTATCATTAGTATAAAAAATATAAGGTTGATAAAATTGAGGATATCAATTCTCGTTATCTTTATTATGATGCCGTCATACTTTCAGGACCAGGTAGAGCAGCTAGAATGGCATAAAGTGCTTGTAATATAAAGGTTGATGGCTGTTTTGGCAAATAATCAATAGCTTCTGTGAATTCAATGGATTAGAAAGAATTTTAAAATAAATTCATCAATATAAAAAGGAATCATTTTCATAATATAGTTAAAAATAAACCTGATTAAAAAGTATTTTTAAAAGGATGGCTTAATCGACTAGATAGGACTCTTTCATAAATTGAAAATGGAACTATTTAAAAAGAATACGATTCAATGTAAAGTCGAAAATCCATATAAATAAATAAAAGTAATTAATAATAGACTTAAAATCTAAATGGAATAGATTGTAATGTAGATTTAAGTGTATTAAATCGTATAAAAGGAGTAAATAAAATGTCTGCTCAATTTCTAATTGAGAGTTAGGAAAATATAATTTTATCAGATTTGGCTACAGTACTAAGTGTATTATATGATCCTAAGTTAAAGGATGAACATAAAGGTATATAATTTAGTTTAGATCCAATAATTGTACCAAATCAATAGGAGTTTAAATAATAATAAAAAGTTTGTTGGCCTGATTCTTATGTTGAAAGAAATATTATATAAGATACTGAATTGGCTAAAATATTATTTGATGCAGATTATCTATTAAAATTAATGAGTTTGGGTGTTGAAGCTGATGGAAAGACTCCTTTTAAATATCCATTAGAATTATAATAATTAGGATTGAATTCTTGTACATCAATGGGAAAATAAAAATAATAATAAATGTTATGTAGATTTTGGCTAGTTCCTTAACAATGCTTTTATACTTCAATTAATAATAAATACATGATAGATGATATTTAAGTAGCTTGTTAAGCTAGGTAAATAGAGAGAGTAAATAATAAATTACAAGATAAAATATGTTAAGATGTTAATGATACAGCTTATTAATTTGCAGCTAAATTTACTTAATTATATGATAAAATAGCAAAATTCTATCCAATTTTTAATAGATTGAAATAATTATTCAAAGCAGTAGCATTAGGAAGATGGATGTATATAAATAATGTAAAAACAAATTATTAAGAATTAATAAGATTTTGTAAGAAAGTAAATAATTCTCCAAAAGCAATACCAATATTAAAATATGAAAAGGTAGGTGAAGAAAGTAAAACACCTATTTATTTCACTTAATCTGAAAAGATATAGGTGGCTAAAGATCATCTAATTGAAAAAGGTCATCCAATAACTTAAGACTTAATAAATTAAGTTGTTAAATAGATACCTGATATAAAGGGATATTAGGTATCTACTTAAGTACAATATAGTTAAGGGGGAGTAGATACTCATTGTTAAAATATGATTGAATCAAAATAAGATCCTAAAATAAATAGATTTAATAATTTGGAAGAAGTTGACATTCCTTTTTTTCCTTAAAAAAAGTGTAGTAAATGTAATAGAATGATTGAAAGTCATTTATTAAATTTAGATTAAAATTAATGTTCTATTCATAGTGATTACACTTGCTATTTATGTTTGGACTTAATAACAAATGAAGATCTTAATCCAAAAGGTTGTGTTATCAATAATTATAGATATATTTTTCATTAATCATGTTACAATGAATATTAAGATATAATCAATTGTAAATAAGATAATGATGATGATATATATTGATATATATATATATAAATTATTCAATATTACATATATTCCTTAATTCATATATATATAATTATCGATTACTTATAAATATATTTGTAATGATATTATATTTGATTTATATCCAAAGATTTGTTCATATTTAAAAATGACATAATATATATTATCATCATTCTGGTTTAACTTTGGTTGCTTTTTTAGCTGAACAATTGGATGATGACCATAACAATAATCCTCCAATTAATGCCATAATTTTCAAAAATTCAATTTATGTTGTTTAATCATTATTAATTAATGGATTAGCTGTTATAGCAACTTACAAGAGTAATCCAAGAACAGGTAAAAATACTAGACTTAATGATTAATAAAATTAGATTTACCATCCACATAAAAACATTAATGCTGAACTTGCAATAAGTCCTGCAACAACTTATTTGGCTAATACTGCTGGCAATAATTTGAAAGTATCAGAAGGTATATACTTGAATTTAGTATGGTAAATTACTTATTTGACTAATTGATGTTTCTAGAATTCAACATACTTAGTTTCAAATTGTTTTCCAATTGATACATCAGTGAATATAAGGTAACTGTATCCAGCTAGAGCTGTAAATAATAGGACTTTTCCAATAAATGACATAAATAAATATTTTTATTTTATTTTAGACACATGTATGAATTGTGATTCTAGATATATGTATATTGAATAATAAATAAGAATATATAATATATTCATTTATTATTTTTTTTCTCTCTAAATTACACTCTTAATGAATATATTTTTTTATCTTTATCCCAAACAGGTTGAAATTTGCCATCCTAAAAATATATACATTATAATATATAACCTAAGTTTCTATCTCTTGATTTGGTATTTTAAAACTAATATTTTCGTATGGTTCACCTGCAAAAATCAAATACTAATAATTCTTATCTGGTTATTCAATCTTTTATTCGAAGGCTGACATAACTCTATGTTTAGGAATGAATCCAGGTTAAATGTCTTCATAATAAAGCTCAAAATATAACACTTTAGAAGTATTCTCAACAGTCCTTGTAACCTTATATCCTGGACGTCCTATCTTAACAGTTTTATGTTTCTATGGTTTTGGTTGATTTTATTTTGCCATATGCATCATTGCATTCAAATCCTTTCCTTCTCTGGCTTTTCTACGCAATAGATTTTATTGATGTTTCTTTCCTTAAGTATGTGCCAAATATGATCCTTCATTTGTATGGAGAGTCAAACATAATCTATTTGATTATTTATATATATACTTGCATTCATAAGTACCAAGATGATTTATCATAAAGTAAGGGTCTTTTTAAAGGTCTATGATTTCCATGGCCAACTATTTCAAACGTTCTCTTCTTTCAACATTAGCATCTGCTGCTGATGCCATAGGACCCGAACCTGTCCTACCTCCTGGTCGATTTTACATGTCCATTAATTTAATTAATGCTATCAAACCCTCACTTAAGCAACTATATAAGGTTTTTCTAGATTATATCAGATATGGAACAGGAATGTCTGATTACATAGAAAGAGAAGCACCAATTAAAAGTGAATCTTACACTCAAGGACATGTAATTAGTTAACATGATTGCACTTAATACAGGTAGTGAAGGATTACAATTATACATAAGATGCCGATGATGAAGAGTTCAAATACAGTATAATCAACATTTTGAGAAAACAAAATTAATCTCCTCGTCAAAGATAGGGATAGAAGATAAGATGTAAATCAAGTGGAATAGAAATGAGTCCGATACGTTTGATTAGAAGAAATTCAGTTAGTAAAGAAGCCAAAATAACAGAGGAACAATTGATCCAATAAATAGATGATTTGAATGATTCACTTGTAATGATTCTATAGAGCGAAAACAAATGTGTATTTTTAGTCCTTTTAATGGTTTCGTTTAGATACTTACACCGATTGTTACTGAGAAATTGAAGAGCATTCTTGAAGTAATACAAAAGACAACCATTTCATCACCATCTACAACAACTACTAAAATATTGTAAGCTGAAGAATCAGAGAATTGCAAAATTGTGGATAAATTTACTTAACTCTATTCAGATATGAAGGTATTCAATCATTATCATTCAAATAGAAACATTATACAGATTATCTAAATTGTCATCTATTATTAATGGATAATAATCTATCCTATGACAATCTAGTATAAAGTGTCAAAAATTTCATTAAAAAATTAATAGATGCTGATTAAATCACTTATTTACATATCAGAGATGATCAATCACAACAAACATATTATTCAGCTGATGATAAATACCTCATAACAAATGATAAGTAGATTTATAATGAAACTTAATTGATTTAACCTAATAAAGTTTTACTTCTAGATGAATGTAATTTCTATCCTATGTTGAGTGAGTAGTTCAAGATTAAATTGTACAAAAAGAATTATTTGATCAAATTAAATAATTAAGATGTTTTTGTATGTTTTCACATTAGTGATTAAACATCAATTATAAGTGAATTTCTTTCTTTGGCTGATGAATTTGATATCTTTGAAGATCTCAATTAATTATCATCATTTTTAATTGAAACTATTAAATAAGCTAAAATTGAAGTATTTACTCCACTTCAACTTTCACATATGATTTAAGGTATAGGGATTGCATTTATTAGAAGTTCCAAGTATTTATTCATAAAGAAATGCATACATATATTGTAATCAAAATATTAAGTTGAAATGTAATGAATAAACTATTATGTATTTAGTCATATTAATTCAGGAGATGGTATGTCTGTAATAAGTAGTCCTAGTTTCTTTTATGGAATTTAGAAATAAGTAGATTTTGATTTCAAAGATGAATTAAATGTATCTATTACAATAAATGGTATGGATCTAAATAAGAAGACTGATCTTATGATTTACAAATAACTGACTCAAAGTTTTAATAAGTATCTGAAATTCATAAGATAATGTTATGATCGAACAACTTTTTATAAGTTCTTTGTAAAATCATAAGACACTCTCATATTTGAATTTGATAAATTAGGTAGATTAATATTTTTGTCTCGTCCTATCCCTTTAGAAATAAAAAAGGAATTCAATATCAATTTTGATCCTAAGAATACTAAAGTGACATACTAATAATTATTTTAAAATGAAGAGTTGCTTAAATACATTGAAAATTTCCTATAAGAACATAATATATTAAGAGATAGTGATTAATAATATTAGGTATTTATGAAAATGGAGGAACGTAATTTTAAGGGATTTTTTATAATCTTTTAGTAAGGTTGGTTCAAATATGATTAGAAGAAATTTGATTTAAATGATCCTTCATTATAGAAGGAATTGTAGAAATAAATAATTCAATAAGAAACAATTAGATTCATTGATAAATTAGAATAAAATAATCCATAGATTTTAAATTCTGTTGTTTAAATGTTTAAGCCAAGATCTACTTAAAGATAAACTGTACATTATAGAAATTCCATTTTATAATTTGAACCTGCAAAACTTGGAGTTTAACATAAATGTTCATTACGATTAGAGGATTTAGATACATTATGTTAAGTTCCTAATATTGATAATTTTAATTTCAATATTTTGATAGTAGAGGAAATAGTATAAAAATAATTAGTGGTTGTTGAAATATTGAAATATCACAATTTAATTAAAGAATATGATATTCCATTAGATACACTTTGTCAATTTTTAAGTGAAATAGAGTATAAATATAATAAAAAAAAGAATGTATTTCATAATTATGATCATGGTATTTCTGTTATGTAGAATGTTCATGCTATACTATTATAATTGCATAAGACAAATAATGCTACTATTTTATCATTATTCAATTAATTTGCTTTATTATTATCTGGATTATGTCATGATGTTGCTCATACAGGGAGAACAAATACATTTGAAATAAACAGTTTATCTAATTTGGCTATAAGATATCATGATAGGAGTGTGTTAGAATAACATCATGCAGCTAAATCTTTGAAATTGCTTTGTGTGCCTGCAACAAATATATTATAAAGTTTTAAAGGGGAAGAGTTTCGTAAATTTAGGAGAATGTTCATATCAAATATTTTATATACTGATATAACAGAGCATTTTAATTTGATTAAGAATTTTGAATCAAAAGTATAAGAATCAAATTTTGGATCATAAGATGAGGATATTAAATTATTAAGTGGTATGATTATACATACATCGGATTTCACAGGAGGAGCTAAATAATTTGAATTGTCTAAATAATGGTCATTTAAAGTGAATAAAGAATTTGAAGAACAATATGAATTAGAAGGTAAATTGGGATATCCACAATTACCATATATGAAAGATTTACATAAAGTATAGAAATTAGTTAATATAATTTAGTTACCAGTGATGGCAAAATAAGAAGCTGGATTTTTTAAGTTTATTGTGAGACCATTGTGGCAATCGATGTCTAAATATCTAGATAATAGTTTATAATAGTAGGTAGATTATTTAGATGAAACAATCTAGAAGTGGGAAGAAATTGCAAATTCTGAATGATATTAATAATTAATGATTACATTTTCATAATCAAAGAGTCGATTCTCTCTTTATTATTTAGAAGAAAGTGAGAAGTATTTGTAAGATCTTTCTGCAAAGGTACGACAAATCAATATGATGAAAGGTGATGAACGGTAAAATCATATATAATATTTTTAATAGATTAGAGAGAGGAAAAGTGCATATTTGTTCAAGGACATTAATATTCGAACCAGAGAGATAGGAATTACCCATTCAGAAATTGTTCTATAAAATGATTACAACACCTTTGAAGTAATCTAATTGCATCAGCTTTCGAATTAAACGCATAATAGAGATTCATACTTAAGGACCACCTTCTCCTTATGTTTATTTAGATGACATCGATATGGAAATTTAAATTGAACCATTATTTGACAATATTAAGATAGTATTTGAATTGATAGAGAGAATCTTACAAATTAATTAACAAAAACATGATGTTGAAGGAGAAGTTGAAAAATTGGATTCAGAGAAATTGCAAAAAGTTAGATTCAATATGAGTTTTGTAGAATCTGTAAGTGAGAAACCTTTGATTCAAAAGGAAATGTTAGTACGTCGAATTATGCCATTGATTTAAACTAAGGGTAATTATTATTGTGCATCATATTAGGTATTTTGTACATAACTAATAAAATTATTTATTTCTAACCATTCTTCAAAGTGACATTAAAACCATGTAAGAAGATTCCAATAGAAGAGATAAAGATCTTGTATAAGAGAAGATTTGAATTAATGGATATTGGTTTAGAAATTATATTGAATAGCGGCAAAACTATTTATTTTGCATTTGAAAATCAAGAAAGAATGGAAGAAGTATATAAAGCACTTATAGGTTATATTTTATATTTATATCTTTAGGTAAAGTAACTATTGAAGCTGAAACTAGTTTAGAAAAGATGTAATACTTATGGTAAAGTGGATAAATATCAAATTTTGAATATTTGATGCGATTAAATTAAGCAGGTAATAGAAGTACAAGTGATTTAACTTAATATCCTGTCTTTCCTTTGATTATTGTTGATTATGAATCTTCAGAATTGGATTTGAATAATCCAGCCACATTTCGTGATTTAAAAAAACCTATTGGAGCTTTAAATGAAAAGAGATTAAAAGAATTCTGGAATAGATATTAAGAGATGCCTGCTCCTAAATTTCTTTATGGAACACATTATTCTACTCCTGGATATGTGATTGGTTATTTGGTTAGACAGAAACCATAATATATGTTAAAATTGTAATCTGGAAAATTTGATAAACCAGATAGATTATTTAAAAGTATAAAGGGAGATTTTAAAAACATTATTAATAATCCTACATCACTTAAAGAATTGATACCTGAATTCTTTATGGATGATGATTCATTTTTGGTCAATAAGTTTAATTTGGATCTTGGGATTAGATAAAATTAAAAAAAAGTAGGTGATGTTAAATTACCTAAATGGGCTAGTAATGCTAAAGAATATTTGAGATTAAATAGAATGGCTTTAGAAAGTGAATATGTTAGTAATTAATTGCATCATTGGATTGATTTAATATTTGGGTACAAATAAAGAGGACCGAACGCTGTTGAGGCAGCTAATAGTAATATAATAATTTATTATTTATTTTAGTATTTCATTATTTAACATATGAAGGTACAGTATAGATTAGTAGTTTAACAGATCCAATTGAAAGATAAGCAATTGCATGTTAAATAAATGAATTTGGATAATGTCCAAAATAATTATTTAAGATTGAACATCCACCTAAATATGCATTGAGAAGTGGATAAATGATATACAAATCAGTTGAATAGATTAAATAATAAAATGAGGAAGAGATTCCAATTAATGTGGAAGGATTAATTTGGGAGAATTTGGATAAGAAAGATTAATTTACAAATAAAGTTATTTCCAAGGCACATAAAACGTATTTACTTAATATATAAAAAGTAATATCACTGATATGGTAGTGTTAGAAAAGAAAAATCTATTAGTTACAATAGGTTAAGATGGTTTTTTAAAAGTTATTGATTTAAAAGAATTTACTGTTTTAAAATCTTTTAAAGTAGATGAATTTTGTTTAAGTGTGATAGTTGTATTAAAATAAGATGAAATATTTGCAATTGGAAGTTGGGGATCATAAATACATGTTTTTAATATAAATTATGGAAGCAAAGTATAAGTTGTTTAAAGATTTAATAATTCTGTCAGTTCTCTTGTTTATTTATAAAAGAAGAAAATATTGATAACAGGATCATGGGATTGTTCATTAAAAAAATTTGAATGTTCAGAAAATTAAATTAAATAAGATACTGAAGAAATGATTGATGATTGGGAAGCTTAGATTACTCATATTGCTGCTACTGATGATGAATCTATGATTGCAGTTGGAGATGTTGATGGTAAAGTAATTACAATAAGTACCAGTAATTGGACATAATAGAATCAATTTGAAATTAATGGAGAGAAAATAGTTAAATTACTATTTTTTAAAACAAGTTTGCTTGTAGTAGGTGATACATAAATTAAGATGTTCAACAATACTAGTTAATTATTGGATTTTAAAATAGATAAAAATAATGGAATTATAACTGATGTATTAATAGATCGTGAGAAATATCTTGTTGTTAGTAATAATATCTTATAATCTATTAAGGTACCAAAAAAGGATATGTTGCAATATTTTCTATGTTATTAGAGAGTAAATTAGGACATCTATTCACAGATTATTAGACTTAACCAGATTTGATGGTAAATTAAGATTAGTAATTTACAAAAATGTCATTATAAGATAAAGCATTAGTGTTGGCAAGTTAGAATGGTAGTGTCAACATATTACAATATTGATATAATATATTGATATAATATATATATATATAGTGTAATATTAGATAATTACATATATTATCTTTTTCCCTTTCTTTATGATATTTAAGATCTACAATAAATGAGTTATAATTGTTATATGAATATATGTATATATTGATACAATCATTTATAAGCATCTTAAACCTTCCTGAAGGAATCGATTAGATGATTTGTGCATTTCTCTATCATTAAAATACAAGAATATACCAAGACATTAATGATTTTCTTTTGTCAAAACATCATCTTTTGAAGATAATACACCACATCTAACTTGGCAGATACTAGTAAATCTCAAAAATAGACCTAATGTTTCTCTTTATTAAATATTGTCCATAATAATATAATTCACAACTTTGTGTGAAGGAAAATTAAAACAAATAAGATGTGAATATCAAAATTATTAATTTAATGTCATGTAAGAGACAAAGATCTTCTATTATATGACACCTAGTAATTGTAATCATTCTAATTGAACCAGAGAGAAGATTGAAAATTTATATTATATTTACATACTATACTAGATATTTTTCAAATGCAGAGCAGCATTGAGATACAAACACTATTATATTAGGTCTTTTCTTAGATTCCTTCATATGGAATATATAAAGTAATTATAGAAGATCCATTCTATTTATTAAGAGTGATGTTGGCATCATATTGAAGAACATTTATGGAATTAAGATTATCTATAAGTGACAGTATTATTGGCATGAGCAAAGTTGATAGATATAAATTAATATATTAAAGAAGATAAACAACCTCACTCTGATGATAGCATTTAGTTAAGCATTTGCTTCTGTTTTTTTCTTGAATATATGGATAAGATGAGAGGATGTCATTCTATTTTGACAATAATGTAATTGGTATTCTCATAAATAGAAATGGCTATGATTGGTAAATAATTACAAAAAAAAAGATATGGAATTAGATAATTATGGAACTATACTATTTATTGTTATAACAATCTTCAATAATATTATGTATTCAAACATATCCATTTATTACTCATAGAACTTGAATATTAAAGAGCAATTATCACACTATTTCAAGGACTTTATATTAGAGAAAACAAAATCATTGCTTTGATATCTGTTATTATGAAAACTTCTTTAACAATTTTTTAATTGTAAACCACTATCTTTATTTTCAAATAGTATTGTATTTCGAAGGATTTAAAGAGGAAATTCCAATAAAAAATAACTAAACTATTTATTTATGATATCTTTATACTCTTAACAATGATAAAAAGAAAATGTACTCTAAATCGTTTTGATTTTGAACAATATATTATTAGAAATTATATATATGATCATTATTGCTTTGTTTATTAAGCAATAACATTTTAGAGACTTCAGATTGAAGTATTATTAACAATATATTGTAATATAAAATTAAAGGGATATCAATTAAACTACTTATTTCATGCTACTCTTATAGTATAAATTGTCAATTCTTTATCACTTTAAGTCCTTGAAGTATTCTTTCTATGCTAATTTAAAGATGTCTTGTTCTTATGATAATTCAATTTAACAGTTTCATTAATCAACCTATTGTGTATACTAAATTTAATGGTTTTTAATATCTGGTTCTGATATTTTCTTCATCTCTTCCTCACTTTTTACTTTATTTCTTTTAATATTGGTAATATTTTTAAAGATAATTATCATCCATCTTCCATCTTGAGGACATTTTATGGAAATATTTAGTTTGAAACTCTACAGCCATGTTTTATTGTTAAATATGCTTTTTATTAGTCATAATAAGTAATTTAGAAATATTAGAACATATATAATTCTAAGTCAATGATGTTTGTGAACAAATTTTTATATTTAAATTTTAACGTTTATTAAATTTAAAGATAGAATATTTCTTATTATATATATATTTTATACATTATTCTGAAGTATTAAATAAAATGAGTAATTAATTTGATGATGAATAATTTTATTAGAGCTTTGAGGAGGAAATGTAGAATGACAATGGAATTTAATATGACTCTTATGGACATGAATCATATTAAAAGCAATTAACTACATATCAATCATAATAATAGGAAGCAATTCCAGTTCAGACAGTCGATGAAGATTAATTTCTCAACCTAGATAATTAATACTAGCCTTATGTATACCATGAAGATAATGGAATTATAACAGAGGATTCTAATTCACTGTTTTAAAATGATTCTAATTCACTGTTGTAATTTGGCTCAAATATTTAAAAATAAAAAACAGTCGAATAATAATAGGAATGTCAACAAGAACATTAATAAAATTGTATTGTGGAAAATATGGAAAATATGAAATAAGATAAAAATGCAGAAGAGAATAACAGAGATTAACATAAAGATAAATCTAGTGATATGGGAGATCACGATGATATTTAAAAAATGAGAATTGAACCTCAAAACAATAATAATTAAGAGTAAGAGAAGGAATAAAAACATATTGGAGATACTGATTCTAACAGAGTAAATGAATAAGTTAATATACTTCCTATCAAAAAAAAGATACAAAAAAATAAACAAAAGTTGTCCCCAAAAAAACAGTAAGAAAAAAACGAAGAAAGATTGCCTTCATTAAAATAGGCAAAAGAAAATAAACAATAATATTCAAAGTTGAAAAAAAGTAAGTTTTGGGATGATAAATCCTTGAAAGATTGTAAACCATTCTATTAATTTATTTCAAAAGAGTCTTGGTGGTATGATATTATTAAATAAGCTCCTAATTTGATAGTTTACCTAATTTGTAATTATGATAAAGAATTGAATGATGGTTAATGGCAGAGAATAGTAGAAGAATTGAGTAAAAAGTATATTGATAAGGTAGAATAATGGCCTAAATATTTAAGCCTTAACTCACCTATAAAACTTATAAAGCAGAAGCTTGAAAATAAATAAGTAGATTGTTAAACACTTATTAGCTAAATTAAACCAATATATTTTAATGAATTTAAAACATAAAATGTATCAGAGATAACATATAATTTATCATTACATTGGAACAATTTTAAAACATTATGCAAAGATAGAGAAATCGATTTAAATTTGGAAAATAAACATAACGAATCTTTTGAAAATATTTAAGATGAACTTCAAAAAAAGCTATTAGACAATCAAAATATTAATGAAGAGTATATAAAAAACCTAATGATTTTAGTAAAATAAATTAAATATCACAAAAAAAAAAAATTTACAAAAAAGACTATAGATTTTAACATTACAGATATTTATAATCTATATGAAAATAACGAACTTAAAAAGTAAGTTGAATTAATATTTTCATATATTAAATTAGGATTTATAGATTATGAAAACAAATCTAAAACCGAATCTGAAGAAAAACACGATTAATTTCTTAAGTATATTTCAACTGGGGATGATGATCTTAATGAAAGAATTTTAAAACATTTAAGATTGGTGGTAATGAAAGTGGAAGAGATGAAGAATAGTCAAAAATGATTTATTCATAAAGAGAATATTATAGAATTATTATTTTAATTTTAAATACTTATTAACATAATAATTGATCTCTTCTTTATGTTATTATAATGAAAATTATTAATAAAATTTATAAATTTGTATTATAAAACTCTTATGGATGAATTATTAAGTGCTGTAATGTAAAGAAAATCAAAGATAAATGAAGTTATTGAAACAATACTAAAAGCTAAAGTTAAAAGTATTAATTAAAATAAATAATAATAGATGCCATAAGTTAATCTGAAAGATAAACAATATATTCAATTATACGTAAACTTAAAGAAGAAGAAAAAAATAGAACTGAAAAGGAGAATTGGATAGTTAGTATAATGAGAAATACTAAATAATATAATGAAGAACAAATGAAGTATAAATATATATATAATAAACATAGTCATATATTTGTTAAAACTAATGATATCATGAAATTAATTAGTACATCTTATATTGAATATCCTTATTCAACTCCAAATAGTCTCATTCAATTTTTGGAATAATACTACAATTTACACTAATGGTTCTTTTAATAAATGAATTAAGAATATCAAATAAAAATATAATATAAATAAGCCATCAAATAAGGAAATGTAAATGAATATTAATATCTTAATATAGATTAATTTGATAACTGATTTAATTAAAGCATTGTTAGCATCTTCACGAAAAATACTCAAAGATAACATTGATGATTTAGCATATTTAGTAAATAAAGATTCATCACCTGAAAAACAAAAGATTATTAAAAAAATTGTACCAGATCCTCTAATAGAGCACTTAAGAACTAGATCATCAACATAAAATGGAAAAAAAGATGGAACAGTTATCAGTATGACAAATAGTTTAATTCAAAATGAAGAGCCTATTAAGAAGGAATATCAATTTATTAAAGAGAAATTGAAATAATAATAAAGAAGATTTGTTTTATAACCAAAATTAGCAAATTAGGAGATAATATTTTTAGAATCACCAGTGTATTAATTAAAATTGAAATACTAATAATATTAAAATTGTAATATTGAAAAAAACTAATTTGCCTCTTTATTTAATAATGTTAATCTTGATGATTTGGATGAATAAAATATTTGTGTTTTAGATTATCAAACTATAAAAAGATAATAATAAAATTTTGATGAATTCAAACTTAATTTCGAAAGTCTTTATGATAAGATTAAAGGAAGAAATTCATATATACAATAATCAGTTATGGATTATAATCAATATATCTCAAAAAAGTATGAATTTTTATAATATTGAAAGATGTATTAATTAAACAATGATGGTAAGTAGTCAATGCAATAATAATTTAGATAATGAGTTTTTTAATGTACTTAAAGATAAGTATGAAGAATTAACCAATTTGAATGCAGAATTCTAATAAAATATGTCTCATTATCATTTTTGTAAGATTTATATAAAACCACACATAAATCCAATTTGTGTTTGTTACAACAATAATAATAGTAAAAATGATATCAATTCAAATCCTATTAAGAATAAAATAGTAATCAGAAAATCTGTCTTGAATATGAAAAAATCAACACCTATACAATAAAATTAAAATACATTTACTTCAAAGAATCTTATAGAGTAATTAAAGAAAGAAAGGACATTTCATTAATCTATCATAATAGAGGATTCAAATTATCAAGACATTTACAAATACAATAATAGTAATGGAATTAGTCCTTTAAATAATTCTATACTTTAGATTAGGAAAGTAGATTAATCTCAAAATTTAAATGGAAGTGTTTAATATAAATTATACACACATAAACTTTCAAGTGAATTTTAAACATTTAAATAATCTTCATTGCACCATAGAGCTTAATCAGCTAATGGAGATTAATTAAGTATTCCTCCTCTCAACTTAAGGAATTGTGCTGAGTGACATCAGAAAATAGATAAAATGATACAATTTAAATATTATTTTCAACTCTCATGTGTATTCTAATGTCTTTATTTGTTATAACTTAATGACTTTTCTGAGCTCACCTTGTACCCTTGACTAAACTTTCTAAAATTCAATTCAAACTTTTTGTTTGGTAAAATAATCATTTAAGGACGACGATACTTATAATTACTAGTCTGTGAGACACAATCATCAGATATAAATGATTCTTCATTAGATATTTACAATAGCTATCCAAATAACTATTTGCTGTTTTTATTTTCGAGATATTCCTAGATGATATCAATCATTCTTTGATCTTATTATATTACTAGATCTAAAATAAAATAAACATAATCATTACCTTTCAAATGATTTTTTTGTTTAATACTCAATTATTAACTTTTAGATAACATATAGATTGCACATAATAACTTTCCTGGAATGGAATCTATTTGTTCCATTTAAAGTCTGTTCTTTTATTATTACTATTTATTAATAATTATATTTTGAAAATATCTTGGTTGATTTTAATTAATAAAATTTTATATCTTAATTCATTATTAATTAAGATCAATTATATAAACCTTTTAATGGTTATATTAAAATAATCAAACTCAAATACAAAGAGTTCTTATTAATTTATTTAACTGTTTATTATAAAAATATTAATTAAACTATTCTTAAATGAAACTCAATGCAATCAAATATAAATATTATATAATTAAGTGTTATTTTTCAATTCAAAATGATTTCATAGAATGTTTTTATATTTTTAATTAACTGTATTTGATAAATAATAATTATCTAATTATTTCTATTTTATATGAAAAAAAATAATTCATTCTAATGATTGAGAATTATCTAATCGTAACAGTAGAAAACTAATAAATTTTGAAAGAACTTCTAAATATATATACTAAAATTATTTGAATCATTAAAATAAGAATAATACTATATCAAATTATGAATAAATTTTTTACGTTTAGAAAATTTATGATTAAGTTCTTCTTTGTTAGAATGTAATGATTTAAAAAGAAATTAGAATATAAATAATATTAATATATTATTTTTTTTAATAAAAGATTTAATTAATAATTAAATTTATTTTATAATTGTTATCAGATCCAAAAATCCATAAACTCTTAAAAAATATCAAATGAATTTGATATACTAATTATCATTCATATTTATTCCATTTGTATAAATCAATTCATTTATTTTTTTCATGAAAATTTATATTAGAAAGAATAATTATTTTCATTACAATAATATTTACCAGAATTCTTTTTATCAATAGGATAGTCTATTTTTTATAAATTATATATTATAATGAAAATTACCACTCAAACATTTGATTTATTCGAATTTGTTTTCTCTCTATTGCATCGCTTGTATTCATATTTTTTTGATGGGAAGGAAGAGGATAAACTTTCTCAATAGGATGTTGTTGACTATGATTTTGTTTCAGGGTAGTTGGGAAAAATAATTTTATTTATAACACAAATAATATACTATTTCGATTTTCATAAATTAGATCCTATATAAACATCTCTATTGATTTAAGGATACTATATTTTTGTAATTTTTATTGTTTTAGTTGAATCAAAATACATATATAGCGGATATTCTTACACATATCATAGAATAATTGCAAATAGATTAATGAATATAGCTGTTAATTTAATTAGTTTATGGGTGATCCATTAAGACTCATCTTTACTAAATATTTGGGAGAATATTAAAAATTTAAACATTGAGATGCCTGAATTTTTAATAATTTGTCTAGTATTTTTTACAGCAATTGAAATTCTAGAATTATTATTTCAACTATGTACAAGGATATTTTCTTGTATGAAAAATTTTGACAATACATAAGAATATGATTCTCCTGGGGGATGTGGATATTTATGTTTTGGATAATTTTTTGGAATGCTAGTAACAGGTGGTGGTATAATACTTATGTTTTATTTGAAAAACATTCCATTAAAATCCCTTCTCACTACTTAGAATATCGCTACATAAAGTTGTGTAGGCTTTGAATTTTTAATATCATTTTATGTTTATTGTAAGAGAGGCAGAAAATAAAAAGAACCACAAAAATCTAAAAAAGTACTTTGTTTTGGATATGGATTTTGCATTGGAACAATGGGTATAATGTCTGGTCCAGTAATTTTGGGAGTTATAATATGGTATGGAATTTGCAGGGGACTTTGCTGTTTCTACTCATTTAAATGTAGGTGCATTATTTGTTGTTAATTTGCTATAGAATAAAAAAGCCATCGTTATTAACCATCAAATTTATCAGCTAATACTAACGAAGATTGAGTAAAAAATAAGATTTATGTATATTTATGTTTATTCATTTTTAAATCTAAACTCTGTAAAGTTTGGAATTTCTAAGTTAACTGTTTTTTATATATTAAATATATTTAAATTGGTTTTAATGATTTTGCTTAAATATATTTATATATTAAAGAACATAAATTAGGATATACATTATCAAAAAACGAATGAAAAAATACAATTTTTTGGTTAAATTTGATATTTAAATAGAACACAAAAGACATCTTAATAAGTTCATAAATCTAATTAACAATGATGATAAAGGGAATCAATATAACTACATTTTAATAAATATAGAGAACTATCTTAAAGATGATAAATATATTAATATAAATATTTATTATTTGTTTTATACTAACATAAATTAAATTAAATAATTGATAATTTATAATCCTCACATTAGGATATATTCTTATATATAATGAAAATATTTACTTTCATAATTTTAAATTTAGTTTAGAATAATAAATAATGTTAATTTGTCTATAACAAAAGCATTTTTCATATATTAATTATAATATATGAATTATAACAATAAGATTAAAAATAATAATTTAGATAAATTGAGTTGATGTATTTAATGAAAGTAATGTGAAGATTAGAATAGTAATCAATATAAGTTTAATTTGATATATATATAATAATTAACTTTATTCAAAATAAATAAAGAGAGATGTAATGATTATAATATTGATTAATAAATAAAAATTTTATCAGTAAATATATAATAATTTTTGATTTTGAAAAGTGGATAAATAGTTGACTCATATATTAAAATATAAATAATATCAAATTAATAAATAAAATAAAAAAATTGCTTTAACATACGGATGGATAATATATACAAATTCAAGGCGAGCTCTTCGGTGGGACATCTGAAGAATTTGAATAATGATAAATAGTTTTATTCTGAAGAGGAAACTAGTAAAAAGGAAGAGGAGGAGAAATAGCTGAAAAAAGTTAGCAAACCTCCTAGTAAAATGTCTCAATTCAGTAAAAATGCCACAGGGTACTAAACTGATGATTCTGATAAAGAGACGCCTCGAAATAATAAAGTAGGACCATCAAGTAAAATAATCATAAAAAATGTTAGATCAGAAAGTCTCTAAATTTCGTAATCTTGTGAATACAAAAAAAATAGAAGGAGACAATGATGATCCAAATTATGATGATGATGATGACAAACCAACAACTATCTAATAGCAAATGTAACATGTACAATAATAAAATGATGATTAATATGATATAGAGTAATAAGCCAAATAGATGCAGTAAAAATATGCAAAAGCAGATAAACCAAAAGAATAAAAGATGAAGTATATATTATATATGATGTTCATATAGACATTCTAACACACAATAACCTATGGATGTTAATTCTGATGTTGAATAGATGAAAAACAAATAATAATAGGAAGGAAAATTGAAGAATCATCCATTTAGACATTTGATATATGGTCCAAGTATTGGTGAGAATTCGTTTAATAAATTTTTATAACTCACTTAAAGAGGTTTAGTATATGCTAAGAAATGTCTAAAAGGTCCTTCTGATAAATTTATTAAGTCAAAAATGGTTTAATTACCAGAATGCATAATTGTGAAACCAAAAACTTTATTATTGGATTTGGATGAAACCTTGATTCATAGTTGTTCTTTAAGAGAAAATCCATAAGTTACAGTTACTGCCTTTGGAGATTATGGTGAAGAAGCTAAAGTAAAATTGTTATTCAATATATTTAGATTCATTTCAATATTAGACCATTTTGTGCTTGGTTTTTATAATAAATGAGTCAATTGTATACTATATATGTTTTTACTGCCTCTTCATCTGCTTATGCTAATGCTATAGTGAATTATTTGGATCCAAAAAGACAATGGATTCTAGGAATTCTATCTCGTGGAAATTGTATGGAAACTAAGAATGGTTTCTTTATTAAGGATTTGAGAATTGTTGGGAATAAATAATTGAAGGATATGGTGATTGTTGATAATTTGGCTCATTCTTTTGGATTCTAAATAGAAAATGGTATTCCAATATTGGAATGGCATAATGATTAGAATGATTAAGAACTTAAATATTTGGCTACTTATTTAATGGAAGCAGCTGATTAAGAAGACATAAGAGTATTTAATACATAGAGATTAAAATTAGATCAACTTATAGAATATAGTTTAGAATGATCTTATTATCATTAATAAATAAATTCAATATAAATAAAAACTTATCATAAAATGGGATCTTGCTGTTCAAGTAATAAGATTGTTAAGGAAACTTATGATTACCCAGATGGAGGAGTTTATGTAGGGGATATGGAAAACAATGCACCAGTATCTATATTTATTATTTTTGTAAGCATGGAAGAGGTACTATTAAGTGGGATAATGGTTCATTATTTGAGGGTGAATTTATAGATGGACGAAAGAATGGAAGAGGATTATTCAGATGGAATGATGGGTAATACTATGATGGCAATTTCAAAGATGAAAAATTTGATGGTTATGGTGAATATTTTTGGACAGATGGCAAAATATATAAAGGTAACTGGATTGATGGTGAAATGAGTGGATAAGGTGAAATGATTTATCCAGATGGCAGAGTTTATTAAGGTTCCAAATTTTATTTGATCTTAAGGCAGTTTCAAAGCAGACAAAAAGGATGGAGATGGTGAAATGACTTGGCCTAATGGAAACAAATATATTGGACCTTGGAAGAAAGGTAAATAACATGGAAAAGGTGCTATGATAGATAAAAAAGGGAATTAAACGGAAGGCATCTGGAATAAAGGAAAAAAATAATGAAAATTATGTAAAAACATTGTTAATCTTGTATTAATTAATCCTTTTAATTCTAAAATTCTTAATCATTTTTAATATTATTATATTTTATCATCAATTACAATCTAAATTATCAAATCTAATAAAAATAGTATTAAATTATAAACTCTTACCTACATAAACATAAAATTTTCAAAATACAATTCTAATAATTATCCTAATTTTAGCTTAAAACTCTTAATTAAACAAGATTAATTATCTTTTTGGGTTGCTAAAAATAAATATATATTAATATTAATTTATTAATACATTAAATTAAAGCTTTTTAATATTAATATAAATTAGAATTTATATTAATATTATTATATATTTACATTTAGATTTTATATATATATATTTAAATTATAATTTTAGATGTTAGAATTTATATAATCTACTTTAAATATTCCAATTATATATTCAATCTACTATAAAGGAAATTTATTAAGCTTTTTATAGACTTAATATACTGATTATTGAATCTCATTAATAATATATTAAAAGATATATAATATTAATTTTTAGAATATTATGGAAAAAGCTTATTAAAAATACAATTAAAAGATGATTGAGAATTTAATGTAAATATAATTATGGCTGATTTATTTACATCTGAATTCAAAAAAAAAAGAAAATTTAGAACTGATAAATTATTTATAAGAAATTACAATTGCTGATGACTTAACCTTATCTTTTTTTTTTTCTTTGCATTAATAGAATGATATCTCTTTGTTGTAGGTTTCCAAAAATATATATGATCACTCTTTTAATCTTGTTAGTGATTAAAAGAGTGATCTCCATAAATATATTTAATATAAATGCAATTATTAATATAAGACTTATTCAAAATTACAAAAGGTTATTTGATAATAATCTTATATATTATTAAAAATATTATAAATATAAAATGAATTAGAAATGCCAAACCATTGGTCATAATTAAAGGTAAATTGAATTTATTTGTATACAACCAAAAGAAATTTTATGGGGTTGTTCAAAATGTTATGAATAATACAAAAATAAATATAGTTTTAAGCCAATTATTTAAATATAGAAAGTATTAAATTAATCAATTCAAGAAATAAATAATAATAATTGTCTTAAATTAATCAATATATTTCAAACTCAATTTAATGAAGCTCTATAATAAGCAACAAACACTTTTAATCAATCTATAAATTATTTAAAATAATCCTTTGAAATTCAATATAAGGAAGTGCTTGATTTTTTGACTTATTTAAATAGTTTTTCATTTGATAATTTAGATTCTTTTAGCTAAGAAAATTCAAAATACCTTTTCATTGTAGTGAATTAAAAAGCATCTCTATATACAAAATTAGAAGTTTAAGCATCATTTAATATTGAGAAGATTAAGAAAATTCATCAAGGAATCAAGAAAAATATGAATGAAGTTTTTGATTCGAGATTTAAATAAATATTAGATGACTTAAATTATAAATATGAAATACCAAATGAATTTAGATAGTAAATCATTAATCTTAAAATTCCAAAAGAATATAGTGTTAATAATCATCCTCAATTATCATATTGTTAAAACTATTAATTAGAGTAAGGAGTCTCCTATTCTGGTTAATTGTGTAATAATTAGTTATAAGGAATTGGAGTATTAGAGATAGAAAATTAAAATATAATCTATTATGGAGCATTTATAGAAGGTCATTTCACTTATGGTATAAAGTGCAAGCTAGAATAGAATTAGTTGTTTTAAGGAAATTTTTAATAAAATAATAAATATGATTATTATATTGATTAAAATGGAATCATGATTAAGGCTAATATAGAGAGGTATAAAAATATTGTTATTAAGATATGATGGGAGTTTTTTAAATGAATTATAAGAAGGATAAGGAATAAGTCATTATAAAAATAAAGATTCGTATTATATTATATAAATTATATTTTAGTTATTGTGGAGATTGGAAGAAAGGAAAGTATGATGGATAGGGATGTTTAATTAGTGAGGAGTTTGGATAGTAAATAAATTATAAAATTATCAATAGAGTTGAAGGGATCTTTAAGGATGGTAAACTAAATGGATATGCTATTTTTAAAAATGCATAAATGAAGTAAGAAAAATTTAATATAATTGATATGAGGGTGATTATAAAGATAATTTAATGGATGGACATGGCATCTTAGAGGATTTTGTGAATAAAACCACATATATTGGATAATTTAAGTAAGGGAAGAAAAATGGATAAGGAACACTTAAGATTTCTGATGAGAAATAGTATATTTAATTAATAAATAGGATCTAGGGTACCTTTAAAGATGATTAATTATGTGGAAAGTGTATGGAAATAACAAAAACTGTTTAAATAGTAAATCTAAAATAGAGTGTGATTGAAACCATTGATGAAGGTGAATTTAAGAATGGTAAAAAAACTGGAATTTTTACTTCAAAAATTACTTGTAATAATAGCAAGATAGAGTATTTAATGTTATGATTGATAGGAAAACAAAGTATTTCGAAGATGATATATTGATATTCGAAGATGAAAATTGATAATATATTAGTGGAAAAAAAAAAGAATGAAAATTTGAATAGAATAAATAATCCATATATTATTTTCTTGTAATAATTATCGCATATCTTCTGATAACTGGTCTTCCATAAGTAATTACTTAATTTATCTAAGGATATTAATGAGGAAATGTTGTATGAGACATTTAGAGTATATGGTAAAATGCTAGAGATAAAAATCAAAAAGGAATATTATGAATAATAGAGTGCTATTATTGAATTTGCAGATTCAATATCAGTTAATTACATTTAACTAGAATAGAAAGAATTTAAAATTAATAATCACATCCTAAAAGTTTCACTTCATGATTATTAAAACTAAGATGAATTTAGAACAGCTAATGTATTTGTAAATAACATTCCATCAGATATTTCCTAAGAATAATTGTCTATCTTTTTTGAATAATTTGGACCAGTTTTCAATTGTAAAATAAAGAAATAAAATTATTTGAACCAAAAACCTTAATTGTATTTGATACCTTAAGAGTAGTTCTGGTTTTGTGAAGTACAAGAATCCTTAGATTACTATAGATTTGATGGAAGTTTACTTAAGGTAGCCATTAAAAATAAATGGAAAAATTCTAATCATTTAACCTTTTAAAGATAAATCTTAACCAAGAGTGCCAATATAAATGATAATCTAAGGATTCTGTAGAAAATTGAATTAGGCAGAATCTTAATTAACATGGGAATTATTAATAGTAGATTATTTCAATTCTAGAAAATTACAAATGAAAATTGTTTTGTCAAAATGTAAAACGATTAACCATATATAATTTTAGTATTTCCAACATTAAGTGACACAATTAAATTTATGAAATTAGCAAATTTATTTAAATGGCATCCTTGTTTTAATAAGATTTTAATCGTATTCCAACAATATATAAAAATTATTCTGTTGATTTATCTAATTCTTAAACATTTCAACAATTTCATTAATAACATTAAATGATAAATGAATAATTGAAATATAAACCAACCCAAGATTATTTTAGTGGAAATTTCTCAAAATTTAGTTGCAGATATCATTTTAATACTTAAGATTATTATGATGATAGAATATTAGTAATTTCAAATTTAAAACTACAGTTACTATTGAATAAATGAAAGAATATTTCTAATAATTTGGTTTAATAAAATAATTGATATTGAGGAATGAATAAGATGAAAAGGTTAAAGATGAAACTAAAGTATGTTTTACTTTAGCATTTACTTCTTTTGATGCTTAATTAATTTTATAGGAATATGAAAATATACAAGTTGGATATTAATAATCAAAATTTAATATTTCAGATTCTCAAATAAAAATTTAAAAGCTTCACTATAAACATAATGAATATGAAAAGATATTGAGTGAATTATATGAAGAAGTTTTCTGTAAAAAAGAAATCTAAACAATTGAGATTAAAAGTAATATTCTAAAAAATAAAGAACATTTTTAGAGTTTTGATCAAGTAATTAAAGAATTGGATCATTTTTAGTAACTCAGTTAATTGGATTAAAAATATATTGAATAGTAATTAATTTATAAAATTGTTGCTAATTAATCTCATTTAAATTTGGTAGATTAAAAAGAATATCATGTATGATGAAAAATGTTAATATTAGGTTTAATAATAAAAAAGCATCAGAAATTTGAAGATATTATTGAACTTTACAAAGATCCAATTAAATTTATCTTGGGAATAGAAGAAATTGAAAATAATATTATTTTAGATTTATATTCAGAAATCATTTAGTGATATTCAACATTAGATGAAATTATGAATAATTTTGAATCATTTTATTCTTTAAAAGATGATCAAAAAATTAATATCATAAAGTTACTAATGAAATGACATATCATCAAAGAATTATAAATAGAAGATAATAATTAATTTTTTAATGTTCTAAACTAAAAAGAATGATATATATATATATTGTATAATAATAATTATTATGAATGCATAAAAATTTTATTATGGAGACGACGTTATTGAAAAAAGCAAGGATTACTTATTTTAAGTTTAAACTAACAATAGTATTGGATCTTAGAGTGGTAAGAGGATAATAATTAAACAGATAACAAAGAATTCATCATAACCTAATCTAGGATCATAATTTAATGGTATAAAAAATATTACAGAATACAATTCAGATTAAACTGGAATAGATATACTTAATAAAAGAAGAACCTTTATCTTCTAAAAAGAACCTCAAGAATAAGATCATTCAGGAGTTGTATAATCTTCAAAAATTAAAATAATTAAAGTACCATTTAAAAAAATACAAACATCTTGTGAAAATCTTCAAATTAAAAATCTTAAGACACATTCTCATATGAATAGTTTTGATAAAGATTAATAATTTCTTTAAGGTCTTCTTTTTCAAGATTAAATAAAAGAAGAGAGAATAATAAGATCTAAATTAACTAGATCTCAATTATTAATGCATACTTATACTTAAAATTCTGAAATCTCATTAGAATAGGGTTTGAAATATACAACCTAATCATCATTTAGAAGAGAAAGCTAAAAGGAATTAAAGGATAAAAAGTATTCTTACTTTTAATATTAGATTATCAGAATATAAGCAATATAGTTATAAATTAGTAATGGCATTTGATTATATGCTTTAAATTATTCGAAAAGAAAATAAATTAGAAAATTTATTGAATAATATTTAATAATTTGCAGGATTCATGAATTTAACTTATAATTTAACCAATTTGCCTTTAAATATTAATGTAAATTGTTTTTATAATTTAGGGATTAGAATAAATGTTAAAGACTCCAAAGTATTTGTTAAAAACTCTTAAACCTTTCATTCCTTAGAATTTAGAGAAACTCTTATTTGAAGATTAAGAATGTCAAAAGTTTCGATCTCTCACTTTTCCATTCTAATTATTTTACATACTGTTTAATTAATCTGAATTAATTGATATCACTATGAATTCAGTTGTTAAATTTATTATTAAATAACCAAAAGATTGTTAGGAATTATACCATCAAATAGTGAAGATATTATTAAATTAGAATTGTAATCAACAAGAATTCTAACTAATTTAATAATTATTTGAAAAGTATTATAGTTTAAATTATGAATCATTATTAAATGAAGCTTACTCATATTATAAAATATAGGTTGAATATGAATATGTTAAATAACTATATTGTTTTTGTATTAAAGTTTAGGAAGCTTTATCTCAGAAAATATTAAATGAAGGAAAAAAGAAATAAATATATGATAAAGGATTTGATTTTAAAGCTGCCTTAAAAAATATTAAATGCAAAGATGTATTATATAAATTATTTAATATAGATTAATCATGATAATTTATTCGTTTAATCCATACCTCAAAAACGTTAGATTAATATATAATTAGATAATTTTGAATAAAAATTTGGTAAAATTAATACTATTTCAAATATTCAGAGAGAACATGCTAAATTGGCTGACATGAAACACAATTAACTTTTTGAAAAGATTCTCAAATTATAATAACATTGAAACTTTTAATTTTAATACTCACTACTATGATTTAATTTTGAATATTTTAAACATATTTGCAAATTGATAAATCTTTCATGTTATACAATCTTCAATTAATAAATAATTTATTATAAATTAGTTATTCTTAAATTTACAATAAAATCTATTATTTAGATGTTAAAATTATAATTTTTTATAAGATAAATAAAAAATAAACGAAATAATCATTTAATTCTATCTAAAGAGATTCCTCTTATCTTTGTTTCAGTATTATTTGAAGATCCAAAATCTTTTTCTCTAATATTTTTTGTTGATGAACATAAATGTCCAAATTCTTTTTTTATTAAAATACTCTTAGATTATGATTTCTTTTTTGAGCTACCAGATAAAGATCTCTTAAATTTGTAAGGTAATTCAGTCTAATAATTAATTTATAAATTTACTTCTCTTAATTCTTAATCTTCTTCTTCAAATCGTTATTTTTGTTTCTCATTTAATGATAAAACATTTTTAATTGAATTACGTGCTTAGTCTAATGATTAATCATAAGACATTGGTACTATAGTATCTTGTTTCTAGGATTTATGTGTTTTATCTTGCATAAAATTTAAAAGTGCTATTCTAGATTATTTTTAAGTTGATTTTCTTTTATCATATGTTTTCTTTAATAGATTCTCTGCTTATTCTGCTATCTATTGTGCTTATTCAATTTATTTAATTTCTTCTTAATCAATAAAATTTAATTTTTTCTTAGGAATGAAATTATCAGAGAACAAATTCTATTATGCTATTCGAACTTATTTATTTTCTTATTAAGCCTTTAAATTTGTAACTGCCAAATCTTTATTTGTTTAAACAAAATCAAAATATTCTATAACATTAAATTCAAGTAATTTATTGAATTCATGTTCTGCCTATTTATCTTTAACCATAACACCTTATGGACAAGTCATTTTTCTAGCTTACAATAAACTTTTTGTTATTGGTACTTCTTTGTGTACTTCAGCTTCAGCTTAACAGATTTATCTGGCATTCTACTTCACTTCATCTAATGATTAACATTTTTAATAGCTAACAAGATTTTAATTGATATATGATTTAACAACTTAATCTAATGGCTAATATGCATCTAAAAAATATATTAAATATATAGTAACTTTTATTGCTAATTTTAAAAAGTAATTCTTTCTATTATCTAAAATTCTTTTCAACTTCGCTTTCAATGTTTTTTTCTTTTTCATCTGATTTAGATCCTTAATTTCTTAAATGTATTAATTCACTTAAGAAACTCTATCTATGATTTGAATTGACTTTTAAAGTTTTATTTAATTGAGTTTTTATTGATGAATTATGTGATGTATCAATTTAAGTTAGATGACTTTAATCATTCTTATTATTTGACAATTACAATTGACTATCATTATAATTGGTTGAAGGTTATTCAATTGAATGTTATGAATTATTATGTTTAAGTTTGAATATTTTTATTGATTGATTTTTAACAAAATATTGAGATTACTATTACTATTGTAATATATTGTCTAAAATTAATTATTTAGGCACTTCTCTACTTTTGATAAAAAAGGTTTAATTATTTTTTGCATATTAATACTTTTCAAAGATTTTTTGTTCATATTACTCAACTTAACTTAATTATTACAAATCAAAAGCAGATTTGCTATTTTTTAAATGGTCTTTTAATGAAATTTAGAATACATGAGAAAGTAATCTACTTATTTCATTTATTTCATCAACATGATCCTTATAATTTTCTTTTATTTCTGTACTCCTTGTCTCAAATTGTAATGATACTTCCTTACAAATTTTGAAATTTTCTAAAATTCTATTGAAATACACACCAATTTAAACAATTTCTAAGCAACGATCATAACTATATTAAAAGTCATTTACTACTTTTCCATTTGTTGATTAACCAAAGATTATAATTCAAAATTAACTAAAATCTAACTGATTAATTTGGCTAATTGCACCTTAACCACATTAAGATCTATATTGCTTTTCATTTTTTCAATTTCACCCAAAATTATTCTAACAGCCTCCATAGCTTATTCAATTGATTAGATATAATGCTAATCAGCCTTATTATATTCATCTTAATTAAAATGGAATATATATACACAACTCAAAGTATGCATTTCCTATCAATGTTTGTAATTCTCCTTTAAATAGAGATTATTTGGTATTGGCTATTGTTACATTTTCTACAATCTAGGTAATAAGATTAAGGAATATTGTTGCATAAGGTGTTCGATTATATTTGTGAAAGCGATAAGTGTTGAAGAGGGTTTCCATTAATAAAAAATAGCAATTTTGACTTTGGGAATGAAACCAAATATTGGATTTTGGAACATAATTACTCACTATGTCTTGAGAAAAGAACATTTCCATTTTATGAGCCAGACTTATCTATTCTGAATAGAGTTCTTTAAAAAGTTATTTTTTTTTGATTGTTGGAGATGGAGATGCAGCTGGTGAAGCATCTGTTTGATTATTCTCTTTTGCATAGATCTCTAAGAAATCAATGTAAAAGAGACTTAATTCAATGGTGCGATTAAGTAACGATTAAACTTTGTGAGACTTTTCTGAAAACTTTTAGAAGTATCTAAAAATGTTATAGTATAATCATACTTCTTTAGTATTTTATTGCAACAAAATAATAGTCTTCTACATAGTTAAATTTGTAATTATAAAAATTATGGCTAACCTTTAGCCAATTAAGGATCAAAGACTAATCTGTTAATCTTCTATATGCATTGTCTATATTATCCCTTTTTAATTAGATCATAAGTATCAAAAACTAAGTATTCTCCTGATATTATTGATTATTGTCTTATCATAAATTTTATTTATTTAGGATAATAGATAAAAATTGTATTGGATAATTCTAAAATTATAAAACTTATATAAATCATAAAAACAAAGTGACACCTTTATTTTGAAATATAGTTTATTTCTATTTTAATTACTTTAAGTTATTGAGTTTGCAATTTGAGAGATAGATGGTTTTTCCAAATAGTTATTATATTCTTCTCTCAATCATATATATTGATTTTTCAGTGCAATCATTATTGGATAAGTTGAGAGTATGTATATCACTTCGTTTCATTAGTAGAGTGAGTAAATAGTCTAATCCAATATCAGTGATTCTATTCTTGGTTAATTTAAGAATTTCAATTTATGAATTAGATTTTTGAATTAGTGTAATAAGATCTTAAATATCTAGATCACTTAAATCTAGATGAAATATAATAATTTACTTTGATTAGTTAAATCTAATTTCTCAATAGATAATCCTTTAATTAGAAGATCTTTAATACGATTGATACCAGTGGTTTAGTAAAGTTTACTGGATGATAAACTTCTTTAATTTTTAGAATCATGAGATCTCCTTGATTGGATATAGCCTCCAAATGTTAATTCTCTTGGATTCAATCTTTAATAAGGTGTATCTTTTAGATGATGAGAATTTTTTGAATATTAAAATGGTTTTGAGAAGGACTTATCATGTTCCTTAGGTTTTGGACTATATTAAGTAAGGGATTAATTAGAATGATTATTTGTATAATTATTAGAATCGTAATCATTTAATGTATTGATTCTGCTTTTGCTTTTATTTTATGATTTGTTTTTATTGTATTTTTTTATAGTACAAAATAAAGGCAAGTAATCATAGATAGTTAGATCAAATTTGATTTACATTTCTTCAGTAACAATGTCTTAAATTATTAGAGGAGTTTATTTATCTAAGTTTTTAATAGCAAGTTCAGTCTATCGAATTAGGGAGTTAACCAAATCTACTTTTGTATTTAGATTATCATTAGATAAAAGTAACAATTACTCAATTCTAACTACTCATAAAAAGAGAGATTTACCTTTCTTTTATAGATAAGATTTCAGTAATTATTTTGTTATCAAATTAAATATGTAATTATTTGATATCATCTTCAAATTTTAAGGCTGTAATATTAAGTTAATTTAGGAGTTGATTTTCAAGATTCTTGAGTTTAATTTGAAAATCTGAAAAGTTCTATTATATTTATTCAATTAAGGTTCGTTTCTATAGAGTGATCAATTTATAGGCTTCATTACAATTAGTTTACTGGTTTAATTCAAATTATTAATGAGATTCTTGTAGTTGTTAATGACATTATTATAATTGTAGTCTAGTGTATGGGATATGTTCTTTTTGATTGATATTGAGTTGTTATCGGATGTATACTGAATTTTCAGGAATATTAGTATATAGGCGAGTTGTAGATTATGTTACATTATCTGATTGGATTATAGAGATGTCATGTTGTTATGAGGTATGTAAAGTTATTTGGAGTGGAGGATGTAATAATTCTTGATTGGTAGTTAATTAATTAAGTGAGTCAATTTTAATGGATTACCTTGAGATATTGATAAAATTATATACATATCATCAGGACAAATTATTTGATTGTTCTTGAATAGACGTTAGAGACATTTAAGACAATAGGAATGTCCACAATTTAGAAGTTTGGGTATACATTAATTTTAATCCCAAACATTGTAACATGATGTACAATAATATTGATTGTATGTGCTCATTGTATTTAAATTAATTTAATATTTAATGATAAAAATAAGGTAATTGGTAGAGTCTTCTGTATTAAATGTATAATAATTATTAAATAAATAATTAAATTAACATGCTTATAAGAAGTAATAATTCAAATTTTGAAAGTTTATAGTGATTAGAAAGATGGACATCTTTGGGTAGCCAATAAATCTGAATCTTGATTTGAGATCTAAGTACCAGACTTTCTTGGGAGGATTGGTTTCAATGTTTATAGTCTTTCTTTTGATTGGCTACAGTGTTAATGAGATCATAGGATATACAATCTAGAGAGGCATACAAATCACTTAAGAAGTAGTATTCTAGATTTTTAAAGATATAGACAAAATTTAATTATGATCCTGATGTTCTTGTACTTAATAATAAGAATTTCATTTTTGCCATTAGAGTAGAGCAAGAAAATTTCTATTAGTTTCCTTAATTCGATATTCAAGTTAGATAACACTAAAATAATAATGAAGTTTCATTAGAATTGTAATAATGCACTTTTTAGCAATTCATCAATGTATTAAACTCTAGTTAAGTGCTTGATTTCTTAGAAGCAAATTAAGTTGACACATGGTTATGTCCAAAATCTGAATTTACAATTGAATTAGAGGGGACACCATTTTGTATGTTTTAATTTAGCTAAGAGGATAGCTTCTTCATTTTCGAATCTGGTGATAGAGATAAGTGAATGTAAATCAAAGAGTTCTTGGGGTAGTGAATGTTAGACAAGAACATTAAAGGACAGTTATAAATTATAGATGATTACAAAAAACACAGTATATAAGTATAATATTATCTTAGTTCATTAATCCATTCAATAATGAATTTGTTGCAGAAGATTATTTAGACAATTCGATGAGTTTGTATTTCTAGCCAGGAGATTTGTAGAGAATAGATTACCAATTTCATAAGCACATTACTAAAGATTATCAAGGATAAATCAAAATAGAGTAGAGATGCCAATAATATTAGAGGATTACTCGATGAATAAGAGTGGAGTATCTTTTCGACGAATACATTCAAATAGATTTACGAAGGCAAGAACAATGCTGTATGGTCTCGTATAGTATTTATGAGAAGCAATTTCTCAACTAATTATAATAGAGAATATTAGACAGTGACTGATCTATTATCTAAAATTGGAGGTTTGTCTTAATCTGTGATTTCTATTGTAGGAGTAATAATTACTTATTATAATAGAGCATAATGTAATTAATAAAGTAGTATTTTAGTTTATTTGGATATATCCAATCGTCTTTATGATTATGATTTTAATATTGAACATGATTAAGGTACTAAAGGTTCTGGTTTAGTTGATCCTCTACATTTTAGTGTTTAACTTCATTAAGATTCATCTTAACCACTTAAAAAAAAGAGGAAAACTTAAGATAAAGCAGACACTATTAAATAACCAGATGAGGATTCAATGGAAGAAGATCCTCAATTTAAAGAAAGAGTAATGAAAGTTGTGGAGGAATAGAAACAAATAATGGATTAATATTAATTTAAAAGTAGGAAACATTTTCTATTAGCAACATTCTAATAAACTATATTAATGAAGAAATCTATTTAATTAAGTCTAAAATACTTTTTTTAAAAACTCTTTTGTCAAAAACCAGATCCAAAAGAAGATCCTCATTTATATGTGTTATCTAAAGCATTAACATCAGTTAGATAAGAATTAGATGTATTCTCAATCTTAAATCGAATACATTAATTAGAGAAATTAAAGAAAATCCTTTTAGATAGAGATTAATTGATTTTATTTAATTATTCACCTAAACCAGTGATTGCCGTTAATGAAAAAGACAAGGAAACTGATTTTCTACACTATTCTAAATAATAATCTCTTAAATAAATGACATTGATAGAAGTGGCAGAAGAAATTAAGAAACAATTAAAAACAACTTTCTTAACTAAAGAACATCTTAGTATCGAAAATGTTTTTAATTCATATAAAGCAATAGCTGCTAAAAATAGAAAATCTAATCGTTATTATTATAAGATAAATAGAAAATTGAAATAGTTCTTAGGAGATCAAGTGAAAGCTATCTTTAAAGCTTCCAAATTATTAAGATTTCCTGAAGATGAACAGATTCCAGAGATGGGTGTTCTAGAGATTATGTCAGTTGGAGGAGAAACTGCAGCTTAATACCCATTGAGTATGCGTCCATCTGTTAATATAAATCAACAATACTAATGATAATTAATATATATTAACGAATTAATATGTCTGTTATTTTTGAAGACATCGAGGTATTTTTACATACAACTAAATTAGAATTTACACTATCTCTAATTTCAATTTAATCAAGCTCTACGCATAGGCAAACTCATATATTATATAGGTATTGCTGTAATATAAGTTAGAGAATTCTCTCCTTCGTAAGGTCAATGTTATTGATAATAATTGCACAGATAGTGTTATAGTATAAGCTGAAGTATCTATGATTTGTACAGATGGTAAACTCATATATTCTTTATTATGTAACAACCATTTTATAATCATATTAGAGAATGGAGACATTTATTAAATTGAATAACCACCTCGTTTAATTAAAAGTGGACATCATTATAAATGGATATCTCCTATAGCAGCTATTGATTAATCTCATAGAGGTTTTATTTGGAAAACAAATAAATAGATTTATAGTCATTGCAAACACATTTCTAATTATTAGGATAGAATTACTCTTGTTACAATTGGTGGTAAAATATTCAATGTTGTTGATAATAAAACAATCCCAATACCATAACTTAATGGATTAAAATTGAATACATATTTTAAGAAATCAATTCTTTTCTCATTTGGAGGAGTGGCCATAACTGAAAGTGGAGAATTCTATCTATTCAATCAAAAAATGATCAGAGTTAAAATCAAAGACATTCAAGATATCTTCTTTACTGATAAGTACATATTTGCTATACAAAATAATAATACTATTTTACAATATACCATTGAAGAAATCCAAATACATCAATTCTTTACTAATTAATAGATCTTCTAAAAAATGCATTATTGTAATGATGTAGAATTTAAATACAAATCAAGATAATTTTAACACATATCTATACTATAATCAGAATATTCCTTATGTTCATTTGCTTATATTAAAGAAAATAAAATATTAGATACTAGTCTAAATCTAACAGATAAGACTAATCTAACTCATAATAAGAGTAATGTTCTCATAATGAAGTAATCCTTATTTGAAGAATGGGATTGTAAAAAGAAAATTATTGATTCTAGAAGATCTACTACTCTTGATAAACAACCTTAAATAGAATCTGAAGGATAAACTTTAGCTTAAAAATTAGCAACAATAAGAGAGAGTTTAAATTTTGAAAAACCATAACAAAATTAAATTGATAATGATAAATAAGATCGTTGTCGATAAAAGAGTCTTATTTAATTACATTAAATTTAAGTTGAAGATCTACCTTAAAATCCTACTCCAATAAAATTGGATAATTTACTTAATAAAATTCATGTTAATAAACCAGAAAAACCTATTGATTAATTATTACTAATATAAAATAAATAAGAATTATAAGATTCATTACCAACATTCTAAAATGATAATTAATTCACTAATAATAATGATACTCTTAATAAAAAGAAATCTAAATAATAAAATGGTATTTAAAGATCAAATAAAAGATTAGATAGTATGTCAGCATAATCTGGTATTGATTTACAAAATAATAGTGGATTTATTTAATAATAAGATAGTTTTGTTGATATATTAGATTCTGATTCCATAAAAAAGGATTACCCATTACAATTATAACCTTTTGATAAATCTAATAAATATAAGAAAAATACATTGAATACTATTCAATCTTATGAAAATGAATAAGATCCAAAAACTACAAATAGATTGTCAATTAAAAAGGATTAAATACTTCAATAGAGCAATAGATCACCAAATAAGAAAACCATTAAAGATCCTTTAATTACTGAAAGAAGTACCACTAATATTGAATAAGCAAAATAAGATTTAGAAACCTTGGTTAATATGATAAATAAACAAAAAGAAAATATTGAAATTTCAAAATCTATTAGTACTGTAAAATCAAGTATAAGGATGATATCACCTCCAATATAAGTAGGATCTGCATTGATACGTCCAGAAAGTAAAATTACTCCATTAAAAAATAGGAGATCATCTGTTATTAGTGAAACATCTTAATAAGAATCATTTAAATTACCTTAAAGAATCTCAAAATAAAATATATCTTAAAAATTAATAACTTAATAATCATTCAATTCATCAAGTTAAAATTCTTAATTTCAATTTGATTCTCATAACTTTAGATAATTAAATACTTTATAAGATTAAGAATCATAATTAGATTTAAAAAGTGCTAAGAAACTCTTTGATTAATCAATCACTTAATAATTGAAAAACTTTGATCAAAATAAAGGACTTAAAAAGGTTTAATGTTCATCATAAGTCAACATTCTACGTAACAATAGCTTAAGTAAAAAAACAACCATAATTGTTAATAATTAATAAATACCTAAAATGAATTTTAGAAAGTAAGAAGCAATCTTAAAGAAATTATTCTTCCGTTTAGATGTTAGATTAAAATTGTAATAATTAGAGTTTGTTAATAATTTAAAATGTTTGCTTTGAATCATACTTTTTCATATTATTATTAATTCTATTAAAATTATTGTAAGATAATAATATTAAGATATATTAAATCTATTATATATTTTATAACATAATGAATTAAATAGTATTTATATACTTACATAACATAATTATCAATAGTATTATTTGAAAAAAATATGTGTATATTTATATATATATTATAATTCCAATTTGATTCTTATGAGTAATATGATATGACATTTTATAATTAATTATAAAATTAAGTCTTTAATAAAAATAATGTATAATGCTCAACCCACATTCTAAAATATTGTTCAAGTAATTCTAGTTGATAATTTAGTCACAAAGAGTAGTAAATGATGGTTTAATGGATACAGTATCAGAAATTAGATGGAATAAGGATCTTTTTGTGACTTCATCTTGGGATGGATATATAAGGTTTTATTAGACTTAGCTATAATCTGGTTATAGGGCAAACATATAAGTAGATTTTAAGACAGCAATAGATTGTTAAGAACCGTATAGTATTGATATGATTAGTTAGAATTTTATCTGTTTGTTGGAAATAAGACATGTCAATGGTATTTGCTGCATTAGCAGATAATACAATAAGAGCATATGATATAAAAACATAGAATAATGCAATTATTGGAATGCATGATGATTGTCCTGCAAGACAAGTTTTTTGGAATGAAGACTTGAAACTAATTATATCATTAGGTTTAGATAAAAAATTAAGATTTTGGAATCTATAAGCTAATGGTCTAGGAAAGCCATAGCCTGCATTTTAATTAGATTTATAACATATACCTACAGTTGGAGAATAGAGTGGAAATGAAAAGTTTTTTGCATATGCAGATATTGATAATAAATTTAGATGGCTTAATTGGAGTGTTTTAAGAGGTAATTAGAATAGTGGAGCATCAAGAAGTTTCTTTAATATGGAAGATAATTATTTATAAGGATAGATCTCATGTGTAGGAATCACTGAAAATGCATCATAATTGGCATATGCAACAGTTGATGGAAGAGCTATAGTTAAATTTATAAATAGTATTGGAGAATTATCAACCAAACTCTAATTCAAATGCTATAAAGAAGAAGAAGAATAAAAAGTATCATAATATCGAACAGAAAAGATCTCTCGGATGTATATGTGCAATACATTTTAATTTAATTGTCGATCATCTAATTGGGCAAGTACTTGTGGATCTGAAGGTACTCTTGCTTTCTGGGATATTGGTAAAAAAAACAAGATCTTAGGAGTCAAATTAGATGGTCCTATTGTTGCAGGATAAGTTTCATAAGATGGACAAATATTTGCATATGCAACTGGATATGATTGGGCATAAGGTTTAGATAAAGTAGGAGAGTTCACAAATAGAGTTGGAGTAGCTTATATAGATGACAAATTTATACCTTCTTATTGATTATAATAATTTATACTAAAATTTAATTATTTTTAACGGGGTAGTTAATTAACATTTTTAAATAATATTATTAACATGATCAAAAAGATACTAGTACTCATATTCTTAATGGTGGTTGTTACTTCTAAGGTCGACATTGAGAGAGTTAAGACTGTTATTCAAAATGCCAGAGAAATTTGTTGGAATGAATTAACAGATAATGAATGGGTCTATCCAACTTATTTGGGTACTCTCTTCTTAAGTGAGTATTATTTTGAACTCAAGGCACTTGGGATATAGAATTCTTAATTTCAAGAATCTAAATTCACTTAAATTTTACTTGATTCTTAACTATCTGATGGCTCTTGGGTTTAAGTGGAAGATGCTTTCATTTAAACGGGGTAATTGGATGCCACAATTTTTAATTATTGGTATTTGAAAGCAGTAGGTATTGATATTAACACTGATACAATGAAGAAGGCTTAGGAATGGATTAAGGCTCATGGAGGAATAGAGAAAGCTCAAACCATGACTAAATTTAAATTGGCCATGTTTGGATAATACCCATGGAAAAAATTGTTCAAAATTCCATTAATATTATTTTATAAAAAGTTTAATCCTCTTTATATAAAAGAAATCACTGCTCAATGGGTTTATCCTCATATGACTGCTTTGGCTTATTTATAAAATTAGAGGATCATTTTCAATATGCCTGTAAATATTAGTGAGTTGTATAAAAATAAAGCACCAAAAATAAAAAATCGTCAGAAAAAAGGCAGACCTTCATTCTTTATTAATAATCTTGTTTAAGAAATGTTAAAATTACGATAACCTATGGGTAGTTTTGGTGGTTATACTGTATCTACACTATTATCAATGTTGGCTTTACATGATTACTCTGGAAGGACTAATAAGTATAACAATGAGATTAATGATGCTTTGAGAATGGGATTTGACTTTGTTGAATTCAATTATTTCAATTTTAGATAAGCTTATCATGGAAGTTTGGATGATGGAAGATGGTGGGATACAATATTAATATCTTGGGCTATGTTAGAATCTGGAGAAGATAAAGAAAAAGTTAGACCAATTGTTGAGAATATGTTATTAAAAGGAGTTTAACCAAATGGAGGAATTGAATATGGTTATGATTTTGGTTATGCTCCTGATGCAGATGATACTGGTTTATTATTATAAGTATTATCATATTATGGAAATGATTATGCACATGCATTAGATAAGGGAGCTGAATTTGTTTATAGTGTTTAAAATATAGATGGTGGATTCCCTGCATTTGATAAAGATAAAATGGGAAAGAATCCATTATATAAATATGCATTCTAAATAGCAGGAATAGCAGATTCAGCTGAAATATTTGATCCATCTTCACCAGATGTCACTGCTCATATTTTAGAAGGTTTAATAAGTTCTGGTAGAAGTAATTATGAAGTAATTGTTAAATCTTTGAAATACTTTATGGAGACACAAGAATAATTTGGATCTTGGGAAGGTAGATGGGGAATAAATTATATATATGCAGCAGGTGCAGTATTACCAGCTTTAAAGAAGATGAAATACTCTTTAACAGAATAATGGGTTAGTAAGGCTGTGCATTGGTTGATTAGTAAGTAAAATGCAGATGGAGGATTTGGAGAGACTACTTTGAGTTACAATGATCCTAAGAAGTATAATGGAATAGGAATATCAACAGTCACTTAAACATCATGGGGATTATTAGGATTATTGGCAGTGGAAGATCATTATGATGTAGAGGATGCAATCTAGAGAGCGGTAGAATATTTGTTAGAATCATTTGAGAGGGATGGTGAATTTAAGGATATCTCAGTTGTTGGTACTGGTCATAGAGGATTATTATATTTACAATATCCAAGTTATGCTCGTTCATTTCCTATAATTAGTTTGGGTCGTTATGTAGATTAATAAAAGTGAAGTTATATTTTATATAAAATTTTAATTTATGGAAATTTAATAAGGGGATCAATTGAGAGTAGCTGCAAAGCATCACATTGAGAGTTTTAATTACTTATATACTCATGGTTTGGTTGAAATATGTCGACATCTAAGTCCTGTAGAAATTTGTGTACCTGGAAATAGAGATATTCGTTTGCCATTTAAGAATATGAAGATTTGGATTGAGGAATTATAAATAGGGATGCCAACATAATAAGGAATGTTAGGAGATAATAGAGTCTTACCAACTTAATGTAGATAAATGAAGAAGAGTTACACAGCTCCTATGTTAGCTACAATTTGTAGAGAGATTGATGATAATCCAAAAGAGACTGTTCGTTTGTCTTTGGGAGAGATACCAATATTAGTGAAAAGCCAGAAGTGTCACTTAAATGGACTGAGTGCAGAAGGTATTTTTGATTTGGCTAAATGAAAGAATTGGTGTAATAGCAAGAGGATTGTAATGAATTTGGAGGTTACTTTATAATAAATGGAAATGAGAAAATTATAAGAATGTTAATCATTTAAAAAAGAAATTATCCAATTGCATTTAAGAGACCAGGTTATAAGAACAAAGGATTTAATTTCTCTCCTTATGCAGTATAAATGAAATGTGTGAGATCAGATTAATATGCAAGAACAATTACTTTACATTATTTAATGGATGGTAATGTTTACTTGCGTATCATTTTAAAGAAGAAGGAATTGCAAATGCCTGTAATAATATTATTAAGAGCCTTAACAGATATGAATGATTATCAAATTTATTAATAAATAGTGCGTTCATAAGCAGAAAAGTCAGATATATCTGATAGAGTAGAAGTAATGATTGCAGATGCTAAATCAAGAGGAATTAATTCTTAAAAAGATGCCCTTGAATATATTGGTAGATTACTTAGAGTAGAACTTAACATTTTTAATCCAGAGACTACTGATCTCTAAGTTGGACGTATATTCTTAAGAGAACATATATGTGTACATCTAGAAAATGATTAAGATAAAGCTTCTATTCTCTTATTGTGCATTGAAAAGTTGTATGCTCTTTTTATAGATGAAATTAATCCAGACAATTTGGATTCATTAGTTAATTAAGAGGTTCTCCTCTCTGGTCATCTCTATACTGCATATTTAAGAGAAAAATTAGAAGATTTGTTAGTTGGAGTCAGAGAAAAAATATTGAAAGATGCAACAAAGGAATAATCTAAATTAAAAGATTTAGCTTATTTTAAAAGATGTTTTGATTTATAAACAACTGTTGGTGAAAAATTGGAAAATTTCTTAGCTACTGGTAATTTGAGATCTCAAACTGGATTAGATTTAATGGAAGCAAGTGGATTTACTATTATTGCTGATAAATTAAATAATATGAGATTTTTATCTCATTTTAGATCTGTTCATAGAGGATCTTATTTTGCATAAATGAAAACAACTACTGTACGTAAATTACTTCCTGATGTTTGGGGATTTGTCTGTCCTGTCCATACACCAGATGGAGGACCTTGTGGTCTACTCAATCATATTACAATGAGTTGTGTACCATTAACACATCCAGATGAATAAGATATTGAAGAATTGTTATTTCCTTTAGGAGTTTAATCTTAACGTTTAATTTATTCTAAAAATGATCTCCCAGTAGTTTTGAATGGTAAATTAATTGGTTATTTGAATTCATAATTGTTACCAACATTTGAACATACTCTTAGAGTTTATAAATCAAATGGTACCATTAAGGAAACAACTGAAGTTGCTTGTCTTCCAAGATAAGATAATAAGTCTCCTCTTTTTCCTGGTGTTTACATTAATACAACTGTAGCAAGATTAATGAGACCAGTTATTAATTTGAAATTGAATACAATTGAATGGATTAGTCCTTTGGAATAGATTAATATGAGTATAGCTTGTACTTAAGCAGATATTCGTACAGATACTTAATATCAAGAAATAGATCCTGCATATATTCTAAGTATTTTGGCATCTAATGTTCCATTTTTAAATTATAATTAAAGTCCAAGAAATATGTATTAATGTTAAATGGCTAAATAAACTATGGGATCTCCATGTCATAATTATCCTTATAGATTTGATAATAAAATGTATCGTATACTATTTCCTCAAAAACCAGTAGTCAGATGTTTTGGTTATGATGATTACTAATTTGCTGATTATGCAAGTGGAACTAATGCAATAGTAGCAGTTATAAGTTATACTGGATATGATATGGAAGATGCTATGATCTTATGTAAATCTAGTTATGAGAGGGGATTTGGACATGGTATAATTTATAAATCAACTGAATATTCTTTAAATGATGATAAAGAAGTCAAATACAAATTACTAAGTTAAATACCTATATAATTATACAACTAGATTAAATCACAAATTCCAGTAAGTTTATTACCTTATGGATTACCTGAATAATCTTAGGTGATTACAAAAGGTACTGCTGTGTTGGCTCTTTATGACAGTCAATTATAATAAGTGAAAGTTCATCATTCAAAAGATAGTGAGACTTCTAGAATAGAATAAGTAGCTGTAGTAAATAAATCTGAGAATGATGTATCAGTAATGATCAAATATAGAATTAATCGTAATCCAATAATAGGTGACAAATTTTCATCTCGTCATGGATAGAAAGGTGTAATGTCTTTATTGTGGCCATAAATTGATATGCCATTTTCTGAATCAGGTATGGTACCAGATATTATTATTAATCCTCATGCTTTTCCATCTAGAATGACTATTGGTATGTTAATAGAAAGTATGGCTGCTAAAGCTAATGTATTATAAGGAGAAATGTTTGAAACACATCCATTCTAGAATTATGAGAATGATAATGTTGTTGATTATTTTGGTAAATAATTAATAAAACATGGATATAATTATTATGGAAATGAGACATTATATTCAGGGATTTATGGAACTCCTTTAAAAGTTGATATTTATTTTGGAGTTGTATATTATTAAAGATTGAGACATATGGTTTCAGATAAGTCTTAAGCTAGAAGTATGGGACCTGTTGATGTTCTCACATAATAACCAATAAAAGGTAGAAAGAAGGGAGGAGGTATAAGACTTGGTGAAATGGAAAGAGATGCTCTGATTGCTCATGGTGTTGCTTATTGTATAAATGATCGTTTATTGAAATGTTCAGATTATTCTGAAAGTATTATAAATAATATTAATTATAGCATATATTTGTGATAACTGTGGTAATATGTTAGCTACTTATTAATTTGTGTAATTATTATCCTTAGAAAATATTTAATCTGTGTAGAGTTCTCATCCTTATTGTGTGAGATGCAAAAAATCAAAATGTTCTAAGGTAGCCATACCATTTGTACTCAGATATCTTGTAAATGAATTGGCAGCCATGAATGTTAAATTAGAATTTTCTGTTGTTAGATGAAATTGTATATTATTTATTTATATTTTTTGATATTAATTTAGGATATTACTTTTATTATGAAATATAATGACTTATAAATACATAATATTCTATCAATGTACTATCTATATTATTTCACAATCATTTATATTTAGTTAATTCTATCCTCCTAGTAATAATATTAATTATTATTATGATACTGGTAGGATATCTGATTAATAGGTATTACCTAAATTAATTTATCCTGATTGTAAATCTGAATTAATAATTAAATCATTTCCAAAATTTGGACCAGATTATGAACTTAAGATAATGGCTGGTTTAATTTCTCTCTTAATTGGAAAGAACTTTAATTCTTCACCAGTCTAAATAAACAAAAATGATGTATAAGTTTCATCATTAATTCCCTATTACATTTATATTTATAATCTTCTCCATTAACAAGGTGTATATCCACCAAAAATGATTTTGTTTTTGGATCTAAATATCATCAATAGATTGGACTTATTGTTTACACTATTCCAAAAAGTGTCAACATTTATTCCTAATTATTATGCATAGTATATTTATTGAATTTTATTATTTTGATTAGGAATTCTTTATAATAATTTCTATAAATTTTGAGAAGATAGAATTTTTGATATAAATGGTGGATATGGTATATTTAGACTGTTATCAGGATTACATTATTTTGAGTAATCATTAACAATTTTTTGATATTCATTCATTTCTAATGTTATAGAATTGAGTCTATCTGAAATCGAAGGAATCTGTGTACTAATGCATAATGATTAAAATGAATACTTTGCTATTTTATCCTTATAATCTTTGATAAGATTAAGAATTTCAGTTTTCTTTTAATCATTAACTTCATTTTCTAATTCTTTTATATAATTAATTATTTAAGTCTCTTTATCAAATTATTAATCATCTTTAATCAATGATTCAAATTTACTAAAATTCACAATCTACTAATAGAATATAATTTTATACATTAACTAATCCTTTTCTAAAATTGTCTAATTCTAATTTTAGTTAATCAAAATATGATTCTGTTTCATTTATAAGTTTATCTATCATTAATTTCATATTTTATAAACGATCATTCCATCGTCTTTTTGTAATTTTGATATCATCCACAGTTGCTTTTAGAAGTTTAGATAAAAATGATTTAATACTGTTATCTATATTTGTTTTACTAATTAATTCTTCTGCTTATTTTTTAACCTTTAAAGTAATTAATCAAGAGTACTTTTTATAATAAAACTAATTTATCAAGTTTAGTTCCTAGTCCTTAATCTTCAATGCATTCTTCACATACCAATTTCACTGTTTGAGATTCTAGTTGTAAATATATTCTAGTGATCTCACAATTATGAATCTTACATTAATCCATTTAACCTTATTATATTAAAATAATTAATTAATAAAAAGAAAATTTTATAGTAAATTTATATTATTCATAGACTAAAGTATCCTATTAAAATAATTATTAAACTGCACTCTAATTGTAATATAAATAAAGTATAATAATAATATATAGAAAGATTATTGATTAATCAATATTTTTATTTTCATAATATCAAATTAAGATAATATGAAAATAATAATTATCTCTATTTTTAATATTAATATTAATAATATATATATATATATATAATAATATAATAATCACTAATTTTTATTATTATATTTATCAATTGTTAATTCATAACTATATTATTATTAAATTGCTCTATTATGTAATCCAGGTTCAATTCCTTAATACAATTATTTCATTTCTCTTTTTGCAACTCCATACACATTTATAGTAAGTAAGATCATTATTGATGGTAAAAAGTTATCAATCAAGTTCTATAGAATCTAATTACCATTTGATTTAAGACTCAAACATACTCCAATAATATAACTTAAATATCCCAATTTAAATAATATGGAATGTGATCTAGTTTATTTTCTAAAATATCTTGTATAAGTTAATAAAGAACATGGTAACATTAATTACAATAAATTTCTATCTGAACATGTTAATTTAGGATTCTCAAGAAAAAATGTATTTGGAAAATGCAATTTTGGAAATTCAATCTAAAATTTATACTATATAATAAATGATATTCCAAAAATAACACTATAGACTGATAGTAATTATTGAAGATTGTAAAACTTCATAAACTAAACTAATTAATAATATCAATACTCTAATTAATTAAAATAATAAGCAAATGGAACTAAAACTTCTTAATACCCAATTGTCTGTCAATACAAGAAAGAAAGTGTATACAAATTGTAACATATAAGTAAATAAGTTTATCAATTTTACTCTTCCATATAAAGGTAATTTTATATAGGGTGAAATAGATGATGATACAATATATATAAAGAGATCTGTCATGGCTATTTAAACACAAACAAAATATATTCCATATATTGGAATCTCAAATATAGATATTTCTTCCCATAAATATAATGTGAACAATAATCCAATTACAAAAAACATATACAATACTATTCTCACTATTAAATTAGTTTACTTACCTTTTGTAGAGATTATTTATGCAGAATCAGATGTTGTTTAAAATTCACCCATCTTTATTATTTATTCTGGTTATGAATATTAAGGAGAATATATTTATCTTGCTTTATAAAATGATTCACTTGATTCTAATTCATCAATTTATTGTTTTGCTTATGTTTGTTTCAATTTAAATCTCTTTTATCCATAAATTGCTCCAATATATGTTAAAATCAAAGCCATTACTGCCAATATTAAATCAGGATAATCATGATAATACAATCTCTCCTCACATATCTTAATATATCTAAAATTTAAAATATTCTTTCCATATCTAACATGTAATTCAACAAAAGCCCAATTCTAATAACATTCATAATTTATTTTGTATTCTGATATTGAACTTCCTTCAATTGTTATTTCTTATTACTCAATTTAATTTGTCACATTTATCAATTACATATCTCTAGGTCTTAGTGATATAGGTATGATGCTTAAATTTATAGCTTAAGATTGAAAATTTTAAATATAAAAAATTCTGCTATCCTATTTCTAATCCTCTTCAAATAACTCAGATGGATGACATTGATACTATTCTTGAACACTAAATTAATGATTCTAAACATCATTTTCATATATTGAAATATTTTTCCCTCCAATTGTGGTTAATATATTAAATTGAGCATAGCATTATTAGATGATTAATAAAACAAACATTATATAAAAATCCATTTATATTATACATAATTAGATTTCATAAATATAATTATATTAAAATAATAAAACATATATATATTTATATACATTATGTGTATTTAGATTATTAGATTTATAATAATGTTATCTCAGAATTCTTTATGGAAATAATAAATATAATAGATCATCAATCTCTAAATGCTACAATCATATTTTATATTTAGAGTCTATATCATCCATTTAATCACTTTAAATTAAATGATAGAAAAATATATTAATTTAATCACTAAAATTTATATTAAATATTGATTATTTAAAAAAATTAAATTTTGTGCATATAAAATAATTGAAAAAATGATATAAATCAATTCAATTTTTGTAATAAGGATTCTTTAAAGTTTTTTTCTAATAATATTTCAATTATTTTAGGTATTTAATATTCATCTTCATTATCATCTTCTTAATATTAATCTTCATCTTAATTTTAGTTTAAACTTTAACTTATTTATGATTATTGTTAATCAAATTGACATGAATCATAAATTTCATATAATTTACTTATATGTTGGTCTTCATAATAGTTTTCAAAAAAGTTCTCTGCATTTTCATATTATTCAGTTAGAATAATTTTTAATAACAGCATAAATAACATAGTAATAATTTCTATATCTTATGGATTCTCTATACCTAGCATTTTTTCTAGGAAATTTATATTATTTTATAACGAAGCCATATCAGATGAGATATTTAATTATTAAAATGATTCTTTAGAAAAAAAATCACGTATTTATCTAAATATTTTCTCCACTTGTTCTTTTGATAACTGTAGATGTTATTCTATTTACATTTCAATTAATTCTTTGATATAATTTTAGTTATTTTATGATTTTAAATTTGAATTAAATAAGCTAACGCTTTCTATTTCTTCTTTCTTATGTTTTTACTATTACTTATTTTATTTATGTTCTTCTGAATCAAAAGAATCAGATTCATGAGGAAATGTTAGATAAGATGATTCATTAAATTATGGTAAGATATCTTGAGTTTTAGTAAGAATCACTAACTAGTCAGAGTTTTTAGAATTCTTATTTTGAACCCCATTATGGACTTAAGACTATTCTCCAATAAGTTCAAATTGTTCATTTATTGAACTTAACATTTAATTTATTATATTTAATTTTCAATAAAATGATTATAATGATAGAAAATATTTAACATTATCAATCCTTAAAAGAATAATTCAAAAAAATAATAAGTTCAATTAAAATGAAATTAATAGTAAAGAATATAATGTATTATAAATAAATCAATATCATAATATATATATGTTGTTTTATATAAATAAAAAATTATTAAATGAGCAATTAAGACAGCTAAGATAAGTCTTATGAATTTAAAATTGATTCAGATTTGCCTAAATTCTAGAATCTACCTATGAATGAATATTATTAGATAGAATTCAAATAAGCGTTACAAAGTGGTTTAAGAGAGATTGCTATATAAAAGTATTCATTCAATATATATATTAATGATAGACCATAAAATGCAGTTAGATTTTTAGGTGAATATCTTCTATAGTACAAAATGAAATAGTGAGAAAATAATTTATATGTATATTTTCTTCCCTGCAATATTTGTATTATGTATGTTTATAATTTTATCGAAGTCATTATTTTAATTAATATTAATGGACGAACGAGCATCCTCTAGAAGGTAAAACTAAATTAATAATCATAGCTTTTCATCGGCATCATCATCGGTCTCAAATCTAAGTAAAGACCGAAGTAGAAGTAATTCAAAAAAAAGAAATTTTAGAAATAAAAAGAAGTAGACGAAACGAATTAAACACACTGTAGAATTTCCTCCACTTGATTAATAATTGCTTACTTTTGATTAATTTTAAGAATTATATGTATGAATTACATATTATTGTAAATTTAGGTAAGCAATGATATTCCGACTGAGAAATTGCGCCTTCTTTATTAGACCTATGAAAGGAAATGGGAAAATAAATAGAAAGAGTTATTCTTTGATTAACATAAGGATGAACCTTGGATCTAAGATAAATACAATCCTGTTAATAGAAGAGAGTTCTAAGAAGAACGTAATTAATTAGCATAAAATCGCTTCAATGAATTTTTGAAGCAATATAATATGGGAAGTTTCAATAACATCAATTTAACATTGACAGAAATGTAATTAATGGACCTCTTTGAATTAAATGATCACTTCTATAATGATGATCCAGATGTACCATTTTGGGAATTTTAACTCAAAGGTAAGTTAAACTTAATTAAAATTTAGAATCTATTGACATAACTAAAGCTCCTTTTTTTGGCACAGATCCTAATCAAAATAGTGTATTTCTTAAGAATGTGCCTTTGCCTCTTTCTCGAGCAGATGTGGTAAAGGCATTATCTTAAATGGCTGGTTATGTTAGTTTAACATTATCAGAACCTAATAAATTATAAAATTATACTAGAATTGGATGGGTGAGCTTTGATGGTGAAGAATATTGTAATCGTTGTGTAAATGATGAAAGTATTACAATAAAAGGACATTCACTTCAATTTTAAAAATAATAAGAGAAAAGGTATTGTCTCATTTTTATCATTTTCAATTAGGAAATTTATTAGAGTCTTTAAATCAGTTGAATATAATAAGTTATTGAAAGATTTACAATAATAAAGAGAACTTATCAAAGTCTTAGATAAAGAAAAAGGTATAAGTGGTAATCCTCTTATTGAGGGACCACTTAAAGATAGAGATGATCCAACATTCAATAGACAATTAGATATTCAAACCTTATATTTGAGAAGAATACACAATTATTGTTATTGGAGTGGAGCTGAATTTTCTGACTATAGATTACTTGTCTCTAAAGTAGGCTATGTAAGTGGACTCATTAATAAAATTAGCATTTCTTCAGATTAGACTAAAAAAAGAAGTGCAATTTAGAGTGGTAAGACATTATTCAAGCTCTATGTAATCGTCGTAGAGAAGAGAGTAGTGATGAATTACCATTAAATGAATTGATTGACAATGAAATTATACAAATGGGATTGAAACAAATAAAAACTAGATAGAAAGATGCTTATCCTTGTATATTCTGTGAAAAATAATTCTAAGGAGGAACTTTCTTAATTAAACATATTTCTCTTAAACATGAGAAATAATATTGGGAACATTAACAATCCTTAAAATAATAAGTTATTGATCAATAAATGGCTAATAATCATAAAATTGAGAGAATTAGTAAAGCCACTATATAGAGACAGATCTTTCTCAAAGGAGTTATAGAAGAAACATAATTATAAGAAAATAAGTATATATATTTCATATAAATTCTTAGAGTCTAATTGCCAATCAACTTTGCTCCTAGAGTATAATAGAGATAATACAAAGATCTTGATTCTATTGCTTAAGATAAAACCTAACCAGCTATCATGTTTTAAATGCGTGAAACAAAAGTGAATTATAATGATATATGAATTAAACAAATTATTTACAAGCTATTCAAATTACAGAAGAAATTGAATCACATTAAACATAAGCAATTTAACATTATGAACAAGGCATGATTTAGTTGATGTATAAGAAGTTTGATTCCAGTCAGGAAATAATTAATCCATCAGCATTTAGAATTTAAAAGGCTTAATATGGAGTACAATAAAATCAAGATGGACAATTCTAAATTGTTAAATTTAATTCAGACACTTAATTCTTAATAGATAATTAAGATGAGATTGAACAAGAAGAATAAGAAGAATTATATGATTCTGAATATATTTATACTCCTAAAGAATTTCAACCAGATTAAGAATTTATGAATTGTTTAAAGACTTACTTGTAAATTGGAACCATATTGAATAAAATAAAAAAATGATATATTAAAAATCTTATTGATATATATATATATGTATATAGATGTATTTATAAAACTGATTAAAAACCTTAATTAATTTTCTTAATGGATAGGGTAATTGAATTATTAAACTCAAAAAAAATATAGGAATCTCCTGAGAATAGAAGATTACTTTTTAATAATCCTACATACAAACCATACTTATTATTAACTTACAATGAATTTAGATAATTGTTTAAAGTAGATGATAATAATGTTACTCGATTCAATAAAATGATCATTTACACAGAGATGGATTACTACAACTACGTTTATAATCAAACTTGGGCATATAAATGGTATCCATTGTTATTCAAATTTACTTTGAATTGTGTTCGAAGGAGATCAACAAGCATCATTTTTTCCTTGATGTACTTGTACAGTGTTGAAGTATTCTTAGAAAAATTATGTCTATTTTAATACGTGGATGACAAAATAATAGATGCCTCTGAATATTTCACAGCAGCTCTTTCCAAAGAAAAAAGTAATCCTCATCAATAGCATAGATCTATAAAAATAAAATGAGCTTTTTCAAAAGTACAAGGAAATTATCTTAAAAGATTTCAAAGATAAACATTATGTTGAAGAATACAAACCAAGAGATTGGATACTTATGGGTAATAAATTTAATATCCATAATCCATATATACATTGGACAGAATCAAAAGATGAGAATGCCGATAAAATTATGAAAGAATTCTTTGTAAAGAACTTTTAACTATTACTTTTCTTTGATAGAATACAACGTTTTGCTAAATTGATAAAAAATGAAGGATATACAGGTTTATAAAGAGAAACAAGATTATGTGTTTAGAATTTAATGAAATAAGGTAAAAGATTAGTATTGGAATTTCCTGTCTATAAGGAATATGTTCCTTATTTGAATTCATATTATAAAATAGAGGAATTACTTTCAGCTTCTTATATTGATTAAAGAAAACGATTTATATAATTAGATCATTATAAATTAATAGGAAGTAAAATAATAAATTTATTCAATTATTTGGTTTATGGAAGATGTGAATTTGTAAGATATGAATTTAAATGGTTTGATCCAAATATATCTGCTAAGAAACCTATGTTTAGTAAATATTAATTATAATAATTAAATAGGAGCTGAATCAGTTTGGTATGATTTTGTACCATATGTGCTTTTACTTTTGTTACCTACAAAAGTAATGGGAATTAAGAGAGTAGTTNTATAGATGTATTTATAAAACTGATTAAAAACCTTAATTAATTTTCTTAATGGATAGGGTAATTGAATTATTAAACTCAAAAAAAATATAGGAATCTCCTGAGAATAGAAGATTACTTTTTAATAATCCTACATACAAACCATACTTATTATTAACTTACAATGAATTTAGATAATTGTTTAAAGTAGATGATAATAATGTTACTCGATTCAATAAAATGATCATTTACACAGAGATGGATTACTACAACTACGTTTATAATCAAACTTGGGCATATAAATGGTATCCATTGTTATTCAAATTTACTTTGAATTGTGTTCGAAGGAGATCAACAAGCATCATTTTTTCCTTGATGTACTTGTACAGTGTTGAAGTATTCTTAGAAAAATTATGTCTATTTTAATACGTGGATGACAAAATAATAGATGCCTCTGAATATTTCACAGCAGCTCTTTCCAAAGAAAAAAGTAATCCTCATCAATAGCATAGATCTATAAAAATAAAATGAGCTTTTTCAAAAGTACAAGGAAATTATCTTAAAAGATTTCAAAGATAAACATTATGTTGAAGAATACAAACCAAGAGATTGGATACTTATGGGTAATAAATTTAATATCCATAATCCATATATACATTGGACAGAATCAAAAGATGAGAATGCCGATAAAATTATGAAAGAATTCTTTGTAAAGAACTTTTAACTATTACTTTTCTTTGATAGAATACAACGTTTTGCTAAATTGATAAAAAATGAAGGATATACAGGTTTATAAAGAGAAACAAGATTATGTGTTTAGAATTTAATGAAATAAGGTAAAAGATTAGTATTGGAATTTCCTGTCTATAAGGAATATGTTCCTTATTTGAATTCATATTATAAAATAGAGGAATTACTTTCAGCTTCTTATATTGATTAAAGAAAACGATTTATATAATTAGATCATTATAAATTAATAGGAAGTAAAATAATAAATTTATTCAATTATTTGGTTTATGGAAGATGTGAATTTGTAAGATATGAATTTAAATGGTTTGATCCAAATATATCTGCTAAGAAACCTATGTTTAGTAAATATTAATTATAATAATTAAATAGGAGCTGAATCAGTTTGGTATGATTTTGTACCATATGTGCTTTTACTTTTGTTACCTACAAAAGTAATGGGAATTAAGAGAGTAGTTGGAAATGCTAAAAAATATGCTGATTATGCATCAACTTTAGGTTCAAAAGTTAAATAATAGACATAGAATTGATGATATTAAAAGTAATTTCTTTTTTATTCATAATTATTATAACAATTAATTTTACTATATGAAGTATATTATTATATAATAAACTATAATTAAATTATTCATTTTTATTCATATAAATAAATTTTAATAGATCTCAATATAATGAGTAAGAAAAGCACTCACAATATTAATAAAATCACTATTTGAATAATTACTTATTGTTTGTACATAAAATATAAAAACCATTCATTCATTAGAATTTTGCAAGATAATTTTCATGCCATTATTAGAATACTTTCATCTTAGCTAAGAGTTTCTCTTCAGGTAATATTAAAATTGTCATTCTAAAATGATAAGTTCCTGGATATTGTAAGAATCCAGAACCTGGGACAACAACTAATCCAGTTTCTTTAAGAAGATCTAAACAATATAAAACATCTGGTTCATAACCTAATTTTTTAGCATGTGAAATAAATTTATCTAATAAAAGAAATTAGAATTAGAAATACCTGATAAAAAGATTCTTGGGAAGGCATACATGGCACCTTCAATTGGTTAACAAGATACACCTTTAGTTTAATTAAGATATTGAGTAACAATGCTAGCTCTTCTTTATAAACTAGTGAAGAGTGCCTTACATTCCTCATTATATTATTAAACAGTAGATTCAGAACAACCTTCTTCAGCATTTGGTGGAGTTACCATCAATCCTGTCATCAATTATCCTACAGTATTTGAACATAACATAATTGCTATAGAATATGAATAATATATATACTTTTAGATTTATGAATTTGGAAATGAACTTCAGAATCAATTTTAGATGTGATTTCCATATATCCTCCTCTTAAACCACATTCTCCAGTAATACCTTTAGAAATAGAATGGAATGAATAAATTTCAACATCTAAATTAAGTTCATTGGCAACTTTTCTAAATGAAATAAACTTTTTCTTTGGATCATAAATATTTTCTTAATAAACTTCATCTGCAAAGATAGTTATCTTCTTTTCTGCAGCAAATCTTATATAAATAATCAATAATACTTGATCATTTCAACAATACTCTATTTATCAAATACTTATCCTGTTGGATTACCTGGATTTATACATACTAATATTCTTGGATTGATTCCATTTCTTTTAGCTTTGGAATATTATTCTGTATGATATTTTAATTATTAATACCTTCTAATTATTTTTATTCAGCAGACCAATTCTTATCCTCAACTAAATAATAAGGTATTTATTAGGCTCCACATTATGCAATGACAGCAGAATATAGAGGATATTAAGGGATTGGAATCATAACACCGTCACTTTTATCTTTGAGTAATAAGTTGAACATTAATGTAATGCCTGATGATGCACCATCAGTAAGAATAATATCATTTATGGAAGGTTTATTTTTGGTGGCATCTCTTTTTTAGATAAAGCTTTAAGAATAATGTTAATTTATTAGATATACTTGGCAACTGCTTCTCTTATTATTGGATAACCTGGAGATTAACTATAAGCACCAACTTGGAATCCAATTTTGTCATTGTAAAATTTGACTCTTCTTTGAACATCTCCAGATTGATATTTCAAGATGTTTGGATCCAACATAGAAGAAAGAACACTTCTATTGAATGTAATGGGTTTTTGACCAAATGTTTAAGGATTACCAATATTTAACTCAGTAATTGAATCAAATGGATATTTCTTGCCAGCATTAATTTCTTCTTGTATAGTGGCTGCCATCGAAGGGACCTATCCTCTTACAGCATATTATGCTTCTACAAAGAGTGGATTGATATCCTTAATTGTATTCCAATAGGCATATCTTATTAATTTTGATAATTATTTCATATTTTAATTAATCATTTGTATTCATAAATGCTCTTAAAGTACTATAGTTTTTTCAATTTTCTTCCTATTCTTTAAGAATATGTGCTTAATCTATATTCAATAATCAAATTATTGTATCGTTTTCTAAATTCTTTCTCTAATTTCTTATGATCATGAGAATTTAAATGAGCATTCAACTCATATTCATTTTTACCAAATTGTCTATCACAGAGTGAACAACTATAACATTCAATATCACTTTCCATCTCTTATTGCACATACATTTGATTCCATTCGAAAAAGTCTTCATCTTCTTCTTTACTTCGTAGATTTGCTGTTATTCTCTTATACATCCTTAATTAATTATAAATAAAAAACAACTCATTAAAAATTATTAAAACTATGTTTGAATTTCAGATTCATTTCTGCTTTTACAATCTAATGATCTGTTTCAATACATTTTAAAAAAGGATGACTAAGTGCTTATTTGATATTCATTCTATATTAAGTGTTATTCAAAAGACTTTTTAGAAAGTTAGTCCCATGAGATGGAATATCTGGATAAATTCCATTTACAAAATCTACTGTCTTAGGACTAAGACCATTTAAATACAAAACTATTTTATGTAAATCAAACATATCCAATCCATCCATTTAATCTAATATTCTTGCTTTACTAAATCCTATTAATTTTATAACATTCCCCTTATCAAACATTAAATTTTTTGGCCTAATTTAACCATGAACTATACATTTATTATTCAAATCTTCTAAAATGTTTAATATTTCCTATCAATTCATTATATTATAAATACTTTTATTATAATTTAATTTTCTTCATGAGTATAATCTTATTCAAGTTTATGTTCTAAATATTCCATTATCATATAATAATTATGTTATGATTCATAAACTTCCAATATCCTTACAATATACTTATTCTATTTTAACATTCTCAAGATCTTAACTTCATTTAACAATTATTTTTCATTTTCTTTAACTTCTTTTTTATATACCTTACAAAAGTATTTTTATCCATTCACCATTGATTTAACAATCATTGCCTATAAATTACTAATATCACTAATACTTTTTTTGATTCATCTTCTTTAATTACCAAATATTATTCATACAATTCTGCAGCACCTAAATACATAACTCGACAATCTAAAAAGTTTTTTAATTTTTCTAAGTTTTGTATAGAACCCTTCAAAGAACAATTTTAAATCCTAGCCTCATGAATTTACCTCTCAAAATAAATCCATTAGAAATGAAGCTTCAGTGAAATGATAAACTTAAAATTTTCATTTTTCGTTTTCACTTCCAAATTCAATTTATCACAAATCAAATAAGCAGGTTTGTTGTTGAAAGTACACTCAAATTTAAGATTGTAATTCATTATTTAAAGCGTTATTAATATTACATTTTACATCTTTTAGAAAGTATAAAAGATTGATTTTATAATATGTTAAAACAAATTTTAATAATTTAATCATTATTCTTTTTAAGTAAGATCCACTTTTTGATAGTTAAGCCTTCTATGACTTCTATTGAATTTAAATTTAAGAACTCAATTCAAGTTTTAAGTATTCATTTACTCAAAAATAATTTTATTTTTCATCAATATTTTAATTTATATATTTAAATCAATAATTAATGAATAAATATTTATTATAATTTCTTCTTTTTCTATTCATTTATATAATAATCTGAATAATTTTTTTTAAGATCCTTATTTTTAATTTGAAGTTCAAATAATATTATTGATAAATCAAAAAGGAATCATATACTAAATCTATAATTATTAATTATATTGATTTCAGTATTAGAAAATGTGTTTTTTTTATAAATCTTTATAATTCTTCAATATAATGTATATCTATAGAAACTAAGAACTATTTTATTATCCTCATTACAAAATTTATTAACTTAATTTCATAAGATTTTAGGATGTTTCATATTTGACTCATCCAATTTAATAGATGTATATTTCCAAAATTTTTCAGTTTAATAAATTCAAAATTTCTTTAGACAGTATTCATAATAACAGTTACTGTTTTTGTTGTTTAAACCCATAATTGCAAGAGGAGAATATGTGTATTTGATTTCAATAGATTCATCATGAATAGTGGTACTGAAGAGAAACTTATAATAATTATTATAAGAATCTTTATTAAACAAATTTTATCATTATATTAAAATAATATATCATAGATTTCATTTAATATGCTATATAAATTACATATTTATTAACCTCCTTTGTCCTTCATAAATAATACAATTTGTTTTTATTAGATAATATGATTGAAATTACAATATTTTTTTACAATACTTATAATCCAACTTTTACTGACCGATTATAAAATAGTCTTAAACATAATCTACTTTATTTAGTTATAATAAAAGATGTTAAAATAATTAATTACTATGTTTGAATATACATATAAATATTTAGATATGAATAATAATATGATTGGTGCTTATTATCTTAAGGGTTTCTATAAAAAAAGAAGATTAATGTTAGTATTAATGAGTAATGAAAATAGAAGATAGAATTGTGTAAAATTATATAAATGTTAAACTATAATGATTAAATTGGATCTGTGCAATTAACACTATATAATTGATACAGATATTGACTGATTATATGATCATTAAGGTTACTTCTTAAGTGAAGCAGCGAATTCTCTTGCTTTCTTTAAGTATTCTTGGCGATTATTTCTAGGGATAAAATGAAGTAGAATTACTTATATTAATTGCATGGTTCATATTGAGCAGGACTTTCAATATTGGGTTCATCTTTGAGTAGCTTCTAAATGCCAAGTAAGATTTGTTTAACTGTAATACTAGATTTCCAGTCTTCTTCTTCATTGAGAATAGATAGACAGACAGTTCCAGAAGGGTAGACATTTGGATGTGGTAAGACAGGTCTAAATTAACATTTAGGTGGTTTCATAGGGTAATCATGCGAAAAATCCATATGTAAAGTGTAGGTACCCTCTTCCCAAGGACACTAATTGTAAAGAGGATTATACTCCTTGTGGTCCTGGTATTTCACATACCCATTTAAGTAAATCAACTGTTCCGTCTTCTTTAGTGGTAGGTTTTGCAACAAATCCATGAGGATGATCAGTTCGCCATGCTCTACGTTCTGCTTTTAACCTTGTGATAACCAATTCGCTAACTTCCTTTGACATTTATTTCAAGTGATTTTTATTAATGTAAAATAAATAATTGTTTTATGCTTTGGCTTCAAAATTGTATATAATATTTGTTGTTAAAATAATTATTCTAGAAAATCACTAGTAACTTTGTAAAAACTTTTTTAGCCTCTCATTAGAAACAGATTATCGAATATAATTCAATTCATTAACGAAGAGTCTTTTCTCCACAGGTGTAAGTCTTTGTCTTTTGTCATTGATAACACTAATAATAATAATAATAATATATATGTATACAAGGCTTTAATATTATGTTTGTTAGGTGGTTGGATATAAGAATCATTCAAAGTAGGTAATCTCAAACCTTAATTAAATCCCTTACGAGATTGTTTTTCCTTTTATATTTTATTAAAGAGTTATTTCTTGTATTTTTCCCATTTACCTTTTTCTATAATCATTTCTTTTAATTCAGATGGTTCTGGATATGTCTATAATTTAACTAAATATTGATCTAATAATTCTGGAGGCACAATTTATTTAATATCAAACAAACTTAATGTAATAATTTCTGATTCAATAGCTGTCATATAAGTATATTTAGATTTCTCTTATTTTAACATAGCTAAATCTCCAAATATTTCACCTTCTCCTAATTCAGTTAATTCAAAATATTCATTTAATGGAAATCCATATTCTACTTATGGTGTGTAATCAGATTTAACTCCTGGTAATTTTTATATTACTGTAACACATCCTGATTTAATTATAAATAATTTATTTGGTACTGTGCCTGCTTTCAATAATATTGTTTAATGTTTATGTCTATTTTATATACATTTTGTACTTAAACTTACCATTATTTTATTGCTGAATCCTTAAAAAATATCCAATTATTCTAAAAAATTGATTGTCTCTTTTACTCTTTCTGTTTACATATGATCTGCTAACATAAACTATTAAAATGCTTCATTCTCTAAAATAATCAAATCAGTTATTTCATTTGTAATGATAGTGGCAGTTCTTTTTAAATTAAACTATAATGCCATCTCACCAAAGAATTCACCTTTCTTCAATTAGGCAACCTCTTTCTTAATCATAACATCTTTTAATGTTGTAGCTTAATCAATTAATACTCTCACACTTCCATTTAAAATAACATAAAATTTATCACCCTCATCTCCCTATTTGAAAATACATGAATTAGGTTGAAATGTCTACATGTAAAGGTGTTTACACAAAGCAGTAAAGTAAGGTCTATCCTTATATTTACTCAAGAAACCTATTTGCTAGGATTCGTAGTAAATGGTACTTTTGCTATTGATGCAATCTCTGACAGAATGTTTTCATCTCTTTAATCCTTTTGTATGTACAATAGTTTCTTTAACTTTTCTGTTTGGAGAATGAATAACTAAACATTTGTTGCCTCATCTTCTTGAATCTTTATTTGCTCCTTACTCACTGAAGCCATTGACTCTCGGCGTTTACTCCCAAAACTTCGTATATTATTATAATTCATAAGTAATTTTATTCAAATTATTTCATCCTCTTTGGAGAAATCTAATTACGTAAAGATTCAATTTCTCTTGGAAACAATTGCTTATGTTAAGGAGTTCTACAACTCTACCTCAATACACTAAATACATAAATTACAATATATATTTACAATGTTCTCTAAAATATTTACTGATCTGGAGCATCAATTAATTTATAACGTAATTCAGGTAATCTCATTCTTTTATCAAATCCTCTGCTATTTAACTTATCATTTACTACATTTTAAACTAATTATTTTTTGTATTCTTTCCATTATTAATCTTCTACTTACATTTAACATATAGTTTCTGGTTCTGGATAGAATCTAATAGATTCAATATATTTATTTAAATTCTCTTATGAGACATATTATTTTAAGTCAAAACCATTAAGTTAAATTATTTCACTTGGCATTGAAGTAATATATGTATAATCAGATATACTATTTGTAAGACAAGCATGATCTCCAAAAATAGAACCTTATTCTAATTCATCTAATTCATAATTCCCAACATCAATCTTCTTTATTACACGTACTCTTCCACTTTTAATTATGAATATTGATTTAGGTACAACACCTTATTTTAAAATTATTGTTTATTATTTAAGACTTTATTTACGACATTTTGTACTTATTTAAGTAATTTCTTCAGAAGTAAAATATGAGAATTATTAAACTTTCTTAAGGAAATGTCTAACATCCTTCAAATTAGTTGATTATAAATCCAAAGTTTCTGAATCCCCTTATATATATTATTAAAACACATCTCTATCTAACATTAATAAATCACATTCTGATTCTGCTATTACTGTTGCAGTTCTTTAAGAACCAAAAAATAATGCAATTTCTCCAAAACAATTACCCTTACCTAATACAGCTACTTCTCTCTTTTTGAATTATCCTGGAAAACAAGTGGGTTCATTAGCATATATTTTAACAATCCCACTCAAAATAACATAGAAACATGTTCCTTTATCTCCTTACTTGAATATTGTTTTTCTTTATTGGAAAGTCTTTACATACAAATTACGACACAATTCATTGTAATAAGGCTTGTCACGATATCGGGATAAAAATTTGACTCCCTAAGTGGAAATTAAATTTGGTTTTTTTTACAAACCTGCACTAAAACACTTATTTCTTTTATATGATCATCCGTTCTTTCTTTTGGTGGAATTGTAAGCAATACTCTAAGTTTTTGACTTTGTCTCAAGAATATACTCATGTCAGCTTAATTAATGATCATATCTTAAAGGTTTTGGATGACTGCCTTATTCCAATTCTGTGGCTACATAAAAATTAATGATATAATATCATTTATTATTTTCTTTACAAAAACCCATAAATGTATACACCTTAATCATTCATTTTATAGATATAATCTTATTGTTTATAAAATCATTTAGGATATATCAAGATTAAAATATTTATCAACAAATGGAATTCAATTTATTTTAATTCATTCTTTATCCAAAACATTGTAATAATATTCTATGTTATTAACTAAATAAAATCAAAACATCTAAACCTACTTAGAATTTCAACTCTATTTCTGTTAAGATACTAATTATATTCAATACAACTAATTTTATTATATATCTATATTTTTACAATTTATATACTTAAGTATTAATTCTACATTATTTGGTATATTATTTTTGTTAATTTAAATATCATTTATACATACAATTTATTAGATTATTTATATAAACTTTATGAAACTACTTAATATAATAGTTTCTATTTACTCAATATCTTATATGATTACTCACACTTTATAAGTTTAAACTTTTTTTTTAAGAGTAACAACATTTTTAATAAACTTGTTTTAAGTAATTCATAAGTATACACTAAAATAAATTATTTTTAAATCTTTTAGGATTAGATATCATATGAATTTCATTAAGAGAATCTAAAATTTGGAGAATCTTTTAAATGAAAGTTGAAGAAAAAAAAAGATTAACATAATTAAGTGAATCTAACATTAGAATGACAAATAAAATGGAAAGACTATATAGATTGAAACAAATTTATATGGATAAGATGTTTTCTATTTTTAAAGGTATATTTTTTCATTGTTTTTAAAATAGCATATATGGTATTCATAAATGAAGCATAAATTATGGGATTTATTAAAATATTTTAGATTTGATATCTTAAAACTACTAAAGCTTAAACATTTTTTTCTATTCTTTTTTTGTATTATGTTATTATCTTAATGAAAATGATCTGTTTTAATTAAATGATTATGTTCTAGGTTCTGTTTTCATTCTTTTTTAATATATCTTATCTAATTGTTCTTTTGCTTCGGTAGCATATTAATATTTTAAGACTTTATCTAATGGAGTTTAGGGTCTAAAGATTAAGTTATATGTATTAATACTTATTTTTGATTCCATGGGTCATTAAAGTTATGTCTGATTTTTAGACCCTATGATTTCTTCGCATGAATGATGAGATTTCATTTCCACATTCTAAAGTAGAAAATTAAATTTAAATAGGGTCTCTTTTACTTTATTTCCCATATCTAAAACTGTCATTTGGAAGGTTTCGAGTAGTTGGCTTAGGTTTACCAATATCATCTTTTAGTAATAATATGTTTTTGCTCTTTGGTATTAAAATGGGTAAAACAGTTGACATAATAAATAATATATATGTAAAAAAAATGATTTAAGTTAGGATTAGATCATAGATGTATTTTCTTTTATTAAATGTCTTATTGTAGTGAATCTTCTTCTTTTACTTCAGTTTCGAACTCTTCATCAAATATTTTCCAAAGATTAGAAATACTCATTTCTTTTTAAAATTTGTTCTATTATATAAATTGAATAAAGTTCCATACTTTTTCAAGTCCAATAAGAAAAGTAGCAATTTAAGTAGGAGTAAGTATATTTCTGAGTTCATCTATGAAATTCTCCAACTGATGAGTTTTCGAATACAAATTATCTTTAACAGTTTAGAATTATTTGATTAATCTATAAGATATATATATTGAAATACTATTCCAATTTATCTTTATCTTATTAAATTCTTTTATATTATTTTTTTAAAGATTTGTTTTAGACTTCAGTGAGATTGATTTCTTTAGATAAATTAGTAAACCAAGCTGGTTCTTGGTTTTCAGAAGTAGCTGCCCATAACATGTATCTTACATGTATAGGAAAACAGATTTCCATAATTTATTAAAAGAAATAGTTGGAAGCATTAACTCTTTCTTTGCCTCCTCCTCCAACTCTAAATCTCATAGAATCTAAGAGAAGATTAATTTCATTATTATCTGTATGGTTTTAAATAGCATTTTCAAGTTTTTCAAACAATTGTTACCTACCCAAAATGAAGTTTTATAACTTAGTTAATATATTAAAAAATACCTATTGATTTGAACCTAATTATTATTAACAACTATTTTGTCCTTTGATTATTCTTTTACATTTTTCAAGTTCTTCATTTAAAGAGTTAACTCTAGTCTCTAATAATTCAATATAGATTTTCTTTCTCTTTCTTGAATTTCTAGCACACTCTCTATTACGAATAAGTTTTGCTTAAGCTGAATCTTCAGTATAAGTAGAAGCTTTCCTTTCATATTTCGGAGCCACATTTGATTTAGTTTCTTGAATTAAATTCGTGATCTTATTTATATATGTATTCTTTAGGTTATTTTTGTTATTTAGTATTGTTTCATCAATTTTTTTTTTTTTCTATTATTTCTTATTAAGATTCTATGGCTGAATTTAATTGGCTATCAGGATTTCTTATTAAGGTTGACCTTCATAATCTGAAATTGGGTAATGGATGTTGGAATTACTATTAACATGAGGAAAATTGTTTCTTGATATAAAATGTAAAGAGTACTGAGGTTAATCCATCAAAAAGTTAACAAATAGATCATCGCCAACTAGTTCAAAATGATTATTATACATAATTATTTAATATATCATCATATAAGTTTAATTAATTCTAAAATACTATCTCATTATCTAATTATTATACTTGTTCTCTTATTAATAAGAATATGGAGACAATAATAGTTGTAATAATAATAATATATATATATATATATATATACTACTACTTAATTATTATTATTGTGATATAAATATATTTAGAAATTTAAATCAGATATTTAATAAATTGTGGGAATTAATATTTTAAATGATCATTGAAATTTTCTCCTTGATAAATGAGGAGTAATATTAAAAATGGCAATATTGGTTTCCTCATCTGCCAATTAATCTAGATCATCAAAATCTCTATAATCATTATCTATATCCTATAATGCTTATTAACGTTCAGCTTTTGTTGATGTTTATTTAAGGAAATTCTTTTAATTCTATTCTTTTTTTTCAATTGAGAAATAAGATTGCTCTCGTTTTTCATAAGCAAATTTTCTAAAATTCTCTTTCTAACTTTATTGATTGTAATTGTTAATTTAACTAGTACCCATACTAGATACATTTTAACTACATCTCTAAATTTAATTAAACTTATTATCATTACTCTGCTTTATTTATTTTTTTCAGGTGAAAGTTATTATTATTCATTTTCTTAAACAGGTACATTTAAAAATGAACTTCCTCTTTATTCTGGTCTTTCATCATAACTTTTCTTTATATCTAATTCAGGCTTTATTTCAGTTTATTTTTCTTATACAATTAGATTCAAGTACCTAATTTTTATTTCAATAAATTAGCTATGACTCTTTATTTCCTTTTTTTAAGTTCAGGTAAACGCTCCCACTCGAAATCTAATGGAACATGGTTCTATGAGGATTATACTTCAATTTAATATTATTTCTAAAATTGATCTTTTAGAAACGAATACTCTGGTTCTCCTTAAAAATCTAGGCCACGTGCATAGATAAAAAGATTCAAGAAACACTTATATGATGAATATGACGTTAAACTTTAGGCAATCCTTCACATAATTTTTCTAAAGTAATTTATTGTTTAAATTCTTTAATTTTTTAATACTTCTCTGACTTTGTAGAAGTATTTAAATTCATCCATGGAAGACGACCTTTAGCTAAATAGACTAAAACATATCCCAAACTCTCAATATCATCTTTTCGTGATTGTTCCTTTCCTATAAATTAGAAATCATAATTAACCTAAATGTGCTGTTAAACTAGCATATCTAGCTGTTCCAATCATTCCTCTTCTATCACTTTAAGGTATATGATCACCTTAAGAATTTCTATAATATTTAGCTAAACCAAAATCGATTAAATATATCTAATCGATATCATCATAACCTATACAAATATTATCAGGCTTTAAATCTCTATGTATTAAATTTTTTGAATGTAACATTTTTATTCTCTCTATTAATATAATTCCAATCTTTAAAACACTCTAAATACTAAATTTGTAATTGCATCTCTTTAATAATTATTCCAAATTGTATCCCAAATATGTTTACATAAAATAATTGTAGTACTCATCCCTTCCATAAAATACAATTTAAGGAAATCCTATTAATTCAATTATTTTTAAATACCCTCAAAATCTTGCACTTCAATTAATACTTTTATTTCCCTTACTAACAAACTAACTGCTCCATTTGAATTTTCTTCTCTCTTCTCAAATTTTGTTGCAAATATCTCCCCAGTCTCCATATTCTCTGTCTTATAAATCATTCCAAAACTTCCTTAACCAACTTTATCTATTAATCTAAATTTTGTTGCCACTATTGAACCACTTGATAATTTATTATTGTTTTCCCCTGAATCTTTTTTAATTGATTTGTGATTAGTTTATATTTGAGATTAATTCATTGTAATAAGTTAATATTTATACTATAAATTATATATATAAATAATATTTCTTCAATAATTTATTTTTATTATTCCTTATATAATTATTGTTCAATAAATAATAAGGAATATTATAATAACTTTTAAATACAATAATAATTATTATAATGTAATCATTATTTTTTGTTTCCAGTTTGTAATGAAAGGGCATTTAAATATGCTTGACTTCTAGGAGATTCATTAGTTCTAGTCAGAGATAACAATTTAGTGAAATTAATTGGTTTATCTTTTGATTTAGTTGAATTGGAATTTTTAGAGGCTGCTAAAGTACTAATAAATTGATTTTGAATAGATTACTGATAAAATTTGTCATTTTTTTCATATTCTTTCTAATTTTTATTTAAGTCTGTATTTAATTAATTAATTAAGTTATCGTAAATTTCTCTAGCAGAATTGACTTTCTCTTTTTTACTTTCTTAATTTTATGGTGATTCGTATAATATTTTTCTATAATTAATTCAACAAATAATTTACTCTAATTTTTAAGCAATTTATATGATTTTAGTAGTTTACAACTCCAAATTCTTAGCTGTTTAATTTTATATACCCATAGAAACTGCTTATTCAAACAATTAATTTTTTTCTTATTGTAATCTAAATATATGATCTTTATATTCTTTTTTTAAGTAAGTAAGTTCTTTTTCATTTTCTTTTGAATAAGCTAAAAGCATAGAGGAATATGATTATTCAATTTCATTATTCTTTTGAGTCTATAGATTGTATAAGGTTTCCTATAATGCCAAGATGTCCTATTTAAGTTGATTGTTTTCATTTTTTAAGGATTAAATTTATTTGGAAATGTTTTGTTACTCTACAATTTTCTTTTTTAATAAATTGTTTTGATGTGAGAGTACTTCAACTTGAAGTTAAAGTTTATTATTAGAAATGTGTAATTGATGGTTTAGGATTGTTAAATTATCTTGAATATTCATTGATTAAGATATTATTAAATATAATTTTAGATCATAGGTCTGAATAAAGAAATTAAATTAGTAAACAATATATTAATAACAATTTCAGAATAAAAACTATTCATTTTTTTGATTAATCCATTGATCCCAACAATTTGAAGTTATACAGGATACTAGTTATTTAATTTTATAGGAATCAACTCCTTAAATAGATAAACAATTNTTATATAATTATTGTTCAATAAATAATAAGGAATATTATAATAACTTTTAAATACAATAATAATTATTATAATGTAATCATTATTTTTTGTTTCCAGTTTGTAATGAAAGGGCATTTAAATATGCTTGACTTCTAGGAGATTCATTAGTTCTAGTCAGAGATAACAATTTAGTGAAATTAATTGGTTTATCTTTTGATTTAGTTGAATTGGAATTTTTAGAGGCTGCTAAAGTACTAATAAATTGATTTTGAATAGATTACTGATAAAATTTGTCATTTTTTTCATATTCTTTCTAATTTTTATTTAAGTCTGTATTTAATTAATTAATTAAGTTATCGTAAATTTCTCTAGCAGAATTGACTTTCTCTTTTTTACTTTCTTAATTTTATGGTGATTCGTATAATATTTTTCTATAATTAATTCAACAAATAATTTACTCTAATTTTTAAGCAATTTATATGATTTTAGTAGTTTACAACTCCAAATTCTTAGCTGTTTAATTTTATATACCCATAGAAACTGCTTATTCAAACAATTAATTTTTTTCTTATTGTAATCTAAATATATGATCTTTATATTCTTTTTTTAAGTAAGTAAGTTCTTTTTCATTTTCTTTTGAATAAGCTAAAAGCATAGAGGAATATGATTATTCAATTTCATTATTCTTTTGAGTCTATAGATTGTATAAGGTTTCCTATAATGCCAAGATGTCCTATTTAAGTTGATTGTTTTCATTTTTTAAGGATTAAATTTATTTGGAAATGTTTTGTTACTCTACAATTTTCTTTTTTAATAAATTGTTTTGATGTGAGAGTACTTCAACTTGAAGTTAAAGTTTATTATTAGAAATGTGTAATTGATGGTTTAGGATTGTTAAATTATCTTGAATATTCATTGATTAAGATATTATTAAATATAATTTTAGATCATAGGTCTGAATAAAGAAATTAAATTAGTAAACAATATATTAATAACAATTTCAGAATAAAAACTATTCATTTTTTTGATTAATCCATTGATCCCAACAATTTGAAGTTATACAGGATACTAGTTATTTAATTTTATAGGAATCAACTCCTTAAATAGATAAACAATTTCCAAAAATGGTTCCAACAGGATTTTTAGAGAAATCAGAATCTAAACATTTAACAATCACACTATCCGTTTTAACCTAATATCAATAATTGAAATTACTCTTAGACTATCTAATAATTCAGCTTTACAATAATCACAATCAATAGTTAGAATGGATGTAATAAATAAGAGTAAAATAATCTATTTTAACATGTATTTTTAAAATATATATATAATAATCATTTTTTTTGATTTTATTAATCCATAGATAGAAAAAGTATTTTTGGATTATGATTCTTAGCAATTAATTAAACAGTTTCAAAATATCTAATCTACATGGCAGCTCTAGAGTCTAACATATCAGCAGCTTCTCTTAATAATTTTGCAGCAGAGACATCACTCTATAAATGTATTATTATATTTACTTAAGCTGAAATAATTTTAGATTATGCAAGTCTTTATGCTTTTGGTGCATTAGATAATGAACTTTATAATTCTTCATTCATTAACATATCCTTAATGAAAATATGTTCCAAATAAATACCTTAATAATAAGAAATGATTACCCCATTCAGAAACAACATCAAAAATGAATCCTTCAATTTCATCAGCTATTTTCTATCTATTTTCTATAATTTCTTATAAAGTGTGTTCTCCACAAATGGTACGTAAAGTCTATAGAAATAGAGTGATGTATATTTACAGCATAAGTGATTTCTTTGATTGCTTCAACAATCATTTTAACTCTATATGCTGATTTCATTACATCTACAACTCTATAATAAACAATAGTGTCTATATTGACAGTTATATTATCTTTAGTTAAGACAAGTTATCTTTCTAAATCTATGATACTGAAATATAATATGAGTATTATACAATGTTTTAGTACTGACAGGTATAACTCTCTCAGTAAATCTAAGAATAATGAATAAATAAAATACGGATTTATTTCATGAAGGCCAGAATCTAAAGTTTTTACATATTTACCAAATTTTTGTAGTAAACCTTTTTAACCTTGAGTAACAAGATAATATGGATAAGGACAACAACAAAAACAACATGGAATCCATGCTCTTAATGTTCCAAAACATGAACCCATACAATTTAATATACTTTCATAACATGTCATTTTCTAAGATTCATTCTCTTCTCTAAAGATATAATTAAAATTAATACTAAATATCTTCAAATTTAGATCTTTCTCTTCTAGATTCTCTTTTTTTTTTAATTTCCATTTCTTTTTCAAATGACATGGATTCACTAATCATAAATAATTGTAGAAAATTAATAATAATATAGAATATACTCATTAATATTAATCTTGATTTTTAGTAGAAGCTTTTGGTATTTCAAAACTCTGAATTTAAGCTTATATTATATCATTTTCTTAAAGTAATTTTTCAATAGATTAATTATTTTTATGTTGAGAATTTTAATACTATAATAAATATAAATAGAAATTACACTAACAGTTCTTGAGATATGATTACTTTATTTATCTGTAGAATAACTGCATAATTGATTATTTTTATTTTAATAACTTTGGAATTCATCATATTCTAAACAACTTAACTTAATTTACACATTTACATTGAATGAATTTAATTATTAAATTACTCCAATTATTTATTAACTAAATAATCTTAATAAGCTTTATCAAAGTTCTCTATAAAAACTTTCTGATTTTCATTAACAATTTTTATCTCTATAATTAGTTCAGTATTTACATTTTAATTCTTCATTAATCTCATGTAATTTCCCATTATTAAATTAACTTTTCTCAATGACCTTTTTTAATTAATCAAAACATTATTCATTAAGCATTGATGATTATTATCTATATAAACTTCCATTCTTTGAACTTTCTTTGACTACCATATAATACTCTTTGACTTTCTAAGCATTAAAATAGTGTAACTTAGGGAACTCTACTCCACTCTCCTTCAATCTTAAATATCTAAGTCATAGATCTCTCCATACATTTAATTGATCACTGCATTATGTGGATGCCATAAATTCCAAACAAATATACTTTCCAATGATAATCTCACTAGAGTATTCCCCAAAATCATCAATTTTTAATCTAATTCTCTACATTAAACTACCTGGATTCTCACTGAAATAATATTTCCCTCTCTCTCTCTTCTTAGAATCCCTTTTAATGATCTCCTCAATCATAAATATTAAATTCTTTGTTACTCCATCCAATACACACTCATAATGTAGATCCATTAGTTCTTTTATTAACTGATCAGCTAAATCATACCAATAAATTTACTCTCATTCCTAAAACCATCTCTATAGGTTCAGATTATTTACTATACATTATTTCTTCTACTGTCTCCAACACATATCTTAAAGTATTACTACAATGATTAATAATATATTTACTCATCTTCAATATTCTCCTTATATTCTCTTATTTCCTTATAAGCCTATTCTGATTATAAACAACTTCTTAAATTTTTCATTATTAATATATATTTATTAAACTGAATCACTTTTTCTTCCTCTACTCTTCCCATTTCTTTGTAATCTCTATTAATTCCTTACTCTTAGCATCTTTTGGAAGATAAGGTAACTTAAGTGGAGAATCTGTCGTGGATTTCTTTTCTGGTTTACTCTTTCCATGTGTACCTGGTTCTGACCATTTGTTACTTTTCTTTAATTAAGGACTATCTGGTAATCCTTGTTTCTTTTTCAATGATGATAAATCTAATCAACCTTAATTGTAAATATCTACCAACAGATTAATGTTTTGGTCTTGTCTCCTCTATAATATCATCTCCTTCAATCGATCTCAATTTACCAGCAAATAGATCCTTATTCTATGGAATATCTAAATAAGCTAAACAGGCTGCTAAAGTGAAGCTAGTAGTTTTATTCATATTGTCTTCTAACATTTCAACATATTTATGTTTTATTTTTGGTTTTTTACTTTATTTTTCCTTATAAATAATTAATTATTTTAAATTATCATCTAATTTCTTTCCACTTTAAATTGCATTAAAGTATTCTTAACCCATAATGGCAATTTTCAATAACATATATTCAAATTCAAAATATGTTAAACCTGTTTCATCTTGATATTTTAAATTCTTTTATACTGCTTCTCTATGTGCTACATAATTCTTTTATTTTAAAGTATTCGTAAATACTTTTATTAATTATTCTTCATTGAATACCTATATTAAATTGAAAGCATTTGAAAAATCTAACCATCCTTATAAAACTATCTTTTTACTACTATAATTCCATGCATCAGAATACTTAAGATAATGATTAAATGCCTCAATATATAATATAAATTAATACCACACTTCCAGATGATCTAAAATGTTTAAATTCTGCTTATACTTTTGGATCTTTATAAAAATTTTAAAACTTTTCATTTAATCTTTCCTTTTTCTCTAAAGATGTTTTGTAATGAGCAGCCATTTCAGCAGTTCTTGCTTTAAATCTAAGTTCAGCTTTTTCTTCTTTTGTTATTTTCTTTTCTTATTATTATTATTTTTATTATTAAGATTATTATTATTAAGATTATTATTTTAATTTATCTACTTATTTTTTTGGAGAATCTTTTCTCTCATCTTATTATGTAAATATATTTTTAATAATTACTTCTGATTAATTCTTTCTAAATTCTTTCTTTAAATTATTCATATAATTAATATGTTTTGGTTTCTATTCTCTCAATTATTCTCCAATCACTTAAGATTCACTAAATCTTATTTCTTCCTTTTTTTCTTTAAATTATTATATTTTATCTTATTATTTATCAAGATAATCTTTTCTTTTTTGCCATTTAAGATCTTTCAATTCTTTCTTTAAAGCTTCTTCCTACATTGATACTATTTTTTCAACTATACTCTTATTAATTATTTTCTCTTCAGACAATTAAGATAAATCTAATGATCTATTCATAAACTCTTATTTTTCTATTGGCAATAGAGAAAGAGAATTCTTTAATTGTTCTTATTTCTCTACCAAAGGGTCAATTCTAAGATCTGAATGAACTCCTTTGGCTGCAATAGGTTTGACTTCATAAATGAGATTGATTTTAAATGTTGGTTCAACAATATTGGTTCTATTATTAAATTTTCAATTAAATTACTTAAATTTAGATTAGATAAGTTCATTAACAATTTCAAAACAAGTTAAATAAGATTTATTTAAATTTTTCATAACATCTCTCATTTAATAATGTAAAGATACTCTTTCAATTTATACCTTCTTTAATCTAGTTTCAGTAGGTACCTCTATATTTGGATTTTATAATAATTAAGCATTCCATTTTTAAATTGTACTTTTATCAGCTACAGTAGTAACACCATCAGGATCATCAAAAATAAGATGATTGTCATTCCTTCTTCTAGCAACAAATGAAAAATATTTAAAAAATTCAACTAATACATGTCCTGATGGCATTTTTCTAAAATCTTTAGGAGGTCTACCAAAAATAAGGACAGCAAATTATATTAGAAACTTTTTAAAATTTTCGAAATCTAATTTATAATTGACTGTTCTTGAAGTAGTAGCTGAAATAGTTGATTATTTATCTGTTTAATTATCTTATGGTAATTATCTAATTTGAGAACTTAAACTAAATAAATTAAATTTATGATTAACAGTTGCAATAAGATTAATAATTTCTTCATATGTACTAAAATTAAATATCTCATAGTCTTATAGTATTTTAACAATATCAGATGATCTTAATTCTAATTAGCTTTAATCTAAACTTCTTAATCTATTTTTAGCAGCTTCTTAAGGAGTAGATGCATATTTATTGAATAAATATCTGAAAGTTTTAGAGAAATGTTTAATAGCAATATTCATAGATTCTCTATCTACATCTTCTTCAAATGAATAATCAATTAAAACAACATCTTAAGGTTTATATGCTAATTCTCCTTCTTCATAAACACATTAAAATTCATCAAAGTCATAATTTCTTTTCTTCTTTTTAGTTATTTTTAAATTCTTAGTTTCATTCTTTTCTTCTAATAATAAAGATTTGACTAAATCTTCCTCTTTTTCAAATAATTTCTTATTTTTCTATAAATATTAATCTTCTAAGGCTTATGATTAACTACCTTCCATTTATTACATTTTCTTTTCGAGAAATAATTGAGATGTCATCTATTAATCTTTAGTAACATATTCATCAACAATAGTATTAGGATCACCTAACATTTATAATAATTAAATAATTCCTTTATTGTCTCTATTTTCAATACTTCTAAGTTCTAAATGTGCTCCAACTAATAATGGTTTTATCATATTGTTCATTTAAAAACATCTCAATTAAATAATATATTTAAATAATTAAATAGTTTAAGCTCTTCTTTGAGAATTTAAAACAGAATCATCTTAATAGTTTGTTAGAGTATTAGTGGTCTTTTTAGATCTTACAGAATTAACATATAAATTTAAACATGTTTAAGCCATTCTATTCAAATATTCTTAAAATTCTGAAAGTTCTATGAATTTTTATATTATTTATTATATAGTTGGAAATAATGCACTTTAAAATAAGACACTACTATTATAAATTCTAATTAATAATTCTAACATTGTTATTGCTGATTATACTTTTAAATTCTAATGTGCACTCAACACATAATAAATATCACAATCAGACATATTTGGATGTTAATTCCTAATTAAACCATCAATCAATAATTCTATTGGAATACTTGGATATTTTTGAATTATATATGTGAATTATCTTACCATATATTCATTATTCTGACTTTCAATTAAAATTGAAATCAATTTCTTATATACTGATACAGCTGTAACCACTTTCTTTGAAGCTAGACCATCCAACAATTTGAATGCCTATGTTATAGAATATGTTTTCAATATTGTTGAATTATCTTTTGAAGTTCTTTAAAGAAGAGCCAAAATGGATTATTGATATTACATATTTTATTCCATAAATACATTATAATGAATCCATGCATTACATAGAAATTATATGGCTACATTCTTTTCATCTCTTGTACTTTGATTATCACTTAATCTTATTGCTATCTATATTTATTATTCTAAATTGTAATTGATAAGCTAAATCAATAGTATTCTAAAATACATCACAATTTATATAAGGAATCAAAGCTCCATAAAATTCTATGTATGATTTTGGATTCTCAAAATACTTCTATTATCCAAATACTTAACTATAATCATAATATGCAATTTAAGATAAGGCAGTTGCAAGTGGTTCAGCTAATTATGGTTATCTTTAGAGTGTAATAATTAAACTATTTAATCCAGAACCTAAAGAGATGAATTCTATTAAATACTTAATAACCATTAGTACATATGAAATAGTAAGTCATATTATGCTAGATCATATGCTAATTTACCAAGTAATCTTAATCCCCAATGTACAACTTCTTAATCTTTAGAGAATATTGAGAGTTTAAGAAATGAAACAAAAAATCCAATTTGATGTTCTTCATCCCTTAATAATTCAATTAATCTAGGCATATTATTATATATTTCTTAGAGGAGTGTTATTAATTAAATATACTATCCTTTGACTCCTTTAATAAAAACATGTGTTAGTAATTTAAAATTATTATTAAGTAATTATTATGATTATTTGGGTTTTAAGATGAGACTCTGACTCAAAGCTACAATTACATATTCTAGTACAGTTTCACAAGAACTTATTTATTTAGCAGAATTGAGTGTTTCTATGTCGAATATTTTTTTAGGGTTTTCAATTTTGGAAGTACTTTCTTTTACGAATTTAGATTGTATATCCTTTAAGACTTCAACAATCATCTCTAAATCACCATCAATAATTAATTTCTTAATTTCAGTATCCAATTCAACTTTAATTTAATGTAATCGTTCTGTGATTATATTCCAATTATATAATCTAGCTGTAGGATTAGTTTATGTTTTTATTGGTTAATTATAAGAACCTGTTAATTTATCTAAGAGTTCTGACATCTTGAAACTGTTGTAAAAGGCTGATGTGGTTTCTGAATCTAATTCCATTCTCCCATTTTATTTTGGAATTCCATTCTAGATTACATTTAATGATTTCAACCATTTAAACATATCTTAAGTGATTTGCATTTCGTATACAAGTATATTTTATATTATTAATAATCATATTTATTTTTCATTGCTCAATTAATTCAATTTAGTACTCATAGGTATTAATCTCTCACTTAATTGATTTAATGTGATCTTTATTAAAAATGATAAAAAGGTCAAGGCATCTTAAATGCATATTTATGATTTATGATTATGGCCTATAAATATAAGTAAACTCACAAAATACTAAAATGTGGCCATAGCATTAAATATTAAATATAATTTAAGAATACCATAAGATTAACTTGGTATCTAAAATAATATAATTAAATACCCATATTGATTCAAATAGATTAGATAGTATTATTGTAAATGGATAAGGGAATAAAATTAATTACAAACTCATAATTTCTTAATTTTTACTTTCTCCAGATGATTTTATATGAGAATACTTTTCAATAATTAAACTTAAAATACTTTGTAATAAGAACTAATATATTATATATTAAAATTACATTATCTAATAAGATTAATATACAAATCATAATGATAAGTGTATACTTATCTAAAAATGTTCTTTTATGAGAAAATGATTAAAATCTAATGTAATCAAAAATTCTAATTATTAGATGATAAGTTTTTGAAAAAGAATTAGGTCTTTGACTTTATTTTTTAGTTATTTATTTGAATTAATGTTTTGTATGTCCCATTTATAAATGATCTTTTTCAGTACTTTTAGATAGAAATTATTCTCTCAACAATTCTACATCAATAGAATTCTCATCATCATAATTATATTCTATATTACGAATAGAAAAATCTTCAATATCATTAAAACTAAGTTTTTGATTTTTTAATTATTAATCAACTTCAGCAGGATCTTATTCTGTATTAAATATAAATACACCAAATTTGACATCTTGTAATTTTTGAAATATAACATTTTTATGAAGTTCTTTCATAAAATCTTTAAATGAAGATTCCTATTTCATTTCAATCAATGTAATTGTTGATGATTAATGTTAAGAATCAAATGGAAATTGAGCAACTAATAATTACAATTTTACATTATGATTACTAAAGAATTAATTATTCCATTTCTCTAATAAATCAAATAATCTTTTAAAATTTGATATGAAACTCTAATCTAATGCTCCAAAATCTAAAGTCATAGCTACTTTATTGAATTTCTTTAAAAATCTTCTAATTTCTTTTGAATTTTCTTCTCTTTCATCTTTACAAACTAAATTCGTTAATATATTTTATCTATTTTAAATAGAATTTGTAGTTTAATTTACAGCAAAGAAAAGAGAAACTAAAAATTAATCTGATTCACATAAATAAAAAGGTCTTAAATAATTACCTTCACCTGATAAATATATAATAAAAGGACATGTAAGATAAATGTATTTTAGATCACAATTCTTATAATTAAATATATCAATATATAAAAGAGTGTAATCTGCACTTTTTGTCATTTTAAATCTACCATAAGTTTGATCTGATGATTATTTCCAAAATTTTGGTATTTCATTTTTATTTAATAAAGCAGATAATAATTTATACTTATTCTTTTTTATTTTAGTCTACCAACCCCAATATAATGGATAATATAATATAGCCAAAATGTTTAAAATAATATAATTAGTTTTACTCCAAGAAGCAAGTTCATTAAAGTTCTTAGCAAACTTTTCATACTCTTCTTTATTAACTGCTTTATCAATCTCAACTGGTGGTTCAGAATGCAAAAACCAAGGATTAAGAAAAGTATTATTACCAATAACAGGTATCCTATGTGCATGATACATTAGATCTCCTAAAACAAATTAATCTGTTTCCTACAAACTCTCAGTAATTATTTTATCAGCAATAATTTCTTTAGTTGCATTCTCAAAATTAAAGTTTTTTTCAGTTGTAGAATCTTTCTTTTTATATTGTCTTCTCAATCCATAACCCATAATGATTAACATCATAAAAACTACTAATTAAATTCCAGTATTTTTAAGTATACTGAAATCTTCAATACAACAATCTGAAGTTTAACAACCAGGTGCTTAATTACAAAAAGTATTATTATTATTTGATGAAAATTTACCCTATTTATAAAAATTAAACTATTTACAAATGTATATGGACACGGTACACATTATGAACTCCACCATAATGTATAATTTTATCTTTTCGAACTATTTTTATTATTACATGAAACACAAGAAAAATTAGAGACTCTATAACCAGGAGGACATAATGGTTCAACTAAATTCCCATTTTATCCAAGTAAACCCGCACCAAGTTTTGGATTTCTTTAACCAGGACCATTTTTGATTTATCCTTGAAAATTACTGAAGGAACAATAATCTCTTAAATTTTATGATTCATATATATCTAAAGGACTCGTCAAACACTTATATTAAAGTATACCTCCACCACCTTCACCTACTAAACTATTTTGATCACTATTTCCTCCCTGCATAGAAATTAGAGAGGATTCATCACTAATTATTTTACTTGTATATATTTTGATAGATCCACCTGAACCTCCTCCAATACTATAATTTGTTGTATTATTAACATATCCTGGAGATCCATCTGCCAACAGTTGTGATTAATTAATAGAGATTGATTAATTTGCATACATAAATATAGAACCACCACCAAATCCATATAATAAGTTTTCAGCTAAATTATCTCCAAATTCTTTTACTATTTCTAATAAGTTAACAGTACTTCCACCAGAACCTTAATAGAGATTTGTTATTAAATAACCATATGGATACAAATCAAACATAAATCTAGTTGAATTTGTAAGGAATATACAATCACTTAAATATGAATTACTTTAATTCAATCCAATACCACCATATCCAGAATTGGACCCACCATTTGCATAACATTTTTAATTGTAATTAATAAACTCAGGACCTCTTGCATTACTATATAATAAATAAATTAATTAAAGTACCCCTAATTAATATAACAACCAGAATATGAAGTATTTAAACTACTATTTTATAAAATGATAGTGCCATTATTTAAAATTCCTATTTAGCTTCCAATCACTGTAGTAGAAATTAATTAAAGCTAAGTATTAGTATAAACAAAGAAAGTGTAATTAGAAACTTGAAAAAAAGTACTAAAACGAGTAGGCTAAGATAAGTAGATAAATTAATTTTGCAATAGATAATCTTCAATAGACTCAAAATTGACATTGAAAATACTTATCATTCCTGGTAGTATATTTACATTATTAGTACAAGTTGAAGTAGTCATCAAAAATGATGATGATTAAAATGTCACAGAATTATTAAATACAAATAGAATCTTATTAGATGTAACATTCAATCCCATTATGGTATAATTTTGAGTACTATTAAGAAAGAATGCAAGTAAATAATTCTTCATATTCATTGTTGTATTTGGATAAAATTAGAAGTCTTAAGATGCTTCTATTATTATATATTTATTCTCAATAAATCCAGCTTTCTTTTAATTGCTATTTATATTACCAATATGTATTTAAGATGTATTGATTTTTAAACCATGACAATTTGTTGTAAAACTTATTAAATCCCAAATTATAGAAGAATCTACATTTAACTCTACGTAATAATCTGTAGATAAACAATTAAGTTCTAATGTTGTTGGTGGTGTACAATTCATACTATAGTTATAAATCTAATAATTAGCATCAACATTAATCAATGAATCATTGTAACAATCAATGTCTATAGATTTACAATATTAAAACAATAATATGAATATTAACATATTAAAAATATTATTCAACTTATTTCACCTCCAGGAACAATCAAACATATTTAAGTACCATTCAACAAAATTTATTCCAATTTATTCTTTTTCCCATTATCTAACTCAATCACATTCTCCAAAACCATATCTAATAAATCCTCACTTCCATACTAAAGAAATCATCAAAACCACGTAAAGTACCTTCAAATTCTCTATCATCTTTCATTAGAATCCATACTCTTGATGAAATTGCCTTGTCCAATAATCCTTAAACTTTAATATCAATATTACCTAATGGAAGAATAGTTGTCATTTAAACAAATTAAAAATATATTTATGATTATAGAAGAATATAATAATGATGGTGACAAAGAACCTATTATTGATTGTCTAAATCATTTCTAATAAAAACATGGAATACCAGCATCAGAAATGAAACTCAATTATTTTGGAACCACATTCTCATCAACTAAAACCCAATAAAATTACTTAAGAAAATTGTTTTATCATTACTATATGGAACACAAAAAACTAATCAAAGATAAATCCTTATCTTTAGAAAATTTTATGGCAATATCATCTTCCTTTATTGATGCTCTTGAAAGAACTAAATTATATTCACAAATTAGATTACTTATACTTCCATCTCAAAAAAAATTTCCTAATGGAATTATACTTCATTTTGATATATAAGATAAATTACCCTATTTTCTATCTGCATCTAATGAAATAGATACTTAAGGATATTAATTAAAAATGAAGTTTGGAAATAAAAATTTCTTTGGAATTCATGATTAATTAGCCTTTGAATATGATCAAAATCTAAGTACTAATAAATCAAATTGGTCTTTGAGTTGGTCATACAAAGATTACAAAGATTCTAATTATTCATTTTCATATAGATAAGCATAAATATAACAAATTTAAAACATAGATGAAAATCTTAGTGAATTTAGTTTTGCTTATAATAATGCAACTACTTAATTAACTATCTCAAATTAATATAGATTTAATAAAATTGAAGATGAAGAATCTTTATAAGGAAGGTATCTTTTTAGAAAATATGTTAATAATTTAGATTTCTTACCAACTTAATCCACTATTATAACTTATTCTAAACCATTTTCATCATAAATATTCTAAGATTAAGGTATTCTAGAAGGACATAATAATAAATTTAATTGTAGTTTAGGAATACCTAGATTAACAATGAATCCATTTATCAAAGTATGGATGTCTCATTAATTATGGATTCCATTATATGAACATAGAAATAGAATTAAAAAAATTAAAAAATTGGTTGCCAATTCATCAATCTAATTATCTTTTAATTATGGTCTTGCCTTTAGTCAATCTCATTTAGATTTAAATGATACATTTCAAAACTTATAATTTAGAGGTTTTAATTAAATGATTGAGATGAGTAAATTGTAAAATAGAAAATATGATACATTTGCTAAATTTGATTTTAAATACAATATTCATAATCTTTAAGGAATGAAAGAAAAGAATCTATCTTATTAATTATTTTGGTATGGTTCATTATTAACCTTTGGTCATCCAAAATCATTATTATAAAATTTTAGATCATCTCTTGGTATTGGAGTATCAATGCCAATTGGAGGAATGTAACTTGAAGCATTAGTGCCACTATATACGCAAAAAAAATAATTTGATAAAGATCCTATATTTTAAATTAGAATAGCTACAGATGATTGATGAATATATGTAAAAATATTTTATTTTAATAATATTGTTCTTATATAATTAAATTTAATATTGTCTATTAATTAATTATATTATATTATTTTATTTATTATTACTAATCAGGGTTTTGTTAGACCAATGGTTGTAGCTCTTCTGAAAGATCTCCTAGAATCTAGAGGAGGTGGTTGATTTCTAAAACTACCTTAATTTCTTTCATTTCCTGTTGGAATTCTGAAACTGTTTCCTGGAGTAACTTGATATGCTTATGTTTCTGGATTTGGTTAATGATGTACCATTTAAGGTATCAATTATTATAAATTACCATATTTATGTCTCCATGAATCATTTTCCTAATATATTATAGATGATATTTACATTTAGGAGATCTTATGTATTTTTATTTAATCTCTCAATTTCATCATTCAATTAATCAATTGTTACTCTTAACATTTCAATTTCAGCTGAATTTGAATTAGCTTTTCTTTTCCATCTTTCAATCTCCAAATCTACTGTACTGAATCTATTTTCTAATTCTACTTTGTCTTCTATAATTTTCTATAGATCTTAAGATAATCTCTAGAATTTTCCTTTCCATTCTTCTATTACTTTATCTCTAGTATTCAATGCTAATTCTAAATGTTCAAAATCTAATTTTTAATTATCCAATAATTTTGATTATAAAACATGATTTTATTTAGTTAATTATTCATTTTCAGTATTTTTAGAATTCAATAATTCATTTATATAATTCAATTAATTTGTTAATTTCTCTTTTTCTGCTTATTAATCTATCCATTATTAATCATCTCTTTTAATATCTTTAACTTAATTCTCACTTTATCTTAACAATTATTTAATTTCCCCGATTTCATTTTCTTTATGTCTAAATGCTTATTCTAATTAATCTAAATCATCTTTTAATTGATTTTCATAATTACTACCATTATTAATAGTTGATTTCAATTCATCAATTTATTTTTATAATTAGATAGATTAGATTTTCAATTCTTCATTAGATTTTAATACATTATTTAATTCATCAAATAATCTCTTATTTTCTACAAATATTGGTTAAACCTGATCAATTTGTGATTGATTTTAATGTAAAATAGCTTTATTTCCTTCTATTTCAATATTTTTATTTTTAACCATAATTGATAATCTCTCGATTTCACTAGACATCATAGCACATTTATTTTCTAATCTTTCTTAATCTCTCTTTGCAGCATCATATTGATTTTATGCAATTTATAATTTATCTGTAAGATCTGCAATTCTCTATAATTCAATTAATAAATTCTCATTTAATTTTCTAAAATCAGTTTCAATTGCTGATAATCTCTTTATTTCTATATCTCTTTAATCAATATCTTTATTAAGTAATTGATTTGCAATAGATAATTCTTTATTTTAGACATTTAATTTATTATTCTAATTAATTAAATCATTAATATCATGTTCTTATTATTTTAATAATTAATCTAATTCTTTTTGATTTTTCAATTAAACTTCAACAGCATCAAATTTCTTTCTCCATTCTTAATTAAGTTTTGACTTACTATCCTCTAATTCTAAAGCTTTAGTTTGCCATAAATCTAATTATCTTTACCTTTCATCTAATATCAATTAAAGACTTTCAATCTTTGATTAGAGAGGACCTAAACTTTAAAGTTTGACCTATTATAAGGTACATTTAGCAGTCAATTCATCTCTTATTTCATTTGAATTTTATAATGCTTTTTTTAAATCATCAATCTATTTAGCTTATGAATTCACCTTCTCTTACAATTCAGGAAACATATCTAATTTAAATTTATAATCATTGTTCAACTATTATAAAGAATTAAGTTTAATTAATAATTCGTGTACTTATTCATTTTAATTATTTGTTCTCTCTCTCAATTTCTAGATTTCATTTTTTTATTCTAATCCTAATTGATTTGAAGAATGTATAGCATTTTCTAAATCTCTTTATTTAAATTCAATTTAATCACTTTACATCTTGATTTTATCATTTTCTTTTTATTTGTTTAAATATGCAATTTTTAATTATTAATAATCTATTTCAATAGCTTATAATAATTATAATTCTATAAGTATATCTTGTTTCTTTCTATCAGCATTAGATAAATCTTTAATTAATTAAGTATTAATATCAATTTATTTAGTCAATTCTTACCTAAGAACTTTATTAGTTTATTGTAATTCATCGATTTAATCTTCCAATGTATCATCAATCTTTTATTCTAATTCTACATTTTATTGTCTTAATTTTTCAATGGCATCAGTTTTTTATGAAATACGAATCACTGGGATTTCTGCCAATTTCAATTATCTTGTTAAATCTAAGACTTAAGCTTTTAAAAGTGGAATCTATTTATATTAATTTTATATTTCTTAATAATAAGAATCTGCTCTCTATTTAAATTGATCTCTTTCTTTTATTAATACATCCAATTGACTTAGTTGCAAATGTAAACTAAATCCTTCAGCTCTACTCTTTTCTAATTCTTAACTTTATTATTTCAATTTTTCATTTAGACTTTAAATAATAATATCTTAAGATTCATATCTTTATAATAGAACATTGTATTTTTCATTGATATTCATTAATTTAACATTTTCTTATTCTGATTTTAAGTATTTTTATTTCCATGACTCACTCTCTCCTTTTTTAAGTTAATATTTAGAATTAATTTCATCAATCTAACTTTAATATGTTTATTATTCTAGTATTTTGTTTCTATATACAGATTCTAATTATAATTCAACAGCTACTAAATTATTCTTTAATTTTGTAATTTATGATTCATCTTAAATAATTTATTTACTTAATCTTTAAGGAATTGGAAGAGGATCTACTTTTATATCAGGCACTTCAAAATCATTTTTGAAATTTTTATTTTATTCATTAAGTATTTATTGTCTTTATTAATTTACTTCTAATAATCTCTATAATCTTGTGATTTCAGAACAACCTTGATTGTATTTCTATCTCCATTGTTCAGATTCAGCAAGTGTTTATGTTATTTCTTGTCTTAATGAAGAATTTGTATTTTATAGTGCTTTGATTCTTTATTCTAATTTTTTTAATTAATTGATAACAACTTCTGCATCCATTAAATTTGCTTTAAGTTGTTTTATTTACTAATCTAAATTTTCATTCTCAGTTCTTAATTCTTCAATTAGTTTCTTTGCTTATCTTAATTCAGGCTATAACTATTTTAATTAGTTATTTGAATTTTCAACATCACCAACTCTTCTTTTCAAAGAGATAATCTCTCTTTATTTAGTTTATATTTGATCTTCAGCATATGTTAAATTGAACTTAATCTTATCTAGATTCTATAGTTCAATTGTTTTTTAATTTAATAAATTCAAAGTAAATTCTTAATCCTATTCCTTTTGATTTAAAGCATTTAATAAATTAGCTTTGTCTATCTTTAATAATTCAATTTCCTCATTTAATGAAATGATTTATCTGACATCTCTAGATAACTATAAAATATTTTGATTAAATATTACATCGGATATAATCTTTTCCTGAGTTTCCAATTTTTATTACAATTAAGCTAATTCAAATTTATATCTTTCTATTTCAAAGTTGGCCCTCTCTAATTCATTTGTCAATCTAACTTTTTCTTCATCAGCATCAGTTGTAGTTACTTTGACTATTTTCTCAACTGTTTTAATAATAGTAGTTGGTTTAGTTTTTTATTATTGAGTCAATCCTTCCAATTCCTTAAGTTTAGCATTAGATTAATCTAATTATGATTCTAATTAAGATATTTATTCATTTTTATTTGATAATGTTTCTTATAATTTATTAAGTTCATGATTGAGTAAACCTAATCTATGATCTTTTTCTTGAATAGCGTTTTTCATCTAGTTCAATAGATCAGATTATTCTTATAATTGTGTCTTGTATTTAGCATAATCTTATGCAGGCTATATCGTAGCAACTTAAGAAATGTTGACCTCACTCTTTGTGACTTCAATCTTAGATGTTGTAGAGACTTCAGATTATAGATCTGCAAGTCTCTTTCTCTCTGCTTCTAATTTGATGTTCCTATCTTTATATACATTTAAATCATTCTAGAGATTGGTTATTTTGTTTCGAAGGTCGAAATTCTCTAATTCAAGTACTTTCTATTCTGAATGCTTCAATTCTAATTATCCATACTTTTCGGTTAACTTTTACTTAGTAAATAATATATTACTTCTTTTAGTTCTTTGTCTCTCACTTATAATTAATCATATGTATTATTATAATCTTATTCTACGTCTCTTAATCTTTCTAAATGTGACTCATATTCAAGAATCTTAAATTTTGCTACATCCAAATCTTTCGTTCTTGAACGCAATAATAGAGACAACTATTTGTTTTCATCATTCAATATCTAATTTCTTTCTTACAATTAATTGATCTATAGAATGATTATTGTGATATTTACTGTCTATTCATATGTTACGTATAAATCTTATTGTTATTCTAACTTGAAAACCTATTCACGTTAAGCATCAAGTTCGGCTTACAATTCAGTTATTCTTATCTCACAGTATGCAATATCTGCAGTATTTGGAATTTTTGCTTTTCTTACATTTTTATAGATTATTTCTTAAAATAACAAATAAAAAATACTGTCTCCATCTATTTCTTATCCAAAATACACGCTAGCTCTCTCGTCTCCTTCAGTTTTTTATTGAATGATATTCTCGGCCATTCTTATAAATTTTTAATAAAAATATCTATTTTCTTTAATTTAGATATACATTTCGATGGGAAATATTATATAATTATTCAGATAATGAAATTTTATATTGCATTATTAATTCTAGTCGTGTATTCATAATAGGATAACAAATAAATATCCCCTGAGGATTAAACATTCTTAGAAACATTATAATAGGATTAGTTTGGTTTAAATGTATTAAATTCAATTCAAACAGAATATTAAAGAGATTAAGGTATTTTGATTATTCATTCTTATATCAGATCAAAAAGCATAATTCAACAGAATTGAACATTTATTGAACAAAATTGAGTAACAAATTGCATAAGACTAATAAACTGATTTAGAACTCTAATCAGAAGCTTCTGAATAATGTATGAAAAACGAATTATTTTTAAATAGATTATTCATAATTACTAAGTCTTGAGGAATAAATTGCAAAATCTCAATATGACTATAGCACACTTGGAGCCTAAATTAGATTATATTAAGATGAATCTAATAGGTATGATGTATTAATGGATGAAAAAGAAAACATCGTTAATGAATATTAATCATTGTTAACTTAACTAGATGAAATTAGACAATAAGAAGTATTAATCAATCCTAAAATAGCATGATCATTTTGAAATTGCAAGAGATGATTCCATTACTGTTTGCAGTCTATTAAAAAGAGCAAAATATTTAATCAAGCAATTAATACCCAAGACTACTGTGCTTGTTTAACAATAATCTAATCTTAATCAAGATTATGAATAGAACACAGACTTTTTATAATAGATAAATCAATTATAAAAAGAAGCTAAGGAGACACTATAAAACAACTAACCTTTTCTACAAATAATTAGTAAAGTTAAAGATAATATTTTAGACTAATTCGTGAGTGTTACAACATAAACTGATGCTGTTGTTAACACCAAAAGAGTGAATGCTATTGTCAATCTTCTTTAATAACTCTATGATCAAGTCGATAAAACTAGCAGAGTTCAATATAATGCTGAAGATGATCGAGAGTAACTTCATTCAAGAGTGAAAAATTAAATTAATGACGAATTGCATTCAATAAATTTATAAGTAATCAATGGTTAAGATTATATAATATAGCTTGCAACCTTACAAAATTAATAGGATTCAATTAATGCTTAGATTGTAACTGAGTCATAGAATTAAAAAGATGAAGAAAAAAGATTAGCCAATTTGAAATAATAATTATTAGATCTATCTAAATGTTCAGATGATGCTAAAGTATTTATTTATGATTAATTTAAGGTAAATTATGGAGTTAGATTGAAGGAAAGAAAAGAATAATTAAAATTACTCAGATAAATTAGAAAAGTAATGTTAAATGATTTTGATGCTATTCGATGCTATATCGAAGATTATTTTAACAAACATTAAGAACATTAAGGTTGACAATTTAACATTAATATATTCACATAACTATTATCTGCAATTCATAAATAATTTTTTAATAACTATTTATAAACTTTATCAACTTCCTCTCTTCTTGATCTATAAGAATTCTGTGATGTTGACCGATAATTCTCTTCTAATTTTCCTTTTTTGTTTGGGGTTGTATTAGTGAAATGTGTACGATAAGAATTAATTGTTTTATAAGCAGTTTTATTACTTCCAATTTTTGTTTTATTGTTATCTAAAGATGGTCCATTTACACAATCACTCAATTAACCATTTATAACTTTGACCATTTGATTAAATTTCTAAAATTGACCCTTAAATTAATTTAATTATGACTCTAACATAGCTATCGATTACAATGCTTGCTTACACTATTTATCTTTATAATAATTTTCAGATGACTTTTGCTTCAACAAATTATTTAATTAATCCTCTTGATAAACTTAATTATTACATTTAATTGATGAGCTTGCACAAGTGAGGATTCCAGTTCTTATTCTAAAATTGTTGGTTTTAATTCCTTTTATTCTAATTCATCTTTAAATTAAACAAAATTAGGTTTCCTGTTCCCAACATCATAAGTATATTATATTAATTTATCAATATCGTTCATTTAATTTAGATAGAATTAATAGATCTAATCTATCAACTATTAAATAATTGATTCATTCCCTTAAATCTCTTTCTTTATGTCTCTTAAAAACTTCAGCATTTATTATACAAATTAATCAACATATTTAAGCTTTGTTTCCCTAAAGGATGGTAAAGTTGAATCATATGATCCTTATGAAATAATTGTACTTAATTAAGCCTTGTTCTAAGGAGTTTCAGATGGATTAATATTTCCCAATAAATTTAAAAAAACATCCACTTCCTCTTCGATCTCATTCTTTTTTTAAAATGTTTAACCATTAAACTATTGTTTATGCAAAAAATCTTCAACTTAAACAAGCAAGTTTTACCTTTCCTTCTTTTTAACTTCCGATGACATTTTTAATAATAAAATTAATGAAAAAATAGAAAAATCAGTAACTCAGTATTATATATGAATACATTCAAACACATTCATTTATCATGCTTGTATTGGAGTGCTCTCTCTGCTTAGCTTGATCTTACATTTTTTTGACGAATCCAATATAAGTTGGATCACTACACAAAATACGACAATTAATAGTATGGATAGCACCGTGGCTACTATTATTCTCTTTGATTAATTATCCTTATTTTAAAGATCTAATTCACTTAAACAAATACCCAATAAATTATAAAATGATGTTCCTTCTAAGTAATCTGCTATTTCTAAAAAGAACACCTAATTTGTTTGAGCCTTCTTTAATTACTATTCTGACATGGTATCTTCAGACATTATTTCAAGTGCTTCAATCTAATCGTAATCACTTTTTAAAGGGAGCTATATGCATCTTACCATTACTAACAAATATATCAATAAAAACATATAATATATTAATAAACGTTTTTCAAAATATTAAATAACTCTATATCATTCAATAAGTATAAAAAAAATACTTCTTTTATTTATTTTCCAAGTTAAACTATTATGAAAAATTATTAACCTTAATCAAATAATCTATTTTATCAATAAATACTTTTACCATAATATTATATTTTTAAAACTATTTATAATTATTGACAAATTACAGTAAGATAATCATTCCTTAAAATTTAAACAAATAAACTATTATAAAATATAAACATGTTAAAGTGGAATTATTAGAGATAATTTATATATTTATGAAAGAAAATTAAACATTTAAAATATACTATTTTTATATATTTAATAAACTTATGAGTATTAGATTCTAATTCAATTAGAATACA